ATAAAATAAGTTATCAATGAGTATTTTTTTTTTGTCTTTTTATGTTATTCACAGCAGGGCACCGTAGCTAAATTGAGTCCCTAGAAAGGCACCACTGAAAAAAAAGTTTGGGAACCGCTGATGTAATGTATAAAATACCCAATTAAAGTCTGAAGTAAAACTATAAATGTGTGTATAAAAGGCAGTGGAGACCTTTTATAGGAGGGGATGGACTTCATACATAAATCCACATTTATATATTTTCCTAGTGTGCTATAAATAATAAATAACAAAAATATTAAGAAAAAAAGCCATGGAGGAGCAACTGCATCATTTTTATGACGCTTCTGATAAAACATTTTGCATAAGTTAATTTCTCGAGAAGAAGATTTGTATCGGAAATTACGAAATTCAAACAAAACAAAATCAGTTTCAATATTGCATAAGAAAGTTTAAAAGTTATTTTCAAAATAAAAATGTATTCATTTGATTTGTTGCAAAATTTTATGAGTCAACTTTGAGAAAAAGTATAATACAATTTTAATTCTCTAAATTGAACTATTGACAATACTGAAAACCGGGTGCGACTCGTTTGCGCACATTTACCTTTTTTACGACACGATTGCGCACACATATTTTAGGTTTAAATAATAAAGGTACAATTCATTTGAGCATATTTCCTTTCTTTTGCTTAATTTTAATTAATTAATAGACTGTATAAAATAATAATATATATGCATATTGTATATAAAAAAAAAAATAATATATAAATTAAGATTTAACTATTTTGCATTTCTAAGTATTTATTATATAATTTAACATCGAGCGACCAGATATTGGCGAGAATAAGATATATATAAAACAATATAATACAGATAAAAGTAATAATAACGTCAATGATTATACGCGTAAACAATATTGTCAATTATTAATTTAATATTACAAAAATTAAAATATTTTAAAAAACATGCATTGTAGGTTTAATAAGTAATAATAGTAGTCTATTAGTTATAAAATTATACTAATTTAGAATGGTGGCATTTAAGTCCGATTTTCTTTATATAAGTTAAACGATTAATAATATTATTTTTATATTCATTCCAAATGTTTTCCAATTGTATCTCCTTATTAATTATCTCTTTTCTTTTGAAATTTATGATTTTATTGTTTATTGAATTAATTTTTAAATCAGTGTTACTTTGAATTTCAATAATGACGTCGATTACTTGATGTATGTGCGGATGAGCAGAGTAAAACTGACTGTTATATTGTTTGTGATAACTCTCTGCACCATTAGTAGTCTTAGGATTATTAGTAGGTTTACAAGCCCATAATGTTGGAGGAAAATTGCTGTCCGATGCAATGTAATTTTCTAAAATATAATCGGAAAATATAGAAATATTACTAGACGTAGTACTTGGTGCTACCGACACAGGATCACAAAATCCATCAGAAACTTCGTCAGGAGGTAAATAACTTAATCCAAAAAAACATTTCATCCATTTGCCAACTTCTGAGTCGTTGTTTAAGTACTCGCTCGATAATAATTTATGTTGATGAATAAGTCTAAACCAATTTTGCCCTAAATGAAAGTTACAACACGTGATTTTGCAGTAAGGGAAAATTTGCAATACTGCATTATGCGCAGATTTTTCAAAGTCGACATGAAAATTGCTTAAATTTATTATATTACCAGTAATTTGAATACATATATTTTGTAATGTTTTCCACATATTGATGTAAGTATCAGTATGTTTGTTACTTAAAAAACAAAACGCCACAGGAACATAAAACTTGTTTTTAAATACGTGAATAGTATAAAGTTGAACAAAATATTTCGGAGCGAATGAAAATGTCCCATCCCCAAAAACGTGTTCTGCACTTTGTAGCAATTCCAAATTTTGTTTACATGTAAATATAAATATATTTTCATCATCACTAACGAAAGAAAATTTATTACCTTTGTAAGTAAGATTATGCTGATCATCAATTAATTGTTTTTTAGCATCTTCTAAAGATCTCGGTATGTTTGGAAAGGATTTTTTTCGTTTTTCATACATGGATCTTCGAATTAATTTCATATCGCTATATTGAAGATGTTCAGAGTTATCATTGTTTTTCAATTCCCGGCGTATTAGTTTATTTGGTTTAATATGTAAATCTTCTTCAGCTCTACGTTTCAATTTGCTTCTTACTACTTCTCGATGAATTGTTCGGTCGTCGTACTCGTCATGGGTATGCGTGTTGGTCATTTTTAAAATTTTATATGATTCATTAACTAACCTAACTACAGCACTTACGGAACATTTTTTATTTGTACACCTAAAATGTTTATCGCCAGATTTTAAAGTTCGGAATTCTCTAAATTTATAACTTTCTATGTTTAAACATTTTTTTCCTCGACGCGTTTCAAAAACATCACAAATTTCGATATCCATAGTCAATACAGTTAGTAGTTATAGTACATCTTTCTGGCGAACGACTGTTTAAAAGTATTACGCTTTCCTAATACACGACGATTATTTTAAATCATTATATATTGATATTGATATGCTGGTAATTTGTGCTGATAATTTGTACCGATAATTCAATTACTTTAGGTAAGTCCAAATTTAAAAATATAAAATACATGTTACTTAGTGATTATGTTGTGCGCAAACGAGTCGTCCGTTTACAGGTAAACGACTGATTTCGTTGTGCGCAAACGAGTCATTGATATCCAAGTAAAAAATTTAAATTGTGCGCAAACGAGTTGCACCGTGAAAACCCATTGAATCAATTTTTTTTTTGATTTAAAAATATTTAAATGTTTACCATTCAAATTCGTTTTAACATTCAGTGCAACTTTCGCTAGTTTATAAAAAAAATAAAATTATAGTAAAATAATATTTATTAGTGCTAAATAAACAATTAATAAATACATATAAGTTAATTGAATTATATGGTATGTATTTATTTATTTTTATTTTACTTCTTAATGTGATGTAATGTTTAATAAGTTTTTAAACTATGTTCAAATTCGTCACCAATTAAACGTCAACTCACACATTTCGCCAAAAATAATAATACACATATTCAAACACATAATAATGTATGACCCATCCGGTCAAAATTTTAATCGTGTCTACCTTTTATAAATTGCATAGTTTATTAATTGTTAATTACTAGTACTATCATTAAGTACAATTAATATGCATTATTTTTGTTTATTATATGTATGTATGTATGTATGAATAAGCTATGTATACGTAATTCTTTTAATTATACAATATAGTAAGTATTTTATTTTGTAACCATATCAGTTCTAGTTGATTATTAAAAAAAAGTATACTAACACGTAGTTTACTAATTAAATTCGAAACTATTCCTATTTTATGTTTATAGTTTATAAAATTTGAAAGCTTATCTGTCATCAAAACTTGCGTTAGAACTTTATAATATTCTTCAATCTTCGAAGAAAAAATCTCATATTTTCGATCACAGTTTAATTGCTTGTTTTCAACGAAAGTATACCTGATAGCTTAATGATGCACAGTTAATTTTACTTAATAACTGCCTAGAGTATCACGAACGGCTTTTGTTGGAAGTATTTGTATTTTTAACCACTCCTTTATTGAACGTTCGAATAATAAAATAAACAGTAATACTCGTTAATGTTGTTATAACTATACTTATTTATATTGACATAGTAGAACACAGCTTTATGTCGACAACGTATTTTATTAGCTGTTACTTTTTTATTTTATTAGTCATTACTCTATCGGTTATTGAAGTAGTTGGCAGAAACAATTGTTGGTATATTAATGTATTAAAACAATATGACAATATATTTATTTGATAACAAATATAAGTAACGACCATAATTTTAAATAATATGATCATACATATTTAGTTGTTACTCGCAGTTATGTGGTAAGTCTATCGCAGTTATTCGGTTATTCAAACCTCTTCTTTAGATCATTTTATTTAAATTAAATTTTCACCAATCAATGAAAATAATAATTGATTTGCCATATTAAGTGCTATGCTCCAGCCCTCTTAATCTATTTATTTATGAATTTAAATATAAACTATAAGTAGTCAATTTTTGACCATCATAATACTAATGTTTTATTATTAATATTTGAAATCGGTATGACAAGTGGATTTTATTATTTGTTGTTTGTATCAGTTGAGCAATTGCCGACGACAGGTGTCTGTTTTAAAGTGGTTGATATAAGATCCATGTGCCGATTAGCTATTAAACTAGAATTAAAATAATAAATAATTTGAAAACCTTGAGGTATACTCGGCTATCATAAAATTCGACGATCGTTTTTCTATTCAATGGCATATTTTTCTGGAGTTTGATTTCGAAATTTTTTCGTAAGAAGTAAAATAGGTATGCAAATGTATAAAAAAAAAATAATCGATCATTTGTACCATTTTAATTCATTATTTACGAAGACTATTTTACGAGACTGACTTGGTCTCGATTTACAATTTTTTAAAAGGAAAAAAACCGCACGCGCAATAGGTACTAATTCAAAAATGCGATTTTTCGTGAAGGTCAATGATCGCACACTGCCTTAATAATGCCTCTGCGGTGTCGTAAGTACCTGCACGATATATTAAGATATTGTGTTCCAAATGGACGTGCAAGGTTGCTGACCGCAACGATACGTGTTATTACGGGTTAAAAAATCGCAATCCAAAACACAGGACGGTGAGGATAATGATCTACGACAAAGGTTACGCGGCGGTTGTGCGTGGCGGCAGCCGGCTGAACCGGCCATCTGCACGTTACGTAATACATTTAACGTTAACAACTCAACGGTGGGGGGGGGGGGGGTGAAAAATAGAAGGAAAAAAAAACGCCTTGCCGTAGTGATATTCGTGCGCGCACCGTGTTATTATTGTTCGTTTTCCGAACGGTTTGAAAGTTCGCGTCGCATGCAATCGTGAAAAAGTCCAAGTCGCCCGGCTGGCGCGTCCGACCTCACGGCGAACGTGTACGGCTCAGCGGTGGCGGCGGCGGTGGCGACCGGCGGGGCGAGTCGCGTTTTCGATGCTCGAGTCCGCGAATTGTTAGACGGTGCCGCCGCAGTGTCGTGCCGACCGTCGCCGCGATCACCGCACGCCCGCGTTCACAATCGCAACTGACGCCTCCCCCCCGCCACTAAATCCGCCGATCACGATTCGCCGACCAACGAGAGAACATTTACGCGACGATCCGTGTTCAACAGGAAAAAAATGGTTTCGTCGCGAAGCCCGAAGTGTGCGAACTGATATCGCGCGCGCAGGATTTTCCGACAGCCCGCCTGCTGTTCGTTTATCGTTTCCCCTCCCCCTCCTCAACATCGTCATTTTCACGACCACGTAGCAATACGTCAGGAGGTCCTCTGCGTCAGCGAACCGACGACCGTATAGCGCACACGACACGGTCACGACCGCTGCGCTACAACAATGACCGTAACTTACACGGCGGAGGTGGCCACGTGCCGCGGTTTCGGATGTTTTCTGAAATTGCTGATGAGGTAAGGTTTTGCGGCGCAGGGTAAAAAAAAAAAAAAACACGTTCAAACGAAAACAAAAACAACGGTCACGGTCGATCGGTTACCGTTTGCCGGACGCCTGTCAACGTAATATTCAAATCCGGTGTGACGGTTAAACGCTGCGATCGCATCGCACCGGTTCACGAGTTCTAGTTTGCATTTGAAAACGGGCTCGTCAAACCGTTTAACCTAGTAAACGAAAACACACCCGTCCCAGTCCAATAGTTCGCGATGCCGTGTCCGTACGCGTGCGTAGGTGATATATTCCGTACGAACGTGTCGTAAAAGAAATCAACCCGTCACGTGGCGTTCGAAAAGTACCCTGTGCATGCGACGTGTACACACACCCGTGGCAAACAATTATTATTACCGTTATTAATTGTCGCAGATCGATCGCACGCGATACGCCGCGTGAATAACTACCCTTCGTTACCACGTATTAATTAGCACGTTCACGCGTTAATTCTCGCCGTTTGTGTTTGTACAACATCGGGACGCGCGGCCGTCACATTTCGTACTTTGAAAAATGTCTCGCCGTGTCAAATTTATCGCCGCGCACGGTTAAGAATATTTATTCGCACGTTGTCTACCACCAAAGCCAACTACGACCGTTAAAGGTCAAATAATCAACCGTTTACCGCGGCGTACACCTATACACGTTCGTTATTTTCCTGCCACGATCGTAGCACTCGTTTTCCGTTGTGTATTGTAAAGCTCCGATACCTACTTGTACACGATACACGTTTCTTTCTTTACGCCGCGCTATTCAAACGTACTTGTAATTCAGATGTCATTTGTTCAATGAAATACTATATTTATTCGCACTCGAATACCTCTACCGTATAATTTCCTGCCGTTAATATTACAGGAAAAAAAGCTAATCTTTGATGGCCACTTACCTATATGCGCCGATATATATTCGTTGTGATACTATTATAGCTACGATTCCGAATGCCGTCAACGTGCTGTGCATTGTTCGTCTCAACGGTAGACCTAGGTTTTATTCAAGGGCGAGAGGGATGGAAAATAAGTATCTCAATAGGAACTATTATTTTATTATCATTAAAACTTTTTTAGTTTCTTAAATCCACGTCGTCCCGTTCAGTTTTGTTTTTATAATTTATACGAGTTCATTTACTTTACGGTTCACTATAGTTGCGCGTACCTGTATTAAGTCGTGTTAGTCAATGGTATGCCTCGAAAAACTAGATAACTAACTAACAAATAACTAGATAGTTTTTACCTAATACAGTCGATAGATATTTCTGCAGATATCCGAGGTTTGTACTATAGTGAAGATTATGTAATTATACAGTTATTTTCTGTTATCGATTATATTACACTATTTTCAACCGCTGTGTATTATCAAAATGTGATACTCATTCAAAATTAAGATTTTAACATTTTTTAGACACATCGACATCGTATACCTAATCTTACAAATGAAATTCCCGGGACGTCTACCTACTGATTTTTTATGAATTACAACTGAGTTGTATAATAACTCGTTAAAATCTCGTTATTCGTGCCGAAATGTCGAGTTCTATGCTTGTTCTGTGATAATTATACTCTGTCTACGGGTCTCTCTCAAAAAATTTTTATTATTATTACTATTTTACTCGATCATTGGCCGATACAAAGGACCATGTGATTTAATATAATGATGTAAAGATAATAGCTTTGTAGGTGCCGCATTTTCTGTTTTAGTGTGCGTGTTTGACCTTGTAGTGAGGAAGTGACTGATGGCACACCGGTTTTTAAATATTTTGCTACAGTTACTTGCCGAAAACCTCGAATAGACCTACCTCCTGTACCTTGAAATTAAACGATATTAAAAATTAGAAGCGTAAATTGGAGTGTAATTGATTAATTAATCAACTTGTGTTTGTAAAAAAAAAAAAAAATGATAAAGCATCGCAAAGTATTTAAAATAAATAAATAAATATATAAACCGTATAATACATAATAATAATTGAAGTTGGAATATTGATAGATAAAATATAGTAAGCTACTATTTTTCAGGTATTGTGAGTTATACGTTGTTCATTATGAAAGAACTACGAGTAGGTATTTAAAAAACACTGCTTTCATTGGTGTTAAAATGTATAAAAAGTAAAACAAATTGCAATTCTGTGACAACTTCTTATTAATTATGAGTACATAATATTTCATTAAAATATACAGCTTTTGTAATTATTTTGTTAGTAATAATTTCGTTAAAAACTTTAGAAATTATTTATAATAGTTTTTACTGTATAATAATATAGTACTAATACGTATTAGCATTATTTTATAAATAATAATTTAACATTGTATTTTTTCTTAGTCACACAACTATTACAGTGCAATTGATTTTTATTTTTTTTAAATTTGTAGCTATACATTTTTACACCAGGACATTGATATCATTATCGTTTTTATAATTTTCAAGGCCATTAAAAACCATTAAAGTAGAAGGAAATGTACGTGAAATCAAATACATATTTTTCCTATTCATTCAAGTTCTTCACGAAGAATATTAATTAAAATTAATCAAATCTATAAATCATGTTTTCGTTTAAAAATCATATATTATTAGATACAGTTATCTAATACAATTATCTTATTACATTTTGGTATGTATAATACATTATAATTATCTAAAATATTGTTGATAATATATTCATAAATATTATCGATTTATCTACACTACAGAAATTATTTTAACGTTTAATACGCACTTCCATTAAATTGTTCAACGGATAATTTATGTAGGATATTTTTGAACATCTGTGTTAATAGTTCCAATTAGCTTCTCGGAGAAATAAATAAATTTGGTTTATTTACTATTATATAGTTTTTTTTTATTTTGTGTTATATTATTTGCCTTGTAAAAATATAAAATTATATTTGGATTAGTATATATATGTACAGTTTTTTTATTTTCCGACATGATAACGAATTAGTGAACAACCACAGGAAAGACCCTAAATATGTAGGTACATAATTATAAATGTATTCATGTATACAAAACTAAATCTTACTGTCTAATTTTGACAGTTTCACATACATATAATCACATACTGACATATTCCAAAACTTTTATAAAGTTATTAAAGAATTTCTCTTATTCTCCATTCAAAGTGGACTTAGATATAATTTACCTTCATTGTTCTTGATTTTAATATCAATCATAAATAAAAACAATTATAATTTGTAACGGACCTATTTTTAAATACTTCAGTTTTTTAATAATAATTTAATGTACAAAGCGATATAATGCATTAATAATTCAACTACAGAAAGATTTTATATTATATAATATAATTTGTAATATTTAGTGGTGACAATTGTAAATATTTAAATGTAGACACTTTTTATCTATTTTTTTAAAGATTTCAAACATCTGTATTATTTGTATCATTTTAGTTCCTTTTTCATCGAACGAGCACTTATATAATTTTAAAATCTCTATTTATTCTAAGTTATTTAAATTTAATAATGTACACAACTATCTAAAACAATTTACTAATATTACGACTTCAAATTAAATATCGAGTTCATTTTTTTAAATTAATTGTATTTTAATTGTTAAATATTGACTAATGACTATTATTTATAAAGTTCTATTTATAAAGTACAGTGAGTTTATTAAATGAAGTTTATTAGATGAAGTAGTGTAGAAAACCCCAAAAAAAGTAATATTTCAGTGTCACATTGTGTGATCTATTATTTTATAAAATTATCTTCTAGTTTTTTTTTTTTTTAATTGCTTTAACCCAAATTTGTATAAATTTTTGTAAACAAATCGTTAGTTTATTTTACTACCTATTTTCGGATATTTGCAATATGACCTATTTTCGGATATTTGCAATATGAGTTATTCAAAAGCATTTATTTCTTAAAATACGATTTATTTATTATTTTTAAGATCCAAGATTGTTAATGTCGACGATATTGCCATCATAGGAGATAATATTGAGATAATAAAAGTACATTGTAAGAAACTAATAATGCTGCGAGTAAAGTTGGTCTTATAATAAATGACGAAAAGACAGAATATACGAAACTCAACAGAAGAGACAGGACGTATCAACATGGAAAGAGTATGAATATAGATGGACATATCTTCCACGGGGTACCACAATTTAAATACTTAGGTGTCCTCTTAACTCAAGACAATGAGTTAAAGGTAGAGATATAAAAAAGAATACAACTACCAAACAACTGCTATTTTGGTACGAGAACTCTACTAAAATCCAGATCGATATAAAATGTATATGACATTAATACGCCCCGTCATCTTATATGGGTCAGAAACATGAGCATTAAGAAAGATAGGGAAATAAGATTGGTCACATTTGAAAGAAAAGTTCTAAGACGAATTTATGACCTTGTCCGACTCAAGAACCGGAGAATGGAGTTCTCCGAACTCCATGAACCAATGAGGAACTTCTAAATATGTTCCAAAGACCAAGTATTTCAAGGGAAGTCGCAAAAATATGATTGATGGAAGCCGGTCACGTCTGAAGAAAAAAAGACGCAATGATAAATTCAAATTAATTTCAATTAAAGAGAAACAGGAAGGGAAAAGATCACTAGGCAGACTACGCCTCAGATGTGAAGACTGTGTGAAGATAGAAGTTAAAGCAGTAGACCCAGGAGCAAATTGGAGAGAAGTAGCTGAAGACAGAATAAGTTAGATGGAAATTTGTTGTATGGGATGGTCTTAAAGGCCGGAGAACCCCAAAAAAACTGTTAATGTTAAAATTGAATAAAGTATCATTAAAACAGAACAATCTTATAATTTTTGAACATTCTAGATATTATTATGGTTCTTGTAAGAATTAATTTTCTGTTTATTATTATAAAGATTGAGTATATTTACTTAATTTTGTTTTAAGTAAAGTTGGCGTTAAAACTATCAATATAAAAACGTAACTATTGATCTTTTCATCTTGTACATTCCTAGTTGATAGGATGGAAGTTCATGTTGATATTTGAAACGAATAATTTATGTAAACTTTTATTATAATTAAAATCAAATCATTAGTATCAATGTAATTAATATCGTATAATGTATTGAATTTACTGAGAATAATTAAACACTTTTTATTTATTTATTTATTTTTATATTTTTATTTACTTATTTATTGATGTTTCAGAGAAACTAATACAGTACAGTTTTTAATACAACTATACTGTTGATACAATATATATATATTATACAGTATATATAACCTCTCAATGTTCAACAATAATCATAGTTTTCTGATTCACAATTTTTTTTCTTTTTTAAATTACACCAAGTTCCCTTCTTATACAGTAAAGTACATAAGTACTCTCTTATATATTTAAATTATATTATTTATGGAATAAGATATATTTTTAATAATTTTACATCAAAACATTGAATTTTTATTACAAACATTTATTTTATAAAAAAAATATGATCAATTAATATCAACCACTCTGGTAGTTAACGTTTGTAAAAGTGTTCATAAAAGACGTAACCATTTTCATAGAAATAAAAACCTTCAGGAGATAATGATTAATTATATTCGTAGTTATTCATAGCCAATGTACAATACAATAACATCAGCCGACACCTTTATAGTATAGGTACTAATATACCATAGTGTGTATAACAGGTATCTTATGCCCATAGAAATATTCACTGTTTCGAAATTTATAAATAAAACAGGATAAGTATCTGAACCTTGAATTCAGTTCAAAAAATATTTTTGTCTAAATTGTACGTAAAATTATTTTATTGTTCTAACAATATTTGTCGTAACAATGAAAGTTAAATTTTAATGATTTTAACTGATAAATAGCTTTTTATAAAATAATTAATTTATACTTAGTTTAAAATGTATACTTAATATAATATAATATACACAATTATAATTAACTTTTATTAAATAATAACAAGAGTGAATAAAATAGTCAAAAATTAAATGAAAATAAATTTTTTTTGTTGATAAGCAAGTTATTTTTATTTTTATTAAATTATTTTGGTTTGACAAAACGTCTTAAAAATGTACGAGTGTTTAAGTATTAAATTTTGACAAAGTGAAAATAAAAACAAAAGTCCGCTACATTGTTATAAACGATTATTCATGAAATGTTCATGAATGTGAAAATCATGGTTTTTCGAAAATCTTAACAATAATAAAATTGTGTACTTATTAGAATTATATAGCTGTTTTTTTCTTAAATTGTAGAACTAATTATTAATTATTTTGTAATTTTATAGGTGGCGAGGTAGTATATACAAATTAGTGTGGCCAGATTTAGCCGCATTCCTTATTTGTTATTATACTCTAAATTTTACGTATCGTTTTATGTTAAATGAACAACAAAAACGGTAAGTTTTACTTGTATTAAATAATTTTTTAAATATATGATTATTGTTAGCTAATTTAAATAAAATACTTGACTATAATAACATATCAAGATATTTTAAATCATAATTCTCTTTCACTGAACAAATATTTAATATTATTTATAATAGATTAACTTATCATATACATAAACTGACAAATTATTCAATAATTCTAGGTAGGATTTTTATAACTGACCATGTTAAATACTTATGGATATTTTTTTATACTAGTATAGAAACAGTTAAGTCTGTCATAAACAGAAATCTTTCATAATCAGAAAAATAACTATATCTCTATTGTGTTTTCGATAACAGAAATCATAACAATGATTTTATATACAAATAAATAATGAATTAAGGATTTCAATTTTATTTCAAGAATATTTGAAAGCATATCGGAATATTGCGAAACGTACAGCGATTTGATACCATTGTCCTTTGTACTGGGATTCTACATATCTATAATAATGCAAAGATGGTGGGACCAATATTGTTCGATCCCGTGGCCCGACCCGATAGCGGTTTATGTGAGCTCACATATTCATGGACAGGTATGATATAAACATATATATATATATATATATATATATATGTACAATATATTGTACAAAAATAAACATATTTTTGTATCTAGCAAAACCGGCGCCGAATCTAGGATTTGTTAAATGTTCTGGACAAATTGATTCAAATCTACAATGTGTTATATTATAACTTACGCGGCATAATGTCTTTAATTTTTTCGTATTTCTTTGCTACAATCTCCGAGAATATTAAATTATTATATTTAACAATATAATAATTATATTGATTCATTTTTATACAACATTTGTTTAACATTTAATTAACATTTAATAGAAATTTTCTTTAGCTGTTGAGTAAATCTAACCCGACCGTAGTAATCCTTGTCCAATTCGGGAAAGAACTCGCAATTGACCGTATCCAAACTTAGATCCGGCACTGCGTATAACTACTGCAGCACTCATATTTTCTGCGCGATATATCTGATTATTTAATAACCAGGACGAACGAGGCAGATTAATGAGACGGACGATAATGCGATATGTTTGTTTGGGATTGACTATGGTGTTCACCAGTATAAGTCCAAGAGTAAAGAAACGTTTTCCTACACTAGATCATTTCGTTGAAGCTGGTGCGTATTATCGTTAAATATATCGGTTAAAGATTGCTTAATCCTATATTATTACTATGAACTGAATACAACTGTTATGTTTGCATCATAGGTTTATTATTGGAAAACGAAAAAACAATAATACTAGACTTGAACGACAAATTCCCTAGACATTCCAAACACTGGTTACCGATCGTGTGGGCGGCAAGTATTGTGACCCGGGCCAGGAAAGAAGGACGAATCCGAGACGACTTTTCGGTCAAAACTATAATCGATGAATTGAATAAGTTCCGCGGCCAATGCGGTTTACTGCTCAATTATGATTCAATAAGTGTGCCTTTGGTTTACACACAGGTGAACTTATTACTATTTACGTTGTTATAATTTGGATAAAAGTATATATAATATTACAATATTGTTCGGTCGTACTATTATTGAGAGGTTGTCAGCTATCACATTTAATTAGACCTCTTTTCACAATTTTTTTTCCACATTTTAAATTTTGAGGCAAGCTCAAAATCCAGTTAATTGTTTAAAGAAAACAATAATATTTTTTTCTTTTTCTACTATCAACATTTTGGGTGCATAATCACATCTACGTAAAAACAATGTAAACAATGAGAGGAAGTCATTTTTTCGATATTATGAAAGAACTGAAAAACAATTTTAATTAATGTTATTTTGAATATCAAACATATAATAAAAAAGTAATTCCAAGAATAATGTATGAACAACGCCGGTTAGAATTGGATTCTAATTCGTTTTTTAAAGTAAAATATAATCATTAAATTAGATAGTTTAGACTGGTTAATTGATTATCATCAAAATGTATATTACGATGATGAACGAAATGATTAATGACTATTAGTCTTAATTGTCTCAATATTATAGAACGTTTATAACAAAAAATAAATAAATAAAACAAGACTCCTAAAATTAAATATACTTGTATAGAAATGTTCACGTATAAAACAATTATTTAGTACTACGTCGAAACAAAAAAATTGTCTTACCTGTCTACAAAATTTGATTACCGAATTCTGTTATAATACGTTAAAATCGTTTAATTTTAAAAGTAATCAAATAAAATAGCGTTTTTAAAAGCTATCCGTGCAGATTTAGTAAATATATTCGTTTGGGGTTCATCGGTTCAGACAACTTTCGTACCAGTGGATCACAAGGCGTCCGGTATTGCGCTTGATCGTCGTGTATGAATGGTCCATATGAATGCACTTGTGGGCCCATGACTTCAGCGAAGTGCTACATCCAACGAACGCTAAACTACTTTGGTTCCGGTGCCTGCCTTCCACGTCCGACCAAATGACCCGGTACATCTTTTTGTTGTCCGATCCCGCAGACGACTGAACGTCCGTGTCCTGGTGCACGAAGAACACGCCGATCCGAAATCGATTCCGCGTCACCCTGAACAACAGCACCCAGAACAGCCCGATCGGTGAGTGGACCAGGTACGATCGACGCCTATGGGACGTGATCGAATTGGCGTCGTGTACTGATAGCTGGTTGCGCTGTGAGCATAGAAAACGATTCAAATAACAATCGAACGCAACGTTTATGCTTTCAACCCCGGTCGTTCAATGCAAACAGATTTTGATATGTTCTACCCTTACATAACGAGTTGTAATAGTTATTTCCGGTTCGTCGTGCAAGCTAAGACACGCGGGTGTTTGGTTCAGATATATTCGATTATTCGACACGATTTGAACTACTATTTTTGGTATAGTTTTTTTATACTAAACAACATTTTGATAAAACATATGTGTTGTTTGTACCAAAGCAATACACAAAACAAAGAGCGCGTCGGAGTTTCGAGAAATAGATTATGTATAGACATTAAACGTCGGTATAATCGACTGATAAATCAGTTTAATGTACTCTTGCTGTAGTCGCCGATGTACGGTATTTCCTGAAATGATTTTTACACGGTTTGTCGAGTGACGTCGCAATACGATGTTCAAATGTATGGTCTATTATAAGTTGCAATTAAACACGATAACGTAACGGGATTCCATGTAATAAGTTATTATAATAAATATAGATGTTCAAAATTGATAACCACTCAGACTTCGTAATTTCAAACACAGTTTCTATAGGACCACACATTGTTAAACTTTGTAGTGTAAAAATAAAATGTTGTACAAATAAATCCATATTAAGACGTTACACTTTTGAAGTCTAAAAACATGTTTTGGGAAAATCACACTCATTTAGGCTACAATAATCGTACAAAAACTAAACTTTTCACTTTTAAACTTCACTTTTTAACTAGCGTCCTCTTAATATACGCAGAAGTTATCTAATCCGATGAATGAGAACCGCATATTATTCTCTGTAACGGTGCATTTGACTTTTTTATTATATTTTACTCGGATACGTGATAACGAGATATGAGGGTGGACGAATGTTAATCAATAAAAATATTACTGCATCTTATAAAATCTGAATTATTTTAATATAGTTTCTGGAGATAAAACTTAATGATAAGCGCTGAACAACAGTGGCATAAATAGAAATTTTTTTCACTATGGGCTAATTTTTTTATGAATACATAATTTTTTAAAAATAGTGTAATACCATTGGTTCGGCGTGATACATTATCACTTTATCGGTTATTTATTATAAAAGTACGAACTAGAAATTAGTCATTAGACTAAGCTTTAAATCATGATTATTTATAATGTATGAAAATTAAAAACAGTAGTTGAAAGATCTAAAATGTTTTCATCTAAAATTTCACTATAGGCCATGGTCCCAAAAATTATTAATTACAAGTTTTCTCAAAAACAACAATACAAAAAGATATATGATTTAACACTTAAATATCTTATTTTTTTTGTAATTTAACACTATTATAACTACTGAACTGCTTATTAAAATTTAATTTAAAGTTACTTAAATTAGTTATTGCATTGATTTTTAAATTTTACGAGACGCGGGTATAAGCTTTCTGTTTTGTCTATAATCTCGTCCAAGTTTGACTGCGTGATGGCCATTTTTACTCTGTTGTTCATACATAAAAAGTTGATCGAAAGAAGATCAAGTATCCTAAAGCTTTCTCGGCCTTTTTCTTTTGATCATTATGAGCCGTCCAACGAGTTTCTAATGGTTTAAATATTTTTCAAATCGTCGACCCTCAGACCACCTATTGGGAACCACATCTACGTATTCGATTTGTGCAGACCGGTTTTCGCAGCGTTACAAATCGTGTACGTGGGCTGGAAAAAAACAAAACCAGAATTATATCGGACTGGATAACTGGGGTCTCCAATGTATAGCCCGTCAAGTTAATTGATATTTTTTTCAATATTATTCCGAATCTGAAAAAGTGTGCAAGTAAAACGATTTCAACGTTTAGCTCCATTTATTTTAACGGATGTTTTCAACTGTTAAATACGGCAAATCTTAGTATAGAACTAACTTAAGCAACGAACATTTACGAGCGACGCCGTCGATTGGAACAACAACGTTTTGATGGCAGCTATCAAACAATTTCAAAGTACAGCAACTTACTCGTATATCAACGAAACAAATGTTTAACCATAGACATACACATTTTTCTAAAATCTTAGCAAATCTCATCTATTATTATCTGTTCATCGTTTCCATTGCCTGTCCGTTCCTCTAAAAAATTTAAAAAGTTCTGGACCTCGGCGCGGAAACGTATCTCAGGTTCGACCCACCGCGAAACGAAAAAGTCGGATACCCCAGTTAGGTTAGTATATTATCACTGCGGAAAATCGCGCGTTGACGTTTACCGACGTTTTCACGACGCTGGCGTGACGGTGAAAGCGACGCACGTGCTCGTACAGCTGACCGTTGGCGCCGACCCATTGGCACATGAACGACAGACACCGGGCGGTGGGCATGTACGCGCACTCGGACTCGTGGAACGTCACCTGGTCCAGGCGGAACAGTTCGGCGCAACCGTAGCCGCGGTGCGGGCACGCCACCTTCATCGCGCTGGTGATCAGCGACAGCCCGGACGACGCGGCCGACGTGTACGCGTTGCACACTATCGGCGACCGGCACATCGGGCAACCGGGCGCCGGCGTCCGGCGGTTCAGCAGCATCAGGCAGCTGGTGCACACCATGTGCCCGTTCGCGCACAAGCACGCCATGCGCGTGGCCAGCGACAAGCACACCGGGCACTCCAGCAACCGGCACACCCGGTCGCTGATGTCTTTGACCACGTCCGGCTGGTCCGGTGCCGCCGTCGCTTCCTTGTCCGCCATGGCCACTTGCATGTCCGCCGCGGCGTCATCGCGATCGTTTCTCGTCTCGACCGCCGTCATCGTCCGGTCGCACTGTTAACGGCTCCCCGCTCGGAACGCTGCTGTCCACCGTCGCGATTTAGCTCCGTCACCGTCGTCCCGTTCGGCTGTGCGATTCACCGATTCCGCAAACGTGTACTACTCGGTTCGCGTGTCGTCGTCGTCATTCGCAACGCGGCTAGATACAGTACCGACGGTCCGTTTGTTTTTGGCCACGACGGTTGATCGACAAAACACGGGCGGCCGTGTGTCCGGCGGTGATTTCGTTTTTCGTCGCGCACCCCAAACGGCGTTTCTCGGCTCTACTCCGCGTCCCGCGATCTCGGCGCGATCAACCCCAAAATAATTGCCGTGGACGAGGACAGGAGGTTTTCGGCTGAAGCCGTTCGCTTACGCTTCTCTGTGTTTCGTTTTTAAGCAATACGGTATTGAATGTTGTCTCCTCTCGGTTTCTTTTAACCGGGACGAATCGAATGACCGGCCGGGATACCGGGACATGCCGTTGAAATCGGGACTATCCCGGTCAAACCGGCATGAATGGCGAGCCTTAGTATAGCTGCATTATTATAATATCATGCATGCGTAGAACACGACAGGTAGATGTTTTTTTTTTTTTTGATCGTCATGTATGCCGTACGTTTTTTTTATATACACAAATCAAGTTCGTGAACTGCTAACATACTGCGGTATAGGTGTTGGGCGAAACAAGTTTCACGAGTAATGACTAATTTTAATGCGTCTCTTTACGCTAGAAAAAGTACTATACAGCACTTTTTTTTCTTTTTTATTACTGACGTAAAGAAATTGCGTACGTTTCACTGATGATACGTTTAAAAACGTAAACTGTTCGCTTTTTATTTTTCGTTTTTTCTTATCTGATTCATATTGAATCTGAGAAATTATTTTCATGAACTGTAATCATTATAAGAATTTAAAATTTAACAAAGGACGAAAAACGCATCGGTTTTTATTGAATATTAAATAATTTTATGAGCATACCTATTTCATTAATTTTCAGTATTATAAAATCCGACCCCTGTGCTCATTAAAATGTAATAAAAAAATATGATATGTTGTAAACAATAATTAATAGAAGATCAAAGGCGGTGAAAAATACTCTGTTAGAACTATAACGTTTCATCGTACCTTCTAAAATTACACTTAACGCAGAGTCAACGGCCTTGATAAGAAATACTTTTACTCGACTAGATTTTGTTTTAGTAATATAATTGATAACGTAGTATCAAAACCCACGTTACCCACAAACGACCGACGTACGATTTTTCAAAAATTAAAGCGTCAATAATGTGCTTAATAAGGATTAAAGTTGAAAAACTATTTACACAATGTGCCTATACTTGGTCTAATACGTGTGCCAGGTACAGAATTTAATCGATTACCTAAGCTCATGCATAGAAACTCTAACAAGTGTCTGAAATAATAAATTTGATGTTGACGTCTTAAAAAAATATTAGCTTGAAATACATTGTAACCTAAAAAACACAAAAGTACCTTACATACATCAAGTATAGAGTACCATACATATTTTTAAACACAATCATCCTTGAAATATAATCACTTAATTCAATTCTTATTTGCACTGAAATTCCACAGATTACAATAAACTTGAATATGAAACAATATAAACATAGTCTGAGTTCAAAGAGTGTAATAGAATTTAGTGAGACTAAAATCGTCTCTATCTGCACTCAGCATATCCTGCGGGTAAAATAGTCCGATAAGCGAGATCATTGTTTCTCGATTAACGGGAGATTATTAAAAATGTTCTCAAATTACAACGTGCAATAACAAAAATTTAATCGTTAGTCAGTGTGCTATTATTTATAATTGCCACTAGGAACTGCGGTATCGTATATAAGACGATGCAAGCCACCGTCCACAGCACTAAATATCATTGTAACATTCACGTTTAATTTTTCATCAGTTGCTTACATTTTGTATTAATTGTCCATATATACGTTTGATTATTTTCAGGTCGTCACGTTAGCTGTTTATTCGTTTTTTATCACAACCGTGATGGGACGACAGTGGTTGGAAAAACCTCTGAACGAAAACTCGTTCACGGCAAAATCATCGGGATCGAGCCCGCCGCATTACAATTACATCGATTTGTATTTTCCAGTGTTCACTACTCTGCAATTTTTCTTTTACATGGGTTGGCTCAAAGTGGCCGAATCACTGATCAATCCGTTCGGAGAGGACGATGATGACTTCGAAGTCAATTGGATCGTTGATCGTAATGTCCAAGTATAATAATATGATGACAAATATTACAAAACCTATTATCATTATATTATGCTCGCGGCTTGTTAAATCGTGCCCCAGGAGGAAGTGTTTGGACACGACGTGTGTTGATTAACTGTTTTTTTTTTTTTTTTAATCCCCAGGTGTCTTATCTGATCGTCGACGAGATGCATCACGAGCATCCAGAACTAATCAGAGATCAATACTGGGACGAAGTGTTCCCGACGGAATTGCCATATACAGTGGCCGCGGGCGAACGTGAACGACATCCCGAACCGTCGACGGCCAATATAGCAGTGTCAGACGCAGATGCGGAGTATTCAATGCCGCCCAAAGGTTGCGACGACGGACAAACTCTTGTGAGTAATGATAATTAAAATACGATAATTTGTTGTTTAAATGAATAATATTTTTTTGATAGACACGCGTCAGTACGACGTTTAGTTCACTACTGTTTTATCTTTCTATATTATTCTAATCAGTACGTTTGGACCTTAAAATAACCACGTTTTTATGCCAAATATATATAGAAATAGTTTGTCGCAGCTATTGCATGAGGTCGTAACTACAGCTACGGAAGACAAGGAGGTTATAGACTCAGTGATAAACATTGAATTGCTCGGGTGGCCGTCCAAGCACTTTCATTGCACTGGATAACACGAAAATGAGCGTGGTAGGGATCGGAGACGTAAAAAGTTCGGTTAAACTACAGGTGATGCCGAAACGTGGGTGGTTTTCTTTTTTTACCAAAATTAATTTACGATATATCTGCTTCAAGATTTCATCGGTCGATAACTACTCATATGTATACACTTGTAAATATGCGTTAATATTCAAATAGAACACGTTACTGTATTCTATTGTGCTCGGAATTTTCATCGGTCGGAAATACTCACGTTTTCTGGAATTCCGTCGCGAAAGAATGGAAAAATTTATCGAAAACTGTACCGTAAGTCCAAGCGTCGAAACGTTCGAGGAAAACGATATAACCTAGAGGCAAACCTACTCTCCGAAATCGGAATACAATAACAATATTGCTGTATTAACAGAACATGCTTTATCGAGTTTTATAACAAGTAGAGATTTTTCTAATCGTTTCGATACGAGCTTTATCTATACGTGGCGCACATACACTAACTATATTTACACGCGTTCTCGTGGTTCAGAATAATCGTATTGCACATTAATCGTATGCCGAAATATTCGTTTGCAGTGCCGTCGCAAGCTTTTGCGATGGTCCTAGGCAAAACCAATACAATTTCCCTACGCACAGACATATCTAACTATTCTTACATTGATAAATTGTGGGCCCCCGAATGTGTTTTAAGCGCGAGAGATCCCTAGGCAATTGCCCAAGTGGTTCTCCCGCGGACCGGTGGTGTTCGGGGTGTCGACGGTCGGGTTGTTACGATAATCCGTGTTTGCGATCCGCAGGATGAAGATGACGCAAACAGCGGCATACACTTCGTAGCAAGCGCGGGTAGCTACAAGAGATCAAACAGTCTACTGCGCGGGCGGCCGGTATCGACGCACAGCTCTTCCGATCAACCCAACCACTTGAACAATCACAGCGTGGCCAGTTCACTCAATCGCGTTGGTTCGGTAACGTCCATACTGAAGAATCTGTTCAAGCGCACCGGCACTTCTGCCCAGTCGACCACTGACGGTAAGTCACGGCCGCGTTTCTTCCCCGTTGTGGCGCGTACAGATATCCAATATGACAGCGTTTCTCGTCCTAAATGTTATTTTTTAACGTGACACGCGCGTTTATTACTTGTCCCGTAGACAATGAGGGACATATTTAGTGCCGGATTAAGGTCCAATGCCGCCCTGGAGTAAATAATGTTTGCCCCTCCCTCTCCCCACAAAGAAATAAGGTTTAAGTGAGACAAAAAAAAAAAAAAAAATCCTAGTTTCTATGTATAAATAAAAAAAATAAAATACTACTAATAAATGTATATATAGGTACCAAATATAATAATTAATCTACTTAAACTAAAAAGTATAAATAGGTATATGTTAAATGTCACAGAATATTTTTGCAAAGAATTTTTTTAAACTAATGGAAAATACTGACAAAATACAATTATAATATTAATAAATTGGTTCAAAATATACAGATAATAATTAATTTTTAATATTAACGCCAATTAAAAAAAAAATTCTATAACCATATAACTATGTATATATTATAAATTATTTTTATTTTTTTTTAATTATATGTTTTTGTGGATTTAATAGTTACAAGTTTTTATGTTAGTTCTTATCACTTAATTTCCTCAGCCAAATCAGATTCAATGCATAAAATTGATAAATTGGACATTTTTTCTTGTTTTAATGACGATCTTAAATAATTTTTTTGAGGCTATTTTATTTATGTCGCCCCACTAAATTTGCTATCTTGGAGCAAATGCTCCATTTGCACCTAGGTTAATCTGGCCTTGGACATATTATTTGTAAATTGTGAAATCATTGATCAGGTTCAAATTTGGGTTTATGATGAGGGGATCGAGGGGATTTAAGAGTATGACGACAATAATATGGTTATGGACCAAGGGCGTATACCAAGAGGCTATGTGAGGGGGGGGACTAAACTAATTTTTCTTCAATACAAACTTAAAAATAATTTTCAGTTCATTACCTACAGCTCATGTTTCTGTTATAATGATTACATATTATAATGATAGACTAGTAATTTATAATTTAATTTTTTATACATTACATTTTTTAAGTAAATCAATATATTATATTCAACAAAAATACGAGTTATGGGAGGGGGGGGGGCGAATCCCCACCCTCAAATTAGCCCTTTTTATGGACGAAGTTATCGGGTACTTTGATAGAAAATATACTGCGTATTTCCGTGATGGCAATTTCAAGTTACTCCATCGTTTGGAAAAATGCATACATTTGAATGATGAATATGTAGACAAATAGTAAAATTTATAATATTTGTTGTGTAAAAGTTCTAAAGTAATAAATTAATTTTTCTTTATTCATTATACTGTTGTACCTTATTTATCGGATAGCCTACGTATATCATTATATAAATTTACCCAATCCGTTTCTCGTTCCACTTCGGACATTTTTAAAAAGATATTTTTCTTTTAAAGATATTGAAATCGTTTGATTGATTTTCTTATAATGATCATATCTTATAATTCATTTCAATAAAATATAAATTAAATACCTTTTTCTAAACAGTTATTAATTTTAAAATAAAATGTTTATTACGATTGAAGTACATGAACCGCAGTAAACAAAAACGGCCAACCTTAAATGACTACGTAAACATAGTTAAAATGTAAGAATTGTGTGCCTAATAGACGGTATAAGCATTTAAAAAAAAAAAATTATCGATGTTTACTTCGCGTTTTGATGTTTAAGGAACGATAGCTTTACTACAAACGCGTTTATCATAACCAATTATACAGTTGACAAATATTGCATTCATTTCTGGCGGATAGATATTTCTTTCGCGATAATTGCTGTTGTGTATCCTTCGTAATAACGCCGGTACGATCATAATATCGGCGTACTATATATCATTGTTTTAAAAATCTCGACGAACTGTTTTAACCGTTATTATTATTTTTTATTGACAGGGTTGCTATCAAGAGTATCAAGCAGCAATAGATTTCCCGGCAGTAGCTGGCAGAGTCAAGAAAGTCTGCAAAGTAGTAGTAGCAAATTATTGCAACAACAGTTCGGGAGTGTCCGCATCGCCGATCAGGTACGAACGTTGTTCACATTTTCACATTACAACTCGTAATAGCAACGTACTAATTATAACTACACGAATCAGTGGTTATAAGTATTTATTAATGTATTCAAGTATTTATTCCAAATAGGTACTTATAAAAAAATGTTTACCCTAGTCTGCGCATATATAAATAAATCAAATAATATATGATGCATATTATACACGTGAATATTATGTAACCACTGATTCGTTTAGTTACAATTAATACGTCGCTATTACAATTATTAAGTTGAAAATTATTTTAAAAAATAAAAATAAATATTATTTAAGTTTTTGAAATAAATTCTCAAATACTTATATAATATTTTTTATTTTTAAAATTACTTTTCACACCTTTTTCCAAGATGTACTTCCGTGTATATTTTGTATTGGTGTAATTAATTATCTTATCATCGTTGCTAGCTCGTTGGCTATAACTATAAAATGAGATGATAACAAGATAATAACATTGACTCATTAAAAATAGTAGAAACCAAAATATTATAATATAATTATATTATACTTGCAAAAAGTGTTCAAAATTCTGCAGAAAATGCTTACAAAAAAAGTATTTCAATCATATTCCAATTACTAGCCAAGCAGTAGGTTGTAGTATTAGTAAGCAGTAATAAGTACTATATGCGTACATGCATAGGTGTGCACACGGGGGGTGCCAGGTGTGCCCGGACACCCCATGAAACGTTGTAAAATGGGCCCTACATTCAACAAGTCTCAGAGTAAGAGTTCCGTATTTTAACCGATGTTGCTCGAATTAATTCAAGTTTATTGTAAAATATTTGGTAAAAATTAAATGGCGTCTAGTAATAAGAAAAATAAATTTTCTAAACATTCGAGCAAAAACTTATTATGATAGTTTGGCAGCTACAATTTACTACAAAAATATATTCAAGGAAAACATATTAGTTGGGATTAGTATATCATAATATTAAATAAAAAATTTAAGTTTTGTTTATTTAATTATTTATATGTTATAATCTATACATTTTACGCGTTTTATTAAGATAGGGCCCAAAATTATAATAGGCACCCTCTGAAATACAGGTCTGCGCATGTCTATGCGTTCATGTGTATAGTATCGTATGAACACCGTAAATTGAGAACCAATTCCATTGATTAATTTTAACGAAAAGATAAATTTATTAATTTTTATAATTCATGAAATCCAAGATGACACGAATAAGTCATATTTTTCGATTAAATATATATTGAATAAATAGTATTGTCGCCTTGTCACCAAATTTATATTGGATTTTTTCGGTACCTTAGTTAACTGTGAGTATCGACAACGACATTTATTAAAAAAACTCATACTATTCGATGAGAAATTGTTATCTTCATTAGTACATTCTTATACGATTCTTCCGTAAACATATTAAACCTATATCTCAATAATAAAGGTGAATTTAATCAGCGACTTATCTACCTTGTGTCTATAATTTCTCTGATCCACTTTATCCATGTTATGTACTTAAAATATCAACACAACAGTTTCATTATATTCAAACAATAATGTTTGCACTCATCTTACTATCTAATCTAAGCGTTCTCGTAATTTAAAGGATGCCGTCATACGCGAAACAAGACAAGTAACATTAACGCACCACTACAAATTACTTGTTCTGTATTAATAATACAGGAATACTTGTTATCAAATAATAAGTTTGTTCTAGAATTTTTACTGTTTTTTTTTTTTTTTATTTTTATTATTTTATTATACATTTATGGATAATTGGGTCATTCGGTGATGGATAAAATGAAAAAATGGAATGAAAAAAAAAATGAAAAAAGTTAATAACATTTCCACGCTTAACACCGCTTTATAAAAGGTTCACAGCGTTATATTTATACATATATATATATATATAATACGTACATATATTACAATATTAATTCAGTATGTTCTATTTGCGAATAGGTTATAGAAGAGCTTGACGAGCAGATGACGATTACAGCTGGAGGCAGACTGGAAAAACGTAATGAGAAGCCGAACGTGCGTACAGTGTTTCCTCCGCAGCCACCGTTGCCCAACGAATCAGCGTCGTCTAATTTATCGAACATCACTTACACTGAAGTATTATCAGTGAACGATGAGTTTGGAAATAAACAAAGCGATCAATTGGTACGTAGTGACAGCGACAGCAGTAATCGTCACACTCCCAGTACGTCTAGTTTGATATTTGTCGTTGATCCAGTAACCAGCGAAACTGCGGCAAACAACTCTCCTAATAGTAGAACTTCATCAGTCACCAACGATAATGAAACATCAAGACGAACACCCGAACATCATGACTAGTATTATTTCTTAATAATGGGCTAGTGTTTTGTGAAAATAAATAGTTAATTTTGTAATTATGAACTATAAGACATAAAATGTATTCTAATAGATATCAAATGTTGTATATCCTTACAATTTTTTTTCTCCAGTGGCTAATTTTCAAATATTTTGTGGAGTTAAACCTTTTTCTAAAAAATAGGCGATGATAATTTTATAAAAAAAATACATAAAAAGTATGAATTAATAATAATATTATTCTGTCATTCTTATTAATTCAAATTAACAGTTATTTACAACCACATGGTATAGATACATTAATGTTCTTTCTCTGTACCTTCGTAACAAGTCATTAATGACTTTTGAACCTTTTCTTTCTTCTGAGGGAGTTGAGACTCGGTCTTAAAATACACTACTAGTTTTAATACATTATAATACCATACTTTAACTGTACATAATATATGTTTCACGATAAATTTTGTTTACTAAACGCTAAGTAAAAATATACGTTTTACAAATCGATGAACAGTTTAAAAATCAATTAAATTCTCAAAGTTACAAAACTACATTTTCATTATTTTGAAAATTATAATTTAATGATGTATTTACATAATATGTCTTACAATGAATCTAAAATCTATTGGTTTAAAAATATTTTTAATTATAACTAATATTAGATAGAATTACAAAAAAATGAATTCTCTTAAGGTATGTTTTCACTAGATCACACGCGAACAAACATACTTTTCACAATTCAAATTAGTTTCATTTAAATTAATGAATGTCTATACAAATGAAATATATTAGTATGGATCTCAGCATTCATTTACGGCTAGGGCTAGAACCGCTGTTAAAGGGGTGGGCGGCAAATTTTTGAGGATCATCATAAAATAAAAAATATATAATTATAATTTTTCTTGTACGATTGTATAACTATAATACATATTATTTCTATTACATATATTATTTTTCATTTCGAATTGTAATTTTTTTAAGGGCGGCATATTTTAATTTGTTTCGGGGTGGCTACATAACTTAACGCGGTACTGGTCGGGGCATTTTATAGGAGAAAATATGTTATACAGGACAATCTTCTTGGTAGAAGCTTATATCCTATCCAAAAAAATAATGGGACAATATTATACCAAAACGGTCTTTATTTTCATAATCTATATATAATTCTTTTATATTTACTTTGTAACCCCCCCCCAAAAAAAAAAAATCAATAATTTTCATTATCAATCACTCACTGCAATGTTATAAAAAATATTCTAAAGGAAAACATTTTTCAATCCCCCCCTCAAAAAAAAAAAAAAAAAATCGGGATCCACCACTGTTAAGAAGTATTGATCAGATAATTACTGATAACATATTATCTGCTGATTTTAGTACTATAGAGCAGGGATGGGCAACTCAAAGTTACTAGATGGCCAATTTTTAAAAAATTAAAATCTAGTGGGCCAGAGCATAAAAAAAAGTCATTCAAATTATGAATTTATGTACACGGTAATAATAAATTCAACACACACGATAAAATAATATGAAGAAACTAAATAGTTAGGTACAAACAACTAAGGTTAAAAGCTACACTTAAACATACATATGACATTTAGACATTTAATGATGTTTAATACTAGATAGCAATTATTATATCGATAAATTAGAGTATAGACGATATACTTTAAAATCGTATGATGTAATCTTAAAATACAGCACGGGCCGGATAAAAAAGGCTCTTGTGAACCACAGGTCACCAGTTGTTCATCCTTGCTATAGAGGAAGAAAGTGAAGAGGAGGATTAATACAACACCAATTCTCCCCGTAATAAATGCACTTGATTATGTACATGAACTAAGACGATTAATTTCATTTTTTTACAATACAGATGAAACATTAATAAAAGATAAAATAAAAAACATAATGTTAAAAACTTCCTGAAAAATTTATAATTTTTTAAATAAAGTATGCAATTTATAGGTATGTGTAAACGTAAATTTTAAGATAATATGTAATTTGAAATAATAAAAATAAAATTTAATAATAAGTATAATAATTAGTATACTTATAATAATGATATAATAAAAAATTCATAATTTAATGTACAATTTTTTGGTTTTCCCGCATAATACGTTTTTTTAACTGGGTCCCTCGAAAAGCGTCTAAAATGGATTCTACTGTATTTCAAGAGCAATTATAGTCCAGTGACTGAGTCTACGTTGCTTTTGTAATCCTTCTGTATTGGATCCCGATAATAGACTTCTTAACAGATGAAGTTAAAGATAATTATTATCTGATAACTATACGTTTTTACAACCACTATCTTTTAGTGAATTCCGACATAAAGTATGTAGTCCGAAACTGGAAGTGTGCACGGATTTTAGAAATGTGTACATACTAAATACTAATAAATAAGATTACTATGATGATGTTTTTCAGGAAGCCAGTTTAAGACAGCTGATGTGAACTTCAATATATATATTAAATTTTAAATTGGGTATATGACCCATATTAAAATAAATAATTTGTAAATGGTACTGATTTATACCAGTCAAAAGTACATTTTTAGCTTAAAAAATCATGACAGATTGGTAGTTACCTAATTATAATGTGCAATTTGATTAATAAAAAAGAACTATTACTAAAATTATTACTGACATTGTACTACAAATTATAATCATATGGAAGGGGGTAGAGGGGATTCTGTACCTTATCATTGTACATTCAAAATGTTTAGTACAAATTTTTATGAAAAATAGGACTGCGTTTTTATATTAATAAAATAAAAAATATACACCACACAGCACATGCGAACATTTGAACGATTACACTTTCCATTCCAATCCAAATACAATTTCCTACCAACATAGAAATTGCACAATACTAATTTATAGGTAGAACACGATTCCGTACATTGTCCTTTTTGGCAATACCATTGCGTACGTTTGTAGATGGTTAACTAAAAGGTAGATAAGAAAAATAAATAAACACGATTGCGTATGGAATTGTATGCAACACTGTCAAATTTACTAATTTCATGATATATCTATTAGTGTTCATATACTAACAATTCTATAATATCTTATAAAAAAAATGAAAAAATAAATAAAATTGACAGTTTTTATTTTATTGAAATTATAGTTAGTAAATTATTTGAAAATACTTAAATTTGGATTCCTTAACTTCTTTAACCTACTACTTTTACTGAAATTCGGAGAATACCATATAACGGAAATAACGAATTTTCGTTATATCTGATATCATTAACAACAAACATAGGTAGTAAAATCAATAAAACACAAAGAATTTATTAACTTTTTTAAGTTCTCTAGTATAGGCATGTGGTATACACGAATACTGGTATGAAAATTGGCATCAACTTCGTACGCAATCGTGTAGTTAAAAATCAGGTAAAATCGTAAGGAATCGTGTAACTTAAAAAGGTATCGCTGATAACGAACTTACGCAATCATGTTTTACTCTAATTTATACACGTACGTACACAAATCTTGATAATTTTATATAAAAAAAAGGTTGCAAAATTACATTAATTCGCGTGCAACCTTTGGTAAATACACCTTCTATCTTACAAGTATAATATTAATCATTACATTTGTAAATAAAATGTAAATGACTAATTAATTTTATATTTGAATGTTCTATAAAAACTATAAATAAAAATATAATACAATAGTAAATATAAAATAAAATTATTTCAAAGGAATTTAGGTGGTTTAATAATAGTAAGCCAAGAAGCTATACTAGAATGAACTGACATAATTTTAATGATTTAATACAATTTATTAAATGTCTAAATAATATTTTGAATCATTTATTTTATTAAAAATGCTTATTTCATCTTTTATAATGCGATATGTATATTTGATGATGCCTGATGTTTTGGTGAGATTGCTATACATTAATTTGTATATTTTAATATCTAATTTATTTGTATGATTGCAATTGATTTAATAAATAAAAACAATTATAGCTATTTCATATTGATCAAACATCATTTAACTATTACCACATACATTTTCCCTGGAAATAATTTTTATCATCAACATACATTTTTAAAACCCATTAGGATATAAATAGTAAAATTAATTAATAATCAGAATCTCAAATAACATTATCAGTTATACTTTTAAGTTATCAAAATTAATTAAAATAAATATTATAAATAAGTAAAATAATATGAGTTAAATAAGAATCTAAGGTTCATGAAAAAATAAAATGGTTTAAACCTAAACCATGTCTTCTTGTGCATCCTCTGTAGTTGGTGGAGGGTTGTCATTATGAATGGCAGCTAACATTGATTCAATGTCCAAGTCGCCTGGTTTGGTATCCTCATTTCCAACATCTTCATCTCCTTTTTCAACACTGTCTGGAATTACTTCACCAGTTTCATCTTGAGTTGCTAAAGCATTTTCATTTTGAGTGAGTTCAGTTTCAGTTTCAGTTTCAGTTTCAGTTTCTTGTTGTTCATGTACAGAACCATTATCAGTTTCTTGTTGAGTAGAAACAATAGATCCTTCTTCTTGTTGTGGCATCTCTTCATCTGCATTTACAGCTTCTTGTTCGCCTTCCACAGTTCCTTCACCTGGGACATTTTCGTTCAATAGCATATTAGTATCCACTGTGCCCTTGTTATCTTGATTCTCATCAATATCCATAGTAGTAGACTCTGCTTGCTGAAGTTCTTCACCTTTCAATTCTTCCTGTTTGAAAATTTCTTTGGTAACATCTGGTGGATTTTCTTCACTTTCCTTATCCTAAAATAATAAAAATAGAATTATTTAGAATATATATATATATTTTATTATATTTATTATTTCGAAGAATTAAATATGATGGTCAACCTCAGTTGTACTTGCTGTTGATGACTGGTTATGGTCTTTTTGAATATGATCAAGGCAATGAATTCTGCTGTCAAATGATTTGGAGCATACTTGACATCTGTATAAACGTTTCTTCTGTGGCTGCGTTACCTGAGTAGATATAATAATTTGTAAAACATAGATATACAATGGAGTCTCACTAATCCGGACTAGATGGGAGCGGACTATCCGGATTATCGAAAATTCGGATTGAACGGAATAAAGTTTTTTTTTAACTTACTAATAAATAAACACTAAAAATAATAACACAATAAATATACTGTCAAAAAATACCTATGTATTTATAGAAATGCAAAATTTATTGATTTACAATTTTACATTACACATTATCATTGTTATATATGTATTACGTATGTATATCAATACACATTTATAGAAAATTAAAGAAAATCAAACTGAATTTACTTGAAAAACTCTGTCTTAATCCGGGTACACACCGAAGTATTTGGGTGTAATGTAACTGTAACGCTCAAGTGTGTAGTGTTACTGTATCAATCGCGCGCGGTCGACTCGCGATGGCGTCGATCTACCCGAGTCGGTATTTTGACGAATATTAAAGGAATGTTACATTACAACACGAAGCTTGTGTGTATGGTAAACAAGTTGTTCACACGTATCGCACTTATCGCTCTACCTCTACAGGACTATTTTAATTAAGTGTTTTATTTGTATTAACTGATATGATTCACCAGTTGCCAAAAATCGTAACGTAAAAGCTAACCTTTCTTGCGCAGGAATGGGTTTTCGGTAATTTAGACAATGTTTTGAAAATGTTGGACCTATCAAATTTATTAAATATTCAAACTCAATAAACAACATTCTAATTAAATTTCTGTACTATCCACTTATTTCCTGTTCCTTAAGAATACTTAATAAATCTGATCCACCACATATGTCCATAGACTTCATTAAATTCGTTTTTAACCATCTTCTTTTACTTTTTTTGTTTTTTAAATGTAATGAATTAAAATAAATTATACGCTAACGACTTGTAAAGAAGACATTGCATACGATACTACTCAAGAATAACTGATGGATAGGCAGACGAACAACCGGTACAAAGTATTGCTCGATCCTAAGCGTACACCCTAGTCGTTAGTATCATGTAATATACAAGTGAACATGAACTTCGTTACATTACACCAAAATTGTCTGGTCTGTACCCGGCTTTAGAAGTCTTAACGTCAGTAGTTCAGCAGAAGATGTTTCACTTTGTTTCTCAAAGTCATCAAGCTCCAGCATTGCAGTTGCTTCACCATGTGTTGGGCCCCTGTTAATTGATCTGTACCATCATCTTCTTCTTCTGAACTGTCAAGCTCTATTTCTGTGTTTTTAATACATGCATTTACAATTTCATTTTCACTAAGAACTTGATGAGCAACATCGGTGTCACTATTATCCATTCAGAAATATAAATTTCTTCCACATCGGCACAACCTTCTAATTTTTAAAAAACTTGAATGAAATCAGTGTCCTCATATGAAGTTGTTTCATATTGTCTATAGTTTTTTTGAGGAATATTAGGCCACAATTATTTCCAAATTTTTTGAAGTGTTTTTGGCTTAATATCTTCCTATGCTTCTGCGGCTAAATAAAGAACAGTTTTATTGTTATTTTTTTTTAAAAGATCTATAAAGTTAACTAACGGGTTCGCTTCTTGTTGCTCTAAAAGAAACATAATCAACTTTTTTCTGTAAAAACCGTTTTATCGTTTCAATCACACCTTGATCCATTAGTTGTATTAATTTCAACTCGTTAGGCGGCAAAAATTTCACGTAAATTTCACCCCCTCGTAATTCATTTTCATTAGGATGACACGGAAACGTTATCTATAAACAATACAAGCTTTTTCTAGAAGTTTTTTCTATTTCAAAAATGTCTTTGTTGTAGGCACGAATTTCTCAAAACACTAATTTTTAAAAATATTTCCGTTTGTCCAAGCAGATTTTTATGAAATATGTTGAACTGGAAGTGCATTCACATTAACGCTTTTTAAAGCCCTAGGCATAGCTGATTTTCCCATCGCCTAAAGTGGAAATTTTAAATCACCAGAAGCGTTACTGCATGTAAGTGAAGTTAGGTACTCGTGATTATTTTCACTTTATGTTTTTTTGGCTACAGAATCTAATTTTGAGACTTACGTTTTTTTTTTTTTTTTAAGTATTTTGTATCTTAACCCAGTTTTGTCAGCACTTGACAAGGCATTAAGTTTTCATCGGTAAAAAACTTTTCAAATTTCGTTTTTAAGTTTTCACTTGCAACATTGTCACCTCAGATAAAATTTCACTGCTTACACCAAGTTCACGAACGCCATGACGATTTTTCCACCGAGACAAGCATCCTACACTAGCAGTAAAAGTAGGATTTCCTTTTAATTTTTCATTAAATTTTATCACGATAACTAGTAACGTTACACCCGACAACACCCTGTTCACGTTGTTGACAAAACCAAATGTACAAAGCCTCGTTGTTTGGTTTTCTTAAGAGGACGCAACAGCAAATTAAAATATGATTAAATACTCTTTTTGTAATTCAAATGCAGTTTGTTCTACAACAATCGTATTATATAAAATGAAACATAAAAATAAAGATACTAGATCAACTATTTTTAACGTCATTTTATGCTTCTAAATCGAATTTAATAATTTTTACGAAATATCTTATAATTCATAGTATAATTAAAATATTTGGAAATGCATGTCCAGTATTTAATTTTGTTTAGTTTCCTCCGTACTAAAGTCTAAAAATCTGTGCCTATGCTATCTACATAATTCTAGGAAAATAATTCTTGTTCAAAATAGAATATTATCTACATCTTATGTTGTTTGTTATGTACCGTGGTAATTATTCATTCAAGTTTATGCGTATGCGTTGCTATATAATTGCATATAAGCTTGCATTTGACAGTGCACACTGCACACAGTTATACCTACTTTTTATGCATATTTTCTGTTGTCAAACAACTAATCCAAATGAAAAGTCAAAAGTTTCTTTCAAGGAAAAAAATCACTGAAAAATAGTATGTCTAAGCGCATGAAAAAGATTCAAGCAAAAGCACTGTAAATAATAATTTTTATAATTTACCTATATTATTTTTAATTTATACATAATATACAATATACAATTAATACATAATAATTAATTGGTAAAAAATATTGAGACTTATTGTTTTGTATTGTGTTAGTCAAATAATTTAACGTAAAACATTGTAGATCACGAAATGATTTGTCTTTTTTAAACTGCGTCAATAGTTTGATCAATAAATCTACTTCAGCAGCATCATATTTACCAAGCACAACAAAACCTAACTATGACAGAATTTTCGGAGAAATCAGCACCAGTTCTAATTTTCTTGTATAAAATAAGTATTATATTGTATTGCTTTAATAATAATTTTTAATTAATTTAAACAGTGTCGGCCTGACACTGGCTAAATGTGCCCTGGACGTATAACTCCAGAAGAGCTCATAATATTTAGTTATAGTTACATAATTTTCAAATTTAATATATAAACCGTCACCTGGAAACTGATGCATTTATATAACGATAATAACAACATAATTTATTTAATAACAATACAGTAAACTCCATGTCATCGTATTTAAATTAATAATCTAATGATTAAGGTAAAGACAAGTGTTAAGTCTAAGCTTAAAAACTATTCATTTGCGCCAGTATATTTTTGCACCATCGTCCTTAACTCATTGTAATACATAGGTTTCCGAAAAAAAACTTATATAGCGTGGGTGCTAAACTAGAATTTTTCTAAATTGTTCATACAATTGTCCTTCTTTAATTATTGAAAACTTAAATCAAAACAATTTATCAGATTTATTTTATTTTTCATAGAAATAGTTGGCAAAAAATATATAAACTTTTGGTTGAAAAAAAAATCAACAAACTAAAAAAATACGTCTTACTTTTGAGTAAAATAGTTTTCCCAAAAAAAACTAAAAACTATGCCCCAGATCAGAATTATGAACTAGCCGAGCTTCTTTATGATGCTATTTCTATAAAAGAAATAGAAAAAAAAATGAATTTGTAAATTCCCTTATTTTGAGTGACTCAGAACGAAAATTGTTAGAACAAACTAGAGCTCTCAAAAATGGTTCATTGAGAGGAAAATAGATTAACTGCTTTAAATTTTGGCCGAATTTGTAAATGTAGACCAGTCACTTCATGTAAGGCTACAATATATGGTTTACTTTATAGAACTTTTAAATCAAAGTCTATCGATAACGGAAAAACTATCGAACAGATTGTCATAGTTGAACTGGAAAAGTACCTCGGAAAATAAATTGAAATATGTGGTATTTTTAATGATTTTGAGGCAGTGGCGTATACATAACTTTTGTATGGGAGGGGATCAATTGCAAACAAATTATTATGAAAGGAAAATTCCTAAACCTAAGTACCTGCATATTTAAATAATAAATAATAAAAGATATATATTGAATGTGTCAAAATAATAATTTACAATAAATCGTTGCAATATTTTTTTGTTTTCTTATAATTTTCTTATATTAAGAACACTATTTTATACAATTTTAATAAGACCTATGGGGGATCTGACCCCCATATCCCTCCTTTTCTGAGGTACAATTTTTAGCTGTTACTCCGGGTATCTTTATTATTTTGTAACTACATACAGAAATTTCAAATCAAATTGTTATAAATTCCTTTTTTTAAACAGATAGTATTATTAACAAAGACTCAGGCAACCTATCTTTTAGAAATAAAAGGTCCCTATAGTGCAAAAGATTCAACAAGTTTTGCGGAAGCAATTCAAAATAAAAAGGTGAATTATATGTGTAAAATAAAATATAACTGCTTAAAAAAGTCTAATAGATATGATTTTTATACTTAATTTAAAAAAATGTTAATAAAAAAATGTAAATAAATAATTTTTTTAAGATAATTTTCAGTTACCATGCTGTAGAATTATAAATAATAAAATGGAACTAAAATTTGAAAATAATTATTACCATTAAATACAAGGGCAGATGCATATAATACCGAAAATTGTTACTTTATAGTATTTTTAAACCAATGGCTAGAAGTTCAAAAAGTTCAATATAATCACAACTTCTGGTTACAAAAAATGGTTTAATATTTAGAAATATAAGTTATTTCAAGAAAAAAGGAAAGATAATGATTTAAGTCATAAATATTAATTTATCGAGTTATATACAGAATGCATACTACCAGAAACAGTTAATCCACAATACGGTAAACGATTATTAATAGATGACATAATGTCCTTACGACGATTATCTGTTTATAAATATTTTATAAAAACTTCTCTCCACGTCCACTGAAGTGATTGGGAGGCACATACGAGCACTAAACAATGTTTTAATTTTCGTTATTTCAAAAATATTACGAAAAAATTAATAAAATTAAGAAAATATCTTAATATCTATTATATTATAATGGGTATAATTCACTATAACATGACAAGGCAACGACTGTAATCGACGAGATAAAATCGGATACTAATCGAATATTAGGAAAAAATAATAAAATGTAGGTATAATAATATTCACTACAATATGAAAACTACGAAAGTAATCGGCGAGATATAATCTGCAGTTATCGGTATAATGGTCGACAAGAAACGATAACTAGTGAACTAGTGTGAAATCAGTAAAATGTCAAAAAATGACTTAAAATGCACCAAAAATACTGAAAAATTACAGTAAAGCATAAAATTACATTAAAAATTTAAAATAAAAATTGCGCCAATAAATTTTATACAGTGGAATCTCGATAACTCGAATCGGTTGGGGGCAAAAAAAAAAAATTCGAGTTACCGAAAATTCGACTTATGGAAAACTATATTTATTGATAACTCGAATCGGCAAAAAAAAATTCGAGTTACCGAAAATATTTTTTTATTTAAAACACAAAGACTTCATTTTATCATTTTATTTATTTATTATTTAATAATAACTGTATAATGTATGAGGTATGTATATTTTATTAATATTTAAAAAAATTATAAAGTAGTAAATATGTATATCTATAAATTGTATGTAATAAAAAAAATACAATGTAATGAATAAAGTAGAACTATTTTTTAAAGAAATTTGATATTTTTGAATGTTTTTTATTGTTTGACCTATCTTTAAAGTTTTCAATATTATTTAGGTATGAAAAAATCTTTTCTCCAATTTCTCGTTATTCTTGAATATACTTACGTACAACCTGTAAACTATCTAATGCCTGGGCAAGAGTAGTTTGAGGCAAAACTGTATTATTTCGTTGAATTTATAACTGTACATTTTAGGCATTAGGTAAATATTAGATTGATAATATTAATCGGTTTACAATTACGATTAGTGATGGGCGAAACCGACTTATGACTCATTAGTGGGTAGTGAAAAATAAGTAAATAAGTTGGTTATTAATATTGACTAATGAGTAGTGACTTAATGACTAATAATAAACCGACTAACGAATATTATTTTAAATATTATACAAATAAACCATTAGTAATTTTTCTAGTATCCACCAAAATACCAAAATAAATAAATAAAACCTCTTTTTTTTTTCATTATTTATATTATTAATTAATTATTGACTATAGGTAATATTAAGTATTTATAGAACAGAAATAATATAATAATTTTTTTCCAAAATTAATCGGTTTATATTGGTTATATTCTTGAAATATTGTTCATTCATTGTATCGTTAGTCGTTAGTTGGTTTTAAATATTCGTTAGTTATTAGTTGGTTTTTAGAGTAAAATATGACTATTATTCGATTTTGCCCATCACTAATTACGATTATCGTTATTTATAATAATACACTTGGTTATTTGACCTTCGAGTTATCAAGTAATGTACGTGTTATATATTATTATATAAATTTGAGTTATAAGCCAAAATTCAACTATAATTACTTCGACTTATCGAGGAATTCGAGTAAGCGAAATTTGAATTATCGAGAAAATTTATCATGCACATCATTGTAAAGCATATCATATTGTAAAGCATTCCTTCGAGTTATCGAAAATTCGACTTATAGAAGTTCGAATTATCGAGGTTCCACTGTATTTCATAAATCAAATTTCTGTAAAGACGAACATGAAATGTAAGCAATAGAAAAAAAGATGCAAATGCATCAAGTTCCGGGCCCTACTTATTAGTTTTGTGTAGAAATGAAACAATACCTAATTTTACATGTTGGAATATTTCATTAAGTGCCATATTTTTTATTAAATATAATTTACGGGAATGAATTTTACTTTGACGCATATATATACCATACACGTTGAATCATAGATAATAATGCACAGCGACGGATGTTCATGAAACAATAAACCGAGCTAAGAAATTAATTTTTGACGGACCGGTCTCCGATTATGAGTAATGGGCGTCACGACGATGCGCTTGCGTCGTTGCGCCGCATGAAAACAATGAACAGCGCATTCTATCGGTCGTTGTATCATTTCATTTTTGGTGTGGCGTCCTCTTAACGTGCGTCAGTTACCTAAACTGTCCACACTTACAATTTTCGCACAAAAATGTTCAATTTCTATTCGATTTTTTTTCCAATCAGAACAGTTTACTTACCCACTCCTAACTCTTGCGCGATTTTTGTTAATGATTCACCAGCAATAATACGAAATAAAGCTTGGAGTTTTTGTTTCATTGTTACAGTCACTGTCTTACATTTAACCAAAGTTGTTATTATAATAAGCGGAGGAAAAAATAAACAAAACAGTCTACAAGAGTACACAATCACCACTAAATGAAACAATATCACAATCGAAACGATAATATCTTAATCATAAGTAATCCCGAATACATACATTATACATGAATACCAAAGTACGAAATATAAATTTCCAGATGTCCGGATTAGTGAGACTTTACTGTAGTATTAAAAAGTTTACTATTTATGCATATTCTAACTATGAATCATATGTATTCATATGTATCTATCTCATTTCAATGAACCTATTCTAAAATAACAAAGCAGGAAGAAAAAAAAAACAGAAAAAACATGCAAATTATAGTTATACTGTAAATAATCATAAATTAGATTTTGAAAAAGATAATAAAAAAAAAAAACTCGCAATCAAGCACATAAGAATTAAATTTGAGGAAAAAGTATTAATTTAAATTCTTACTGGAGTCAATGTTTTAGCAGCTGCTGTTTGGTTAACCTTTGATTCAGCTTCTTTTTTATGCATATGACTACGCATATGAAAACTGAAATTAAATTATATTTAATAAAAATAAAATGCAATAAATAAATATTAATAAAATAATTAATTAGGAACAAACCGAACATGTCCAAGTTCTTTAGACTGAAATGTGCAAAAACCACACTTATAAATTTTCATTTTGGAACTATTATCTGAAGAAGGTGGTGGTGTCTTCAACATTTTTAATGGAGAATGCATAGAAGGATGCGCAGGAGAATCTCTAACTGTCAGGCCACTAGGTACTTTTCTTTGACCAGCTTCCAATTCATCAGTCTTCAAATGTCCATTAACCACCTAAACAAATAACGAGGAAGATCTAACATTATTTAACAACAGTTACAAAATGCTTACATCAAGAGTTTTTACAGGTTGATCAGGTGGTATTATTCCATATTTTTTTTGAATATAAGATAGCATTGCATTTCTAACAAGTTTCAGATCATTTTCTAATTTATCCATATGAATCAATAATGATGTACATTTTTTGCACATATGATCGGCTGGAGTTACAATAACCACAAATTCTTCTCCTATAAGTTCAACTATCTTTTCTGGATACGGTATATTACTATGAGGTGTAATACTTGAACATACACGGGTGCGTTCACCATATAGCTTGGCATCACATATAAAACAAACACCCATTTTATCTGAAAAAAATAACAGTTTTATGATTTTATTTTGAGAATTATATAAATAAATGTAATATATAAGTGTAAACAAATTAAGAATTGATTTTTGAAATAATAATCAAAAATATATTTTATTTATAAAATGTCACTCTATTATAGAATAAATAAATTAAAACAGAAACAATAAGCATGACAATTTAATTAAAATAAACTAATACATAACTCATTAATGAACATTTTAAAATATATTACATTTTTATACAAAGTAAATTTAATTGAATATCAAAATTTTAAAATGTTTATCAATATCCAATGAAAGACTAATGGATTCAAATAAAAAAGAAACCTATCTGTTAATTGGTATTTATTACCAATATAAATGTATTTTGTTTTCCAGAAGCACAAAAATTTAAAAAAAAATTGCACCAACAAAAATTAAGTTCTATAAAAAAAAAAATCAAATTTTGATACAAATCATAACAAATTATAAAATATCCAAAAGGATTAATAATTAAAAAATAAAGTCAATTTCTAATCCGATTGTTCTGTGATCAAAATAAATGATTTAGTATTTTTAAAAATCTAATGAAAATCACAAAATAAAGTGTACAAAAGATGTGAAACAATTAACAAGATTGAGTGCCAAACAGTAGTACACATTTAAATGTATGTGCCAATAGTTAACGTGTCACATAGAATTTAATAAGAATTATAGCCTTAAACATATTTGAATGCTTTACAAACACAAATATTAACTTAATTCAAAATAATATTAAATCCTACAAATGCTGATTCCTATGCACACGTCTAGAAACGCGCGGCCGACACGACGAGATTTGAATTTTGACCGCGCGATCTAATATGAATAATGATTCCTATGTACGCGTAAGAGGAGCGCTGCTAACATCAAGAGACTAAAATAATTAGGCACGCACACACTGTTGTATCAAGTTCTCTGTTTGGTTAGGTACTTGTATATTCATATAAATGTATTTTAAAATATTATTATTAGTTTAACCAAGTCCTTAAGAGGGCGCTAAACGTAAAGCGAAATGTACAAAACGACCGAAAACTCGCAGTCGGCAACGGTCAGGATTACGTATTCAGTCGGGAGCGATATTCATTATTTTCTGAAACTTCGTCTATGACAGTTCGGGCAAAAGCCGCTAATATTTATAATATCATCTGCCCATACCGGCTCGATTTGTATTTATCGCATTATACATAATAGATACCTCTTATATATATATTATATATTATATTATATATATTATATATTTATATATTTATATATATATAGTAAACAGTACCTAATAATAATAACTCAAGCCCCAAATAAAATAATATTACCTAAATATGTAAATATTAGTTATTTGAGATATTATATGTCTAGCAGATAAATAATGTGTTGCGTATATCTTACATAAAATATTGTGTAATATAATATGTCCCTCTATACCATATAAAATTTTTATAGAATTGTTTTTGCTATAATTAATCATACATTAATTTACATTTTAAATAAAAATTAAAACCAAATAATTATGATATTAATATACCTTATATATTTTTTTCAACGATATTATTTTCAAATTTTATTACAAATAACTGGGGTTCCGCGAAGCTTAAATAATTTGTTAAAAATTTTTAAAAAAATTACTTTAAAATTTCCAACTTAAGATTAGTAATGGTGAAGAAATGTTTGCATTATAGAAAAAAAATCTTTGTATATTAAATAACAATGTACAAGCCCCATATGGAATAGTCAAAATTTATATTTAGTCTAATTAAAGTAATTATTATTAAAGTATTATTATATATGTAAACATTTTTTATTATTATAATTTTAATTTTAAAACATTTTTTGAATTAAATACCTGTAACACAATACTATTATATGATTATAATTGATTTACAAAAATCCTAAAAAAAGCTTATATATATAACTGTTATTTTTCAATTTGGAAAATATTTAATAAATTGTATTTGAAACTAAACCTAACGCCACAATTAATTTGTAATCAAGTTTAAAGCTACAAACATTTGTAAAATATTAATAATGTTTTATTTTATTCATAGTTAAGAATTTAGAGTATTTTAGACCAAGACCTCTAGATTACTATAAACTTAAGATTAAGTTAATAACTATTAATAAAAAAATTAAAAAATTAAAGGAACTTGTCTTTTAGTTAAATACTTATATAATACTTTAATATTATATGGTGATTATTATTCCTAAATTATAATTTAATTAATACTAAATAATATTACATAAACAAATGAAAAAAGCAATTTTAAAAAAGCAAAATTAGATTATTTATTTACTTAATGTTTATGTTATTAGTAATTTTAATTTGTGATTAATAAATGATTTAAATTTGGAGTTCTTTTTCGAGAGATTTTTTTAATTATTAATTATTTGATTATGCCCATCCCTACAAACAACAGTTACTCAAATATTGATGTGTTCCTTAGGATGCATCTGTAGTCGAGCGACCAATGCTGTGCAGCTAAAATTTTAACTGCGTGCATCGCAGCAAATTTTTATTTTTTCTAGTCCAACCTACATAATATTTTATTTGGGACCATGATTTGTACATGTATATTCAACCTGTTTACATTTGATTTATGTTTATGCAAAGAATAATGAATAATTTTGTTTACAATATTTTACGAAGCCATAAAAAAAATTTGTAACAAACTACTTATTTTAGAAGAATTTGATAATAAATTAACTATCACTGAACATTTAACAAAAAGGAAAAACAAGATATGTTTTCTTTCTTTGAAAAACTGAAAAATTTTATATTTTCCTCGTGGAAAAACATTTTTTTTTTTAATGATGTATCAAAATTTTAGATATTTTCAAATTAAGTTGATAGATTTACGTACGTACAAATTTAAAATCAATCGATGTATAAACTTTTCTCAATAGTCTATCAAAAAACATTAATTTACTATAAATATTAATAGTTAATCTGTATAAAATAGTACATGTAATTGTAATATACAATTAAGAATAATTAATAATTTTGATTAAGAAAACCTCGACAGTTTAACATTAAATTTAGGGAGTTCCATGAAAAAAAAGTTTGAGAAGTACTGGTCTAGGACATCATTTAATATTTAAACAATAGTAATTAAAAAACAGTACCTAGTGCCGCGCGTCTACAGATACATCCTAAGGAATCGCCTGTATTAACGCGTAACATAGATTTTGATTAAACGGGTCCCTAATTCGATTGAGAAAGACACGATAGCGGAGTTAATGAAAAAGAAAAAAAATGGAAGACCTACGCATCAAGTGTTACGCAAATCAGAGTGTAGTGGTACATGAGCCACCGAAATCCGACGCAGACAGAAACGTGAAACGGATAACAGTGATGGCCGTTCGACCATATACGCCGTGCACGTCCGATAATCGTCGCTAATGGCCGATCGACCGTTGTGTGCGTCCGATGTCCGAACAATATCGATAGAAATAGTAAAATATGCTTACCGAACCAACGGAAACCGGTGACTGCTTACGAAGATTGTTCAGAAGAGTTGGCGCGTAAACCGATCAAAGCAACAAACTACAAACGGTGCTCGTGCGTCGTTCGAACGTCAACGGAACAACATAACCTTGTTCAACGAGTGACGACGCTCAAAACAAAACAAACCACCATAAGGAACGATTGTGTCTGTGTGTAACCGTGCAGCGTCGAGTAGCCGACGCCGTCGTCGCGCCCTAATGGTGTGACCAACTTAACTCGATGGCTCGTGGGAATACCTTAATCCGTTCACCGTCGATTACGACAAACACTTATCACCGTTTGAATTGTTACAAAATAACTTGATCGTACTTATTCGATTGGCGAATATATATATATATATACATTTATTTGATTATTTTCAACTGCAACGTTGTCTGCAGTGTTATCACTACTAGACGCCACCACCTCTCTACTCCCATAGACCGTCGACGTATCGACAATTGCTGCGATAGAATCCACCGCCACCGAATGAGCCATCGCTGCAGTGATAGCCGCCTCCATCGTTCCATTAGCCTCACTGCCACCGCAGTACACTTCAATCACTTCCTACTCGTCAAGTTTCCCACGACGATATTATTGTTTGAGCACCACAATTGTGGGTCCTCTTCACAAATATTTTTTTTTCAACCATGAAAACTCCATTCATATCGTAATCCCGTCCAAGCAAATATAAATTATATATTTTTTTTAATCTTTCGTGCGATCATAAGCATTAACGGAAATTTGGTGAAATTTCTAAGGGGCTGAGCATTATTTACGAAGTTTGACAATTTGACATTTTTAATCAACAATTTAAACAAAAAAACAATTAGGTGCCTTATCTTAAACATTTTGGAGTAGATATTCTAAACAAAAATTATTAATTAATTAAATTAAACAACCTATACGAGTATTATATTATATTATTAATATTACATTAATTGCGATCGTTCCAAGTCATGACAAGAAGTTTGTAAAATCTTACGAATTTGAATTAATTTTTATCACAGAATACTTTTTTTTAATTCAGTTATTAAAAATGCATTTCACAATTATAATAATTATTGTATTTTTAGTCACTTAACAATTTTTAGGGCTAGGGGGCTAAGACCTGTACTTTACAATTCTGGGGGGCTTAGTCCCCTTAAGCACCCCCGATTTCCGCCTAAGACCGACAATATATGTTTATCAACCCGGTGCGTGATAAAATTGTGCATTACCACGTACGTGTATCGCAGAGTTTGTAGATAATAATTATTATCTTTAGCATTGTATGTGTCAGTGTATCATATTTTTAAAAGGCGTAAGAACTGACTCGTTCGATTACTTTACGAAGTTAAAATTATATCGTGTTCAGATGAAATATAGTTTGATTATTGATTATAAGTTGATTTACAATCGAAACTGGTCTATTTAGGTACAAATTAAATTCTTCGATTATATAGTGTTAAGTACAGATGATCGATTTTAGTTTGCTATTCGTTTATGAATGTCTGTGATCGTAACTGAATATTAATGTAGTAGTGTAACTGTTTCGTGCTGATACGTAGTACATTACATTATAATAAAAAACTTTTGGCAACTAATTAGTAATTTATAAGTAATATATTGAAATTAAACAATACACTCAGTATATTAAGTATGTATTAGTTTATATTCAAACTGTAGTTTTAAGTATATATATACATTAGTATAGTCAGCAATTAATGTTAAGATAGCACATTCTCTATGTCGAGTTTGCCATATATATGAATATTATAACACAGCCGTACGGAGGCAGTCTGTCGAGATATGTGACCGGTTGCCGTTGTATGAAGTGCGTTGTATATCATATTTTATTATTCAAGATATTCAATTGTCTATTAATTTAACCTAAGCGTGTCTGGATCTACTTATAAACCGATTCCACTAAACATAATAAATAATAATTCAAGTTATAAACGAGTTTCGTTATCAACAATATTGACGATGATTATCTGTTATCAATCATTTTATGGTTTTTTTTAGCGTTTACGCGGTCACTGGAACGTATACAGTGATAATGCGATAATGCTGAACGTACACATTAATCATCCACAGAACGTTGTTCAGCAATTTAATATTTTGTTTGCTTATGCTTACTTTTATGGTTGTGATTTTGAACCGGTTGATTATTGTTAGAAATTCGTATTGACCAATTATTTGTTTCTCAAATATCGCTAATTCAATAAATTAAAACGAAAACTCATTCAATAGTAAGTAGCCTGCCAGTGAGTTTTGAGTAGAGTAACTACCAAATAAGTTTAAAGATATATTATGAAACGTAGTACATTACATTTCATTAATGTGTTGCATGTGATTTGTTTTGTGACTAGCTATGCAGGGCAACTCTAGTAGTAGGCGTCTCACAAGGCGACCGATGGAAACTCCTGGATTAGACATGAATAACATGCCAATGCAACAACAAGTTCAGTACAACTATGCTCAGCCAGGAATGTACTCGCAATCCGATTCACAAACAGTTCCACCTCAACAACAGTTCTATTACAATGATTTTACATCTGTTCCATCACAGCAAGGATACGGGAACACTGACTTTGGATATGGTGGATCAGTACCTATGGACAATGCAAATCATCGAGAACATTATTCACCAAGTATGTGTCATTAGATTTAAGTTTTACCGAAGATACTTATTATCACTAATTGCCAACCTGGCAAAGAGTTGCACAACTTACTATTAATATAAAAATCATTATAAATATTTAAGTACATTAATGTATATGTTATACATTTTTATAATATTTGAACTATCATATCCATTTATACAACACACCGCGTATCGTAATTGACTGGTTGGTGATCCTTGGATTAAAGCTTATAAAGATTTATACAATAATATTTTCTTCTTCATCCATATTCCCATTTCTTCAGAAATATTATTTAAAATTTTATTCCTACTTTAACTAGTTTCTTTATTCAAAAAAATGATCTGTTTATTTTTTTAATCATTATTAAAATATTTTAAGTACATACAAATCATTATGTACAATACAAATATACATGAAACATTATCTTTAACTATAAGATTTAGTGTAAATAATTTTTAACTATTTTCAATTTATTTATTTTTCCTGATTGAAGTCAATGTTAAATACTGTGACTTTTATCTTGCAAATATATTAAAGATTTATAACCAAATGGTTACTATACATTTTATATCAACAAAATTTGACAGTGGTCTTATGCATCCCTTGTTTGTTTTTAAAAGACATTTAAATTTATCTTTTTGTATTTTTTAGAGCAAAATTAATATATTTTAAGATTGATAATTGATTAATTTTTCATTTATAGCTTTAATACATAATACAATAGAGTATAGGTAGGGACTTATATTATTCATAAAAAATAATTTAACTTCATTTTTTATACATAATGTTTAATTTTTTTAAATTGAATTAATTATTAAGGTTGCTTATATTTCTTATGTATCACCTATTTAATCATATTCAGAACAAAATTGGCCTAGTAACATGATTTAATATTATAATTTTAGGTCCAAGTCCTCAACAGCCTCAACCAACTATGTTTATCCCATCAAATAATTTAGTTGATGCTTTTGGAAGTAATCCTATACTAGCTGGAGCTACTGTACGTTATGGTCAGAAAATGTTGGGACAAGTTGTAGATGAAAATGTTGGCAAATATACTAGTGGTATTAGCGCCCAAATAAAACATTATTTTGCTGTTGATAATCGTTATGTAATCTCCAAACTTGGTATATTAGTATTTCCATTTGTTCATACTGTAAGTTGATATAAATTTAAATATTTTATAAATTGTTATTTCAAAATAAATAAACTTTTTTTAACTTATTTAAAAAAAAAGAAGTTTTTATTTGTAAAATAATTTAACTTAATTTTTTCTCATTTAAGGATTGGTCAATCATATTAGAAACAACAGGTGACCAAACTGTAGATCGCCAAAGAGCAAGGCCTAAGTCTGATGTTAATGCACCTGATCTTTATATACCTACTGTAGCATTTGTAACGTAAGTTTATCTTTGTGTTAAGTATAATAATTTAACCATCATCGAATCATTTATTTTTATACAGATATTTACTATTTTTGGGACTTATACTTGGCAAACATGGGCAATTCAGTCCAGAACTGTTAAGTGTACAAGCTTCTCGTGTTCTTGCTTGGGAGGTTATAGTTGTTGCTATGGAAATGTTGGCATTGTATGTAACAAACATACAAAGTTCATTACGGACTCTTGATCTTACTGCCTATTCAGGATATAAGTATTTTGGGTATGTTTTTAATAAAACTCTTGTTTTATATATTTTATTAATAGAAATATAACATCAAGACATTTTTAATTATTACAGAATTGTTAGCTGTATTCCAGTTGGATTACTTCTGGGTGAAAAGGCATTTTTTATTGCTTTACTATACATTAATGTTGCATTTGTATACTTTTTGGTAATTATGAATATTTATTTTTGGCATTATTGTCGTAAGTTGTCTACCGTCTGTTTCTACTTATCATATGGGTCTACCATATATGTTTATATAAAAATATGCATTAATATATTATAATATGTAGGTAAATTATTGTATTACAATATAATAAGTCAATAGGTATGTATTGAAAACTAAAAGTTTAGATTCATCCTTTTCTTCTTTCTTTAATAAGTATATAATTTAGTTTACGAGTTACAGTAAACACAAGGAGTGTCAATTTCAATAAGTCTTCTTTTTTTTTAAAAAGTTATGGTATTTTCCTTCAATTGAACATTTGAATTAAAATGTCTAGCTAACATAATAATGAAACTGTAGAATAATTCATCATATATAAACGCACAAACTAAACGGTAACTGATTTTCTCATACGTTTACGATTACTATCACAATTATTGCTAGATTTTATTATTGAAGTTAAATTGTTAAGATAATACTTATCGCTGCTGAATCAGTAGGAATGACCTAAAATGTATATATGCGCGGCAGATGACAGGTTTGCAGTAGTCTGCATACAATGTATAGAAACATGTGTGATAAATGATAAATGTGCGGTAGATCACACACTACAATAATACTCTATTTTTTTTTTTTTTTATAACACTGGAGGTTACATATTAGGGACTTTGGCTATTATTGATGCATACTAATTGAGTATCCATGGATTCAACTTAGATGCTTTTTAAGTTTAAATAAAATAAAAATATCTTTAATTTTATTAAATTTAAAATGTTTCACATAATTGTATTATCATAAATAATTTACTTAATAATTTGATCTTATAGTTTGAATTTTGTAAAGATAAAATGTATTTTGATAAATATTTAGATACTATTTTGAAAGCTTGTTTTTCTGTAGTTTTGTTCAGAATTAAGAATTACATTTTTCTTTAAACTTGCCCGATGATTTCTATTTATGGCTATATTTCTTTTACTACTGTGATAAAAAAAATTTACAAATTTCACTTAATGATTATAATAAAAGTTTTTTTTTTACATTCTAATATAATTATTTATATTTTCTGACTTATTTCTGACTGTTCTCCAGACTCAATAAGAATATTTGTTTATTTTTGTGTATTGATTTAGTTATTCTTTTAGTGTATACCAGTCTGAATATTTTTTTTCTGGTATAATTTAATACTCTATTAATCTACATCAAAAATTAATTTCAGAATAAATATATTGATTTGATTATTATTTTTTTTTTAATGTTTAGTTATTTTCAATGAGGTGGCAATTGAATGCAGTAGCAACTATTTCAAATGGAAGCCAACCTGTTGTAATGATTGAATACAAGCGTAAAAGAACATTATATTTTCTCATTTTAGCAGTAGCCATTCAACCAATCACTTCTTGGTATCTAGCGTCATATTTGCAATTTAATATGAGTTAAATCACCTTAAGCTACTTCAAGAAATTGATATTACCACAAATATGGAAAATATGTTATTAAAACTGTATATATTTTAAACATATTTTCCTATCATGCTATATAAATAGACTTTTTTATGATCATTTTGTGGCTCTCAATTTTAAATATATGATAAGATATCTGAATATATATATTTAAACAAATTTTTTCTTATGTATTATATATTATTACTCATTTCATAATATATGTATTGATTTAATTTATTGATTTTACAATTCTAATCTATCAGAATAAATTTTATTATAAAAAATACAATAAAATTAAAACAATTCTTGAATCAACTAATATCTATGCAATTTTATTCATGTTTGTTGAACAATAAGTTATAGATATTCATTTAACTTTTATTTATAATTGAAGATTTAGTTGTTTTGCTAGTAACCTTATAAAAAAAATAATATTATATTTTTAAAACTTCAATTTTTGTATTAAGAATTCATTTTTTATAAATTTAACTTTTTACTATGCATTGTTTTAATGATTTTGCTATTCTTAAAACATTTAATGCTATTTTTATTGCATTAAAATACCATCCAACCATATTATTACATTGTCAACTAAAAAGATATAGTATTATTATAATTTTTCCATATGCAAAATTAAATTTATTTTGAAATAATAATTATAATTTAAATTATTTTAACAGTAATAATTATAATAGTGAAATAGTTATACGACTTCAAATTATTGATTGTCTGATCAATATTGTGATCAACATATGTACAATAAATATATATATATATATATATTTATTTATAACATTTAACAACAAATTTACGAAACAAGAGGAACAAAAACTATATGTGTTACAGGTAATTTTTTAGTATTTTATGTTCGTGGAATAATTAAGAATTTATTAAAATTTATTATTTATAATTTTAAATTTTATTATAACTGTTATAACATTAGAATAATTTATATAAATCTGACTATTACAAATTACATTTTTTTCAGGAAATTAAATTTTATTCAATTTTTATGTAAGAAATGTTTTTGTATTTTTAATATTTAATCAAATACACTTGAATAAATATAAAAAATCAACTGCAAAATAAATAAAATATTTCGTATTTTACTATTTTTCTTGGAAAAATACAGACTTTTGACAAATTTTTTAAATATATATTTTATGAGCAACATTAAAATACATGATCAACCTTCTATATATTTTTTGCTAAGTACTACAGTTTTTTAGTTAAATTGACAAAATTACCTTCTATAACAAATTTTCAACCCTTTTGAGGCACGGGAAGGGGGTGAGTTATCATGACCAAATTTAGTCCCAATTACTTACTGATTATAATGAACAAAATAGCGGGTACCTAAACGAAGAATATTTAAAAAAAATTTCTTCTTCCATAACTAAGGACCACCCTAATATATATATATATTCGTGGTTTCACCATTATAAACCAAGAGGCCAAGAACGTTGAGGCCGATGTATTTAAAAGTATTTGAGATACTTAATAAGTATTCTGAATACAATATTGTATTTGGAATACTGCCCAAGTCTGCTAATTTGTTAAGATGGCTTTTAATAATGTTTATTTATATCTACATTTACCCAATTACCTATTTGAACATTTCATAAATCAGACTATCAAAATTTATTACACAAAGGCTATTTACTAAATGTTTTATTGAGTATTAACAATACAATTCACAAACGTCTTAAACATAAAAATTTAATATTATCTAATATCTATATAAATTACATCATCTTAATAGTAAGTACAAGTATGAATTATTAAAACCAACTAGTGTAGTGTGCCGAGTTTTGAGTTTAACACAGTTACACAATATTAGGATGTAAGGATTTTAGAGTTAGACTAATAAATAAATAAATTTTGTGATTCGCACGTGGTTCATATTACATCTATTAATTTGTTTATGGTTATAATTGTAAATTGTAATTACGTAGTAACTATAAAATACGTATGAAAAGATATGATGTACATTACACTATAGGTAGTTGAAACTAAACATCTCAATAATATACTATTACAAAAAAAAAATTATAACGAAACTGAACATTATTATTTAACAACTAAAATAAAATAACAATATATTATTTACATAGGAAGTAGGTACGTAGTTAAATTTTGAATAGTTTGATTCATAACTAATATTATTATCGTATTATAGTGATTTGATATAATATATTGATAACTATTAGTTATATGTTCGTGACTCTATGTAACAGCCTAACATTATGATAGTGGTGAATAAATTACGCGCATGCGAAGAATGCATAAGGTGCATTCCTGTGTTTAGACGCTCCTGTCGATAAAATTTTTATCACACGCACGCACACATCTATTTTGTAGTCATGATTACGTCCGTTATCGGGCCGGGTCGAATCGCAGATACATTTTGATGATATCACTCTGTGACGATTTCATATTAATTCTTGTTATCATGACCCGTCATTAATTAGTGTACCGATTGAACGCCTACTGAACAGTAAACAGTGCCTTCTTCGATTAGGAAAACGAGCAGTAAAAACGACAGTCCGAAAAAAATGTTCATTTAGTTTCGATCAAATCTAGTTGAATGATAACATAGTACATCGTTACATTCCGTTTCCACGTATGTTATGCGCCTGCTGCTTAAAATCATATTTTCTGTCTAGGTTTTTCAACATCATCACTTTTATTATTATTATTATTATTACTATCGTCATCATTATTCCATTATACAATTCTACGATTATTTTATAAATATCTTAACCATAAGAATTTTTTGTTGATTACAAACGGACATAGTTACCTAACAATTATATTACAATCATTATACACACTCGTGATATTTTCCTCAACGATGGGCCTTTGTAAATGTCCGAAACGTAAGACTACTAGTCATTTTTGTTTTCATCATTGTGTCAATGTCTGTGAGCATTGCATTATCAACAACCACACCACTGTAATTATAAACATAAAATAACACAACATTGCCTGTCAATTTCTAAACATCATGGCCCATATTGAATCTGTTATAGTGCGTAGTCAAATCTTATACTACATGGTTGAAAGAGGCTAGTGGTAGTGCATCATCATCAACAGTATCAGCTTCTGCATTGTGTGCTGTTTGCCAAAAACAGTTTGCTATAGTACAAAAAGATATAGAAAATATAGCGACTAGCTTCAACAATAGAAAAACTCCTATTCGATTATTATGCTATCGTGAGTACAGATATTCAAATTAATTGTGTTACCGAATTATTTTTTAATCAAATTTTTAATAATTACTTATTACAGTTTTATAAATTTTTATATTTAGATATGGTGTATGAACCTATTTCTAATTCTAACGAGAAAATATTTTATCCGTAGTTGTTACTACTAATTACTTATTTCAAAAATATTATTTACTGAAAAATTACATTAATTTTTCTATTAATTTCAGAATTTATGATATTAATTTAAATCTTTGCGTTCATTTTTTGTTTATTTTAATTTGTTGAAAAAAAAATTGGTTCAAATGTAATCAAAACGTTAATTAGTTACTACATTTGCTGTATAATTAAATATTACTAAAATTATTTTTTATATTAAAAATAAATTAATCATACAAATTATAAATTGTCAAAAATATTTTCATGTAGATGTAATTATTTAATATTAAAATTAATTTCCAGATATAGTACACGCACATTGTTTAGCAGTATATGTAAAAAAGCAACTAAAATGTGGTAATATTTTAAAATGCCCTTCCTGTGCTCGGTCATTATGGTTACAAGAACAACAAGACCTACCACAAGATTCAAACGATATTACTGGAATTAATTCTAATGAATTATCTCCAGTTGCTTCACAGTTGCACAAATATTTATTAGATCATGGTGATTGGTGGGGCCAAGCTTTGATTACAAATGGAAATGTATGGAATTAAATATTTGTTTAAACTTAGATTTTTAAGGAAAATTCATTTTTCTTTTTCAAAAGGTGGAAAATCTTGAAAAATATTTACTTGAAGATGAAGAATGTTTTGAAGAAACTGCAGATGAACAGTTTGAAGAACAGTCTACATTTGAAATTAAAGAACAATTCATTACTGTTCCAAATAATATATCTCCAATGACCATAAATCAAACGATTCAATCACCTAATAATACAAGTGGTTTTTATAGTTATAATAATTCTGAATTAGTTCCCTTATCAGATATAGCAACTATTAATCATCGTAATAACACACATCAAACATACCAGCCAATTCATCATCGGCATTTCAACAATAATTATGGTATGTAATATATAACAATTACAAATATATTACAAATATATAACAATTAAATTAAATGTAGACTGTTTTAGTATTTTAATACAATATCCATGTTATCTAATATTTTTTGTTTTGGAAATTAAAATTAAAAATATTGATAAAATGTAATTTACAATTTTTTTTTTTATTTGATGGTCTTAACATATTTTTAAACTTGCTCTAACAAATTTTGAATAAAGATATATGTAATTTTAATCACTGCAAGAATATATAGTACCAAATAAAATGTTTTAATTAAGTACATTTTTAATTTGTGAAATTTTAATTATGCATATAATTTTGTACCATGATTATTTACTTTTTTTAAAATTTTAATGATTATCCACCAATATAAAAACCTAGTGGAACCCTTTATAAATAACTGGCTATAATTATACTCAAGCTTTAATTCCAAGAGCTTATCAATCTTGTAAAATATATGTTTATAAAATGCAATACATGTGATGAACAACATTAATATTTATTGATTTAAGTATATGTAATAATTTTTGTTTACCCACTTGATGTAAGTGGACCTCTAAGCTAAATAATGATAGTCCAAATGACAGGAGAGGTGGCATGCCCTAACATAATCGAATACCCGATATTGTTTAGATGTTAAGATATTCGTGTTTAAATGATATGTCAACTGTTGTTGTACTCATAACCGATGACATCGTAAAATTTCTCTTCCACCCTATTTTTTTTTTTTTTTGTTATTTTAATTGATTTAACAAAAACAGAGAAATGTTATACTTAAATAAAGTAGTCATAAGAATTCAAAATATTAAACTTTTAATTTTTTTTCTTAGTACAATATTTATTCATAGATAATATTTATTATTAATTATTAAGTGGTAGCATTTATTTTTAAATAAACTTTTATATGAAATAGATAAAGTTCTTAAGTATATCTTCTTCTTCTTTGGTAAACTCGGCCACTAGGACCATCCCGACATACATCCTTGACTCCAGTTTTCTCTATTCGATGCCTGTAATCTTCAATCTTCTCCTCCACCTAATGCTTTCACATCATCCCTAACTCCGTCCTCCCATCTCTGACGTGGTCTTCCTAGCGGTCTTTTTCAATTAGGGTTCTCCTCCAGTACCATACGTATGAGTGGGTTTTGACTACGCCAGGCGTGCCCAGCCCAAATCAATCTTCTGTTCTTTATTGTTTCGAGTATACTGGGTTTATGAAAGAGTGTCTCTAGTTCATCATTTTTCCTTATTCTCCATTCCTCACTAAACATGCCTTTTACTGGTCCAAAGATCTTCCTCAGTATTTTTCTTTCCAGTACTAAGAGTTTTCTTTCATCACTTTTCCTTAATGGCCACGCCTCAGCTCCATAAGTAATAACAGGTCGTATTAATGTGATGTATAATTGTAATTTTAACTCTCTTGAAAGTGATCTTGATCCCAGTAATTTCGCAAGACCATAAAGGCATTTATTTCCTGACTGAATTCTTGTTCCTATTTCGATTTCATTTCATTTAAGTATATAAGTTTTACTATTTTTTTTAGGTATCGATTCTGTATTTACACCACAGCAACAACAGCATTACCACCAACAACAACAACAGCTACAACAACAACAACAACAATGTTTATCTGTTAATATGGCAATTACACAAAATTCAGATTTAAGTAATAGACATACGATAACATCCTCCACTCCATTAATAATAAATAATGATGAAGAACAACAGGATCCTAGTGGAAAATATAGACCTAAAAAATTCAACAAACAATCTTGGTCTTTAAGTTACCATCGGCTATCACAGTATTTTTGTGGGCAAGTATATTTATAATAAGCTGTTTTTTTTTTTTTTGTTTTTAGTCTATTAATATATAGTAGAACCTCTATTTAATAAAATGTCTTGTAACAAAATATTTTCTGGAATTATAAAATTTAAAAAAAAAAAAAAACATTTATTTAGTGAAAAAATATCCATTAAACAAATTAACTATATAATATTATTTTATAATTGTAATATTTGTAATTCAAAACTTTCAAAAGTATGGCAATATAAAGTTATAGAGAATATTAAGTTTCTTTTGATACTATTTGTCGTGGGTTTCAGTATATCAAAAATATACTATATGACATTTAATTTTTTAAATAATTAACAATTTTTATATAGTTCTTTTACAAAAAATAATAAAAACATTTTATATTGTTATTAGTATTGAATATAATGCATATTATTTGTATATATTATGTACACTAATAATTCATTTATTGATTATTTATTTATTATTTATTGTTATTTCTATTTAATACATTTTTTGAAAGAATTATCAAGTTCATAATATAAATTTATGTTTACATATTATAAAACAAAGTGTCAAATTATTAATAAAAATGCATATAAATATAAATAATGATTTACTTTAAATACAATTTTTAAAAAATTCAAAATTTGTAGATATTATAATATCTATAGTTAAAATAAAACAGTTAAAACTGCCAAATATGGAATTTGATAGAATCAAAAATATATTCTGTTATAGAAACAAGCTTGTTCCAAACTGAATATTGCCATAGTTTTATCCAAGAAAAGTTTTAAAAATATTACGGATCAGCGTTAAACAGATTTCTCCATATTATGTTTTGTACTAATTACATTTTGTTAAATATCAATAAAAAACTATATTGGTTTTGTTAATTTATAATTAATGACTTATTGAAAAAAAAAATATATAAAAGATACTTTATATATGCATAATATTGCTTCTAACATTATAAGAATGGTGATTTTTTTTTGTTTCAGTTTAAATAATAGAGGAGAAGATAATAATACTACTAGAATTTCCATTTTAATAATTATTTGTGTAATAATTATTGTTTTTTTATTGTTGGTCATTACTAGTTATACTCGTTCCAGTAATGAACCATTTAATAATAATAGTATAGATTATGCTGGTGAAGATGATCTTAATAAAATTAACGATGAATCAAATTTAAAAATTTATAACATCAACTTATAAAATCAGATATTATTTAATTAATTGCCTTAAAAATCTTAAAATGTTGTTTATAATTAGATTGCAGTTGTAATTGAAATGCTATTGTTGTTTACATTAAGAATCAAGTCATGTACCTAATGGTCACGTATTATGTTATTTATTTATACATAATTTTTACTAATAATAATATTTAGAAATATAAATAATTTTTTTTGATAACATCATTTCATAATATTTATTTATTTTATACTATGTTTCTGAATTTTAAATGTTGTACTTTAAAATCTACCAATTAAATATCAATATCAAAATGTTGGGAAATATTTTTATTTATTATATTATTGTAATTAACACTATTATTTAAATTTGAACATTTTAATATAAATAATTCATTCATTTATTACTCAGAAAGTTTATTGAAGGACGTAATAATTTTACACCTAAAAAGTTTATATTATTATTATTGATAAATGTGAATGAATGATTTAATTAAAAAACTACGATACTAGTATAGATCTATACTATGTATATCAAAAACTAAATGCGTGCAATATGCTACCTACCGTAAAATGTCAACTATCAAAAATATATTATGAAGTTACTATGCCAAGTATTTCAAAATGGTATATCTTATACACCATAAGTATTAAGTTAACTCAAAAAATTTCAATGAATTGTATGTTATATTAATGGTCTGCCACCATACCTCTTTTTGTTGGCTGTCTGAACAGTATGTCACAACTTAATTTTTCATGTCATATTTAGTTCTAAGATGTCTAGGATTATCAAAAAACTTTGAATGATTAACAGTTATGTGACAATAACCTATAATTTATAAGGTACTATATGCTAACGTTATTAATCTAAATAAACGGTTGTCCTTAATTGTATTTATTCTGTATTATTGATGTAAAAGTTTCTTTATTATATTTACATTGTTTTAAACATCGTTTTTTCTAAAACCTATTAACAATTTTACTACTGATGTCAATAGTCCATGAGCCTTGCATGTGAGTTCCATAATTCTTTTGAGTTTAATGATAATTTATATACCTCAATTATTAATATTATATTTCCTTAATCGTCCTCTATTATATTTTCTTTTGTCCTGAAATAGCGACTCGCCAATTTGAATAATCTCATCAGGATTTTTCATTCTTTTACATATATCTAAAATTGTAACTACTGCGTCTTTACACTGATTATTTCAATCAAATTGTAACGACATTTTGGAGTAAATTTGTAGCTTATAGAAACTGATATTCGATACACTCAGTATAAAGCTAATACTAAATTTTATTTAATTGTAAATCGATATTACTTTTACCATTTTTATCAAAATATGTATAAAAAAAAAAAAAACAATTAATTTAATTTTAATTTTTTTTTTTAATATAAATATGTAGTTTTTTATAAATCATTATTCGAGTTCTTTTTTCGATTATATTTTATAATAATATATCTAGAAGTAATTTTTTGTTGTCTTGGTTATTATTTACCAGTTATCTGAATGACTAATTTAATGCCTAATATTTTTTGATTATTATAATGACTTAATTTACAGATTTCCCGTAGTAAAACCAAATAAAAGTTGAAAAATATCGATAAGATCAACAATAAGAAAATTAAATTGAATGAATAATATAATATTATATTATTTATTATCATATTTTGAAAATCAAACATTTCAATCATTTTTTAATTAGTGTTTCCGATAGATTAAAATTTACATTTACAACATTGACAAAATTGCGGTAGGTATCACACTACACGAGTACCTCCAAATCAAATTCTCTTATGTACATACTAATATTAAACTGAATTTTATAAAATTATAGTCGAAGTTATTTTGAGACATTATTTTAAATTTAAATTTATTTTTCATTTAATTGATGTATTATTATTTTGTACGTATTATTAATAAATGGTAAAAAAAATAATATTATTAATTGTTGTTCTATGTTTTTCCTATTCTTATTTTGACTAACTTTTTCAGTTATGTACTTCTTAATTTGTATAATAATTTTTAAACCGTGGTATAACAATAAAACGACGTACAACCTTATCTCTAAAAATATACATTATAATATTAACATTTAATATTCATAATTTGGGTTTATTATTATTTTCTATGAAAGTAGAAAATCTGTCGTTTTTGTTTAGTATTAGAAATATTTTCAATAAAACTACATAATCTATTAAGTGCAAAAAAACTTTTGCCAGAAGCTCCTGGCTATTGTACGTATCTTCGAAGTTCATGAATATAAGTCCGTTTAATTTTATCATCGTTATCAGTCACTAAACCTAAACTATAGTAAAATATTAACGTTATTATAAGGTTGCCATAAATTTATAAGGTGAAATTGAAAAAAAAAACAAAACAAAACCAACATATTATTAAAAAATATACTTTTTATTACTTTAATTACTTTTAGTGGCGGATTTAAAGGTTTTAACGAAGTCGGCAAATCCAAAAGAGGGGCCTCGTAATAAATGTAGTACTAACATTTTAGCCCCGTTTTACAAAGCTGCTCTCTACACTCGCGTTTCCGAGATACGAAAATGAAAAATAGTACATCAGAATGAAGGTGATGCAGCGAAACTGATAATAAATCATTGTTCATATACTCGTATAGTGTTTATACTCGGAAATTATATAGAATTCTATAATCAATGTTTACAGTAATTCTAACTATATCTATATTCGATTTTTTCTACTTTGTTCATAAATAAAATGTTATATTTTTGAAGTTGATATTCGGGTATTCCTGAGTATTTCCTGTATATTTAAAATTATTTTGTTATAAATAAAAATGGTAATTGTAAATGATATTACAGTTTGTACTATAGTTTTTTTATTTTGGGTAAAATTTACAAAAAATTAACTATAATTCTTTTAGGCCTCAGTAAACAATTTAGGAAAAAGCCCTGTCGGCATTCGCCGACTTAACAACCGTTAAATCCGCCTCTGATTACTTTTAATATACTGAGAGAACCATTAATGGCAAGCAATATAATATTTAAAAATATTTTTATAAAATAAAATACATTATATATTTATATGTGCAAATTACATATTAGATATGTTTTTATAATATATTGTTAATTGATTACGATTAAAAATGTACTTTGAAATAAAATCGTCGAAATTAAAAATTAATTCAAAATTTCCTCTAAACTTCTAAGCCGAGACATATAAACATCCTGAAAACATTATTCGGGGCACCAGGACACGAAGTCCAAAACCGGTGACAATCCCGTTTTTTTAGGACGTATGGCAATATTACAATAATTATTACAATATTGTGTGTACAAGCTCTGTCATTTATTTAATAGTCTGGGCATTTTATTCTTTATCTAATTTGTCATATATATATATATATATGAGTTAGTGAATCATAATAGACGGGTGGGGGGGGGGGGGGGTTTACCGGAAAATGACTTCGACTTATAGAAAAATTCAACATATGGAAATTCAATATACCGAAATAACTAACACGTAAGCCCAATACTGAATGATCGAAACTAAAAAAAAAAAATTTGACATACAGACACTTCGAGATATCGGAGTTCGACATAGCAAGATTCCACTATAGTTCACAATATTATTATCTATTTTATCAACCATTGTGGGTAAAAAGTGCATCAATCCATAAAATAAAAACCTGATTTCAATCATATTATATATAAAATAAGATTAAATTGAAATCCTTTTCTATCGTATCAATCATATGGTATTATGACGATAACATTATCAAACCGTAGCTTGTGATAGAAGTATAACATTTTTCCTTCGTACAAATTGTTGTAGTAACAACTAGCAAGTATCTATATGTCCTAGTGCCTATAAATGGGATTGTGGAGCGTTCGTAGTGTTCCGTCCATTAACTTTTGAAATTTGTGCCCTTATATAGTAATAGAATCTTGAAACACGTAAAAATGGTTATGTAGCACGAATACAAATGTAGCTTAATAATATCACTATGGTTAATAACAAAGTAGCTATGAATAAAACAATTGTGCATATCAACGTAATGTTAATTTGACGTATTTTTTTAAAAAAAAATTTTAACAATGTTACTTTGTGAAACGAACTACGAACGATATTGTTTGTAGTTGAATAATAATCTAAATCTTCAAGTGTCGTTCATACGAATTATTTTTAAAACATGATTCCAGGAGCTGTGTGTAAAGCATTAACGTGAGTTGATATCTTATTAATTGTCTTATATTCTTGAGTGACGGATTACAGTGATATGTAACATATATATAAAAAAAATAAATTTTTTTTTTCATATATTTATAGACTTTTGTTCGGTGTAATGTACCCTGCTTATGCATCATACAAGACCGTGAAAAATAAAAATGTGAAAAATTATGTAAGGGACTTATTATTACATTGATGTATTGCAATATTATAACATTAACAAACAACATTTCCTTTTTTTTAAAATCATTTTCAGTTTAAAACTGTTAACAATTATTAATCTGACATCAAATCTAAAACTATTATGCATTGTTAACTTGTCTTTTATTTTACTATTCACAGGTGAAATGGATGATGTATTGGATAGTTTTTGCTGCATTTATTTGTATTGAATGTTTAACTGATATATTTCTTGAATTTTGGTAATTTATTTTATTAGTCATTCACCAGTAGTGTAAAACCACAATAAATTTTATAAAATGCATATTCACTTAATTTTATTTATATGACTATAGGTTTCCATTTTATTATGATATTAAATTGATCGTACTCCTATGGATATCTTGCCCATTCACAAAAGGTTCAACAATCATATACAAGCAATTAGTGCATCCAGCTTTATTGAAAAAAGAAACCGTAATATTAATTTTAAAACATCATAAAATTAAAAAATATTGACCATAATTATATATTTTTATTTATTTAATAGGAAATTGATGAATTTCTGGTCAACGTTAAATCACGAACCTACAATGCTCTAGCTTCAACTGCCAAACAAACATTTCAGATGACTGCTGCAATTGTAGTCCAACATACAGCGGTAAATATATAATATCTTTATATGTAAGAGCAATATGGAATATTGTGTTATTTGAACCTTAAATAGAAATATTAATAATACTTATTGTTATAACTAAAGACCGGATTTATATGTATTTTAAATTATAAAATATACATGCAAAAATGCACCAAAAAAAGTCAAAATATGCAAAAAAAAAATGCAAAACATACAAAATAAAATTTTAATTTTTATTATTATTATTTTTTTTCATTTTATTAAAATTTTCAAAAACAAAAAGTAAGATGCAAATACTCAATATGGAAATGTAATTGTTAAATTATAGAAATTATAAATAAAAATTAAAATTAATTATAATTATTATTTATTATTATAAATAAATTGAAAAAATATCCAAATAAATTATTTTAAGAACATATAAGATGCAAATATTTGATCACCCATTAATAAATAATAATAGTTTATACTTACTGTAGTCGAATACCAGAAAAATCAATTAAATTGCATATTTTAAAATTTTGGTTGAAATAATACATTGATTTTGAAGAAAGTCCATGTGCTATTTTTTTGCAATTGTTCGTCAGCTTTTCACTGTTATTAAGAAAACTGTTAGGGTTTTGTAAAATAACCATCCTTTATGTTCCAATCAGATATCATTTCCTATCAGAAACCTCCTATGATTGTGATGATCTAGGAAATCTTTCTGGATTGAAATCACGTACACTAATCACAGATATAGTTATTTTACATATTTAGATACTAACACAATAAAAATAATAATTATATCTAATGTTAAAATCAAACATTCCTTGCTTAACTAAACTAAAAAAAATAAATAAATATCAATCAACAGTTGTGTTAAATTAAATTTATAAATATATAAAAATTGTAATGTGAATAAATGTTTATATTATTCTATTATAAAAAATAACATATATTTATATATATTAGTATTCATGTTTAGTACACAGCCATATATTTAAATATATTTTATACTTATATCAATATATTATATAAAATTGAAAATGAGAACTTAATTTTTGTTGTGGCTATATTTATCCAATCATCAAGTGGTTTTTTAAATTATTAAGAATCTGTATCAAAGATCATGATATATATTAAAGTACACATGTTTGTGTGCGTCTGTGTGGGTGTATGCGTTTAATGAACTAAATGTGTTTACTTCTTTAATAGGTTGGACGATTGCCAATAGTTCCAATGGTCTTGCAACAAATAGGTGATTTAGATAATGAAAATGTTTCACAACAGCCTACAACTGTTATAAAAAGAGTGAAAAAAAAAAATTCTAAAATAGTATTGGAAGATTCTGTATCGGATTCATCATCTGATTCATTACCAATAAAACCTGTTATATCTGTTGAAGATGTGCCTATTCAGAGACCAAAACGTAGTAAAATTCAACATCAACAAAAATCTAGTAGGTAATGTCGATAAAATTACAAACAAAAAACCCAACAGCAATTTGTTAACTATATATATTGAAATAAGGTTGTCCTTAAAAAAAAAAATGTATTTTGAACACTTATTATATATTATAGTTATATACTCGTATTTTTTGACAACCTTTGCATGTTTTTATCATCACTTTCACTAAATTTTCAATCACTTATTCATATGTATTAAGATTAAAAATTACAAATATTTTCACATATTTTACTATAAACATTTAAACATTTTAAATATATCATTTTATTATTTATCTAGCTAATTACTAATTTAGAAATAAGATTTTTTAAGACATAAAGACAAATACACAAGACTAACAAATTAAGGTTATACAATGATAATATGTTGCTCATACTATATGTTTCCTTCCATAATGGTGCTACTTTTAAGCTAATTAATGTTTAAATTTAATCAGTATTTTATTTTTATTTTTTTTCATTTATCAGTATGTTATAAAATATATTTAAATTTTAAACATATTTTTATAGTAATTAAATTGTATACTTAAAGTATAACTTAGAATCTCCTTTAGTATTATTTAGAAAATTTGAAAACTATGTATTATTTAAAAATAGATACTTAGATACTCATCTTGTAAAATTTGTTTATGAAAGTGATTTCTCAAAAACAAATTGAAATTTTTTTTTTTTTTTTTTAATTATTATTCTAGTCAAATACAGAATACATACATCTCTATAATTTACCAAGAGACTATAATTATATCATTTAGATTATTTCTTTATCATTTAGTTAATTTTTGAATAAACAAAGAGTTGTTATTGTTACTGTTTGTATATTTTATCATTAAAAAATGTAATATATTTGATGTGTTTATTATTAATTTTATCTAAATTATTATTTTTCCATCTAAAATTATCATAACTATTTTGATTAATATGTTACTCCTTTTCTATGAAAGGAGTATTTTTTATTTTTTATTTTGTTATATTTAAAACTTAAATATAATTTTTTAAGTATAAGTAGCTAATAAGATAAGTAGTTAACAATTTAGTAATAATTTCATTACTTAGCATTATTAATATGAATATAAATGACAATCTTTGCACTGATCCAAACTTTATCATCATATTATAGATTCTTTATGGTTAATTTAATAAATTAGACTAACATTTATATACATGCTATTACTAATCATAATCGTCATAGAAATGGTCAGGCTACATTGAAATTTTTCGAAGATCAATTGTGCCAATTTTGGGACACTACCTATATAATATATATCTATTGTGTCAATATAAAAAAAAAGTTTACTAAAATGGTATACATCAATTTTGCTGGAGAACTTTTAACCACTTAACTGAAAAGAAATATAGTTTAGTTTAACATATTTATCATATAAGTTATAACATATAAAATATAAGTTCTTTACAAGAAAATTTATAATTTTGGTATATAATAATTTCTTTACCACGTTCACTTAAAACTATTTACATTATAAATTTAAGCACGAACCACAACGACTATACGTGCAACGCGTGGAATTATACTGAATAATACTAGGAATTTTTTATAAGCATATAATATTTGTCAACATTTTGTTCCATCTTCAAATAATAAAATAATATTTTTATTTATTTATAGATTTATTGGAACCCAAATAAAGGACAATAGAGTGCACAATTATTGCAATAGGATGTATTATGATAAAAGTAATGGTTTTTAAACGTACTTACAAGCACAACAACTTAAACACATTTATTATCAAATGTACAATACTGCTAATCTGTAAATTCTAAAATATACGTTTATATATACTATACACAACATAGGAACCGATTGGTGCAATTGACGTACAACATTATATTACATTCAAATATCGATCGGCGCAGTTGATGTATACCTTTATTCCTACCTCATAATTTTTATTTTTTTACCTGCGATTTTCCGCGCAATTGATACATGCCCGAATTTTTGTTAAATTTACTAAAATTATACAATATACATATATGTATTCTTTTACATTTTGATTTTGATTTAACGTTCATAAAAACTCTTTTTCAAGTACCTACTAAAATTATTATTTTTTCACGCTCAACTATGTTGTAAATAATGTTTTCAGGTGAATTACGAAAAGAAAATTACAAATATACTACTCGTATATCATAATATTATGAAAATTAATTTAAATCCTACAAATGTTATTTTTGTTTGCTTGTTCTCATTTTTATTTCTATAATAATATAGATGTATTGGTATGATGTAAGTAAAATTATACATAATATTTAAAACTATTAATATAACTATTACACCGATTTTACCGATTCAGGTATCCAAAAGATTTCCAAGACGGTTTTACAAATTAATTAATTTAAACAGTTTTTAAGTTTTTTGTAAAAGTCTTTATTATTAATGACTACGAACGAAAATAAGAAAAAGAATAAAAATATTTTGCTTAATGTGTATAAGATGATAGTTGACTTAAATGTGACTGAGAGTTTTCCAAATGTTGAATAGTTATTACCAGAATACAGATTTTAAGGCATTTTTTTTTCTATTGCTCTAAAACGATGATATATCAAATACAAATTCGATTTATACTGTTTAGAATAAAATGCATGAAATTTTATTTTGCTTTTTTGCGTTTTTTGTACATTAATGTTTTTTTTATTTTATAGTACTTTGGGTACTTTTTTTGATTTTAAGTTAATTTTTTTTCAAAATGTTTTCTGAATAAACGTATTTGAAATATTAATATTTAAGTTTATATAATATAATGTGTTTCAAATCTTGTTCAATTATTTTTTGACAACCGTGTGTTCAGTTTGTTACGTACCGTGGGGTATATAGTAGATTAATTCATTTTGAAACAACAATGGACACAAAAATATGCTTTTGTTCTGGAAATTATCTACTTTATGTAGTTTAATTTTCGTTGTTACACCATTTAGTCATTTACAAAATTCCGAAAATTATTATTTATTTATTTTTTTTTTAATTTTTTTTTAATGTTATTTTTTAAGTTATATTGGAAAATGTATATAGCTTATTGCTCTTTTTCGAGTGTTTTTCTTTAGTTTGTTATTGCTTTAAAATCTGTAGGTATTTTACATTTATATATTTTTATTATGTGTATCAACTGTACTAGTGAACGATCTTTTTCCTGATTAAAATTAATAAAAACTGTATTACGATCTATACTATCACAAAATAATCTACAGAATTTTAGAATTTTAAATACCGAGAACGATTTTTTAAGATGTCTTGACGTGGAAGATATTATTCGAACTTTTTCAAATAAAAAAAATTAAAATAATAAATTAATTTACCAAATATTAATGTATTTTATATTAATAAGACTTATCAACCATTTGTCCGGCCGAATAAATAAAATTAATATTTATGTGATATATTATGAACATTTTTCGTACAGACCAATTCCATTCCAAATATCAGAATCTGAGAACCCTATTTATAATCTACAACATTATACTCTATTATGATTTTAATATATTTACTAAATTACAACTCATATCAATTAACAATTTCATAACAAAATTAAAATTTGTTTTATTTTTATTTTCTAACTTCATTTTAATTTCAATTTATGGCCTATAGGAGCTCCAAAATATTTTAATCGTTACAAGACATGAACATATTTTTAAAATTATTTTACTTTTTTGAAGTACTATCTGTATTTGTATTCGAATACTTTTAAAATGAATCTACAAAATTGTTCATACCTAATAAAGTATACCTACTTCTTATATATTAAATATATAATATGCATAATATTAAAAAAATTCAATCGAAGTTGTCAAAATTAATTACATTTTTTAATAGTTTCACAAGTACTTATGTGTATATACATATTGTTATTTTTTTGTGTACGTAATTAATTAGTTAAAATATTTTTTTAAATTATTAAATTCCGAAATATATGAAGAATTTATTGGTTTTACCATGACGTGGGTTTCTTATTTTTATTAATTTATATTCTTGTGTCTGTATACACGATTTTGACCAGAAGTAATGCTAAAAATGTAAACCAAAAGTGGTCGGGTGGTTCTTTCATTCAGAATCGTTTTTCAAGAGCAATGGGACACTGGTCTCGAGTTTAAAGTACCAGTAAGACAATAATTGCTGTGATGAAATTATTTTATTCACTTTTCCAGTGAATGTGGTCGAGTTCCGCTCGAGCCGGGATTCTTGTTTCGGGGAAGTAGGTACTAAAATTATGTCTCCGTCCCGGGCAGGACCGGCGTAATGCTAAATGACGCCCCAGGCCAAAATGCCAACTGACCTTTTTTCATACAACTACCCTTAATATAGTATATATTACTTAGAAAAAAATGTTGTTCGTGGACAGAAATACAGAAAAATTATATAATATGCTCAACTTGTACATATTTTGTTATCGTCTAATTCTTTAATCACGAGTCATAATGGTTTGACGCGATCCCGATTAAACGATAACAAATATTTGGGAATTTTTATATTTATAGAGTAACATACATGATAAAACATTTTATGCTAAACCATAGTAAATATACTAAAAATATACTTATATTATTTTAATACATGGCTAAACGAAATGACCATTATAATTATCAATATTTCAATACAAAGTTATAGGTATTTTATATTAAAAAAAAAAATAATAATAATATTACTGACACATGTGCAAAATTGTAAAAATCAATTTCGGTGCCCCTTTGAAAATGGCGCCCTAGGCGACCGCCTGAGTTGCCTTACCCTCACGCCGGGGCTCTGGTCCCGAACGACGTACAATACGTATTCAGAAGAAAATCGTACCTATGTTGCCGGCAACATTTCCTTGGTCGGCGGGACACACAACTTCAAAACGGTTTGGTTTTAGCCAGGGGCGGCTCGTCAGGGGAGACTTTGAAGACTGCGTCTCCCCTTAAAAAAAACAGCTACTTGTAAATAGTTATCATCTAAAAATATATAGATTTTTATTTTTATTGAAAATACGTTATAGCGTTTCTATATTTATTATTATAAATTTAAGGCTACAAAATATAAAACCTATAAATAGTTATTTCGACGACGGTAGCCGTTTCAGTGAAACCGACGTCCGACAGTTTCGTATCATGTAACGCTTGTTGGGCTGAGGGACCGGGGAGAATAATTCGCGTATTATAGACGCTGTTGAAATTGGGTTCACGACAATAATTTCCGCACCATCGCGTCGTCGGTAATCGCTGTACGCCGTCATCCGCGAATTCGCAGATAAAATAAATTTACAATTAAATTAAGTACCTATTAAATATAGTATATATTATATTTGATATAATTAATTTTCCAATAAAAGGGGTTTTCTTGTACGTTGTTGTACGGAGTTTATGTTAAATAATTACAGTTTCCCCAGAATATTTACTACGAGCCGCTAGTGGTTTTAACACAGGAAAAAAATGTATAATCTTCCTGCGGTAAAATCGTTCGTCGGTAACGAAAAAAACAATCGCTTCGCCGTTATCTGGACGACACACCGTTCGCATTGGTGCGCTTTATCAACGTCGCGTGTCACACGATTGTATCGCGGACGTCGTGGGCACGCAACTGTGCACGTCAACGTTCTATTTAATGCTGCGAACATTAACCGCACGCCAACAGATAGGATAATGTTTCTTCGCATTTCATACCGTGGCGAGTGCGCTGTCCGTCAGCTTTGCCACCGTCGTTCCCTCCGCTCGTTGTTCCGCGGGGGATTGTGCGCGCGGCGGTATGACGCACTACGTGTCCGTAGTCGGCGCTACGCTGCTGTCCCACCGTTCGCCGGCACTGCGCGGCCTCCGTAGCTCCTACACCGTAACCGCAACACTTTCGCCCCCTCTGAACAGCTTTGCCGTACCAGCTGCCGCCCACATTCAAAAAGCGTTGCCCCACTACGCCGATGAGTCATCGAGGAAACATCTCGTCCACGCAGCATTATCGTGTTTTTTTTTCTCTTTCATTTTTTTTTCGTTTTACTTTAATATTTTTTTTTATTTTTTTATCATTTTTGGTTCCGGGATTTTGTTCGCTCGCGGCAACAACGCACTATCGCGAAATTTTATGACGTCCTTTTGTACTTTTCCGCCGATATCATGTCTACTTCGTTTTTCTATTCGATCTCATGATCTCGCGCAATCGATTTCTTTATTTATTTATCGACAATTTAGTTACACAATTATTATTTTCGATCAAATGACTCATTCTGTTCATCCGTTGACCCGCGCAAGTGCTTCAATTTCACGTTGAATGCTCGTATTTAATTATATTTGTATTGTTGTTTACCCACGTATAATATAAATTTAAGTGATAAACACGCATAGATATTTAAGTAATGTATCGATCCGAACAGTTTTTATTTTTTTTAATTTATTCATTTTGTGCATATGTGTTATAATTGATTTCTTTATTGACTACCTTTAATTACGGACTCGTGCGACACAGAATTCTTATAAATATTAATGTTTTGCTGGTGATTTATTGTAAGGCAGTTTTAATAAATTGTTAACGTTATTAATACTAAAAAATTAAAAGTCTTTTCTTGTGTTGATAGTAAACATTTGTTATTGCAAAATATGGTATTGTGATAACACGATCGTTAAACGTTATCAATCGACAAAAAAACTCCACCAATTTGCCAGGTAAACAATGTAAAACTTTACTTTTTCAATAATAATGGATGAACGATAATTGTTTATAACTTAAGAATAATTAATTTTAATTCTGTGTTTTTGAATTTTCGTTTTTATGTTCTCCAAGTATTGTTTCTCTTATGTTCTATTTTATGGTTATAGCTGAACTTAACAAAGCTATCCATCAACAATGTTTTCAAACCGACAACAACAAAACTCTTCAAATTTGTTAAACCAAACAATCTCATCGTCCAGTTCAATTGTGTTACCTCCTCCACCTCCAGCAATAATTATTACATCAAATGTGACAAATAGTCATAATAGTTCTGCTGTCACATCCGTTGCTACCTCTATCTTAGCTGTAAGTAATGTTTGTTTATTTACTTAATCCTGATCAACAATATTGTTATTTATTTTAATTATTGGAACAGTATTGTTTTATGATTTAATACTTAACCTTTATTGTTGGTATTGATTAATGAATATTAACTAAAATATTAATAATAAATATTAAATATTAAATTAGTTATTGTAATCTTAATTTATATTTTTGATTACATTCATCATACAAAACTATTTTTAAAACATTCTATAATATAGTTGAAACCAATAGATCTAAATTCTATATATTTTACTGAATATTTTAATGATATTTCATAATAAAAATAAAGAAACTTTAATTGTTTCAATACTTAAATATTATATTAATTATTTGTTTTTTAAATTATCAGTAATTTGTTGTTAAATTAATTAATTGTAGCTGTAAAATGTATAAAATAAAATAAATTAATATTTTTTTTAAACCGAATCATAAAATAATTTGTTTGAATTGAAATTAATCTAATCAATTTAGACTATAGTTGTATAAATTTATCTCGTCATTTATCATATAAATTAATATGGTTTTCTAATTTTATTTTAATTAAACTTATAAAGTTATAAATATATTATGCTTTTATATTAATGTTTGTCTGAATTATTTAGGTCATCCTGGTATGTATAATTAAGGCTAGCTATTAGTTAATCTTATTACAATATAAATAATGTATTAAATATAATTTTACATTATAAATCTATGGTGTATTGTATGTATATATCTTGATCAACATTTGATAAAATATGGTTTTAGTTTAATTGGTGTAATCTATAGTTTTTTTTTTCTTGTTATAGAGCCATTGCCATTACAATATAAAATACATTGAATAATATTATAAATAATTTACATATTTATAATATAAACTATTTCTATTGAGACATTTTACAGTATTTTTATTACATATTTTATTGAAAGAGTTTAAAATTATACTATATGTTAAAAGACTATTTACAGCCTTTAATAAAAACAATAAGACATTGATAAAGTTCTTTTTTATGCGTATTATTATATTATTATTATAATCATAATTATATATAAACAATTCTTGGTCTATTAAAATATGGTGCTAGAAAATTTGCCTACACAAGAAATGTACTTTAAAATTATGGTCGATATAACATTTTCTTAATTACTGAAACATTTATTAAATAATTTTCTTAAGTGTATACTTCTGTAGTTATTTCATTCAATATAATTTAAAATACTTTAAAAGCATTGAAGTTAAAACTTTAAAAATAATTATTATTTTATATATTTAAAGAATTTTTAAGATAAATTATTTATAAGTAGCTGAGTTCCTTGGCAAAGTATTATTACATTAAATTATTTTTTCTAGTTTGGAAAGATTTGTATAATCTTAAACAATTTAAGTAATTTTCTACCATGCCCAAAAGAATACCAGCTTTCAAAATATTGTTGGTAACTATAATTTCTTATCTTAAGAACTCATTGCAAACAATGAACGAATCCCAAAAGATATAATTTAAAAATTAATTTTCTAAACTATATGGTAAATATTATTTTAAGTAAATTAAAATATTCAATACAATTATTTAACATTATTTATCTATAATGCATTTAAAATTAAGTTTAGATTAAATATCTATAAAATAATATTATTAATAATTAATTTATTACAGTTAAGTAACTAAAATAATATTTTATATATAAGTGGCATTTGGTGGGCTTATATTAGATCAGAAGAAATTAAACCTATCTTGTTTGTGTCTATGAATATAACACATTAAAGTTAATATATATTTAATTTTTATGTCTAGAATTTTAGAACAATATTTTTCTTAATCCTTAAAAATAATTAAATAATTTTTTGGTGTTTATGTGATTTGTATGATGAAAATACACTTCCAAAATACTATTTTATTAAAAAAAACTTATTTTTGTTTAACAGAAAATAATTTTATCTTTCAATGCTTAATTAATTAAAAACATTTTAAGACTAATTGATACAAAAATATTTGACCATTGTATATCATAATAAATATATAGTAATACATATATTAACTATTTTAAATGGACCATTCTAGCTTGAATTATAATAAATATCACCTTAAAATATATCGTTTTATTTGGCATTCTTAAAATAAATACTTGACAAGTTATCAGTAACAATTATATGTATATAAGCACCTACTGTTGATTTATTTGTATATATAAATTAATATAATAATTAAATATTGAATTTCTTATTTAGGTAAAGAGTATATCAATATATATCTATAAGAGTATATCAAAAATATAATATATTATATTTTTCTTTTTACTAGTATACCCTTTTATTAGAGTGATTCTCAATTAATTAGTAGTACATAAAAAGTTAATATGTAGTATGTAAAGAAAATAGTTTAAAAAAATTGTTATTTATACTAAATAAAAAATTAACAAATCTTTTAAACTTGCACATAACTGAATATTAGAGGTGTGTTGTTCATGAGCAAACGAGTCACACTTCTGAACGAACCTATTCGGATTGTAAAAATATGAAAAATCATTCAATTCGTTCATTCGTTAATTCATTCAATTTCGTACTCGTTTGGGTTGCACTCTTTGTGAACGAATTGACTCGGAATCCGGATCGTGAATTAAAAGTCCTTCATTCGTTCAGTTTTGTTTTGGTTGCGTATAGATCATTGTTATAGACTAATTAACATTCTAATAACATTTTATAAATCATAATTGAGGGATAAATATATATGATTTAATTACGAAATGCATTCAATCATTCCAATATCAAAATAAATTCAATTTAGTTCGTTTAAGTGTACGCAATTGTATGGAATAAACGAGAACAATTGATCTAATGGATCTTTTTGTTATTTAATTCTATGCAGTTGTAATTATGTTTCAGTTCGCTTATCGTTCGATGAACGAAATTAACGATATAAACGAAAAATATGAACATATATATATATATATATATATATATTATATATATATATATATATATATTATATATATATATATATAATTGAATGACCCGATCCAAACGAACCGAACTGATATGATTTTTTTAACTCATTTCTACTGAATGTTAATAAGATTTTATCTAATGATATGCATTATTAGTGAAAAGTACAAATTTCTAAATTTTTTTGGTAACCGGGGTTTAAAATGGTTGAAAACCTCTATTCTATAATATTTATTTATAATAATAAAATAGTTTTCAATTTATTTTCTAAATTTTTTTATTCCATTTTACCCAAATTTGTATATAATAACTTCTTTAATTTTATATTTATATAGAAATAAATAAAATAATTTTTTTAGAAAGAAATAACTAAAATGTTTGACCCAGTAACATATCTTGTTATTTTATAAAAACTTACGAAATAGTGGTTTAAAAGGAGGTGGTATATGACGTCAATAACGAATTCGTCATAATGGTATTTCCCGTCTCCTGAAACCTGTCACCACCGCCATTAGGTATCACAAAAAGACTTTCTATACGAGTTTAGCTGACCAGTATATCCGGAAATTACTCCTTATTCCGGATTTCTATTATATATGTGCGTGAAAGATTCTCCAAATACATATTACAATGGTACTTTATATTGCATATGGATTCAATAAGATTTTATTGTTGTAGAAAAAAAGCTGTCGAAATATTTTGTTGGAATTATAATGCATTGTTTTAGTTTAAATTACAATTTTTCATACCTAGTGTGTTATACGCTTAAGGTTAACCTTGATCAATTTAATAGAACATCGTTATTCTTTGGTATTAAATTTGTTTAATTTATATACTTAATAATATTAATTAATTATTGAAACATGCCCAATATTTATGTGTTGTTACTTAATGTAACAACTTACTTTTCTCAGAAAAATTTCATGTAATCAATTTAGTTACGTATTTTACTTATTAATGTTGTGAGTTATTTAATTATATGGTTTATGTCACGTACAACTGCCGAGTTTCATGCGATCGTTTTTATTCAATAATATTAACTCCATTTTATTTACAAATTATAATTTTAACTTAACTGCATGCGTGTTTTTAAGATGAATTATTAGTAATTCAATAACTTTGATTATTATTTTTAAATAAAATTAAAAAAAGTCCTTATAATATTTATAATATTAAGAGCGTTTGAATTTTACACTCTTATTAATTAAAGGCTTTACTTGTGGAGTGTACCAATGTACAAAAAGTGAATTAATATTTCCAATATTATTTGGAGTATTTAAATGGATGTATTACAGTTTTATTATTAGAACTTTGTTGAAAACTATTCTGAATTATATTAATTGCGTTTAAAATAAATAGTAAGTTTCGATTTTGAAATGTTCTCAACAAAGTTTGAATAATTTTAAAGTATATGTCTGCCGCCAAATAATTTAATTAATTTTAACGAATTATTTATGATAAGTACTCTAAAAAAGTTGAAGTCATGGATTATTAACTAAAATTAATGTATTATGTATTTTACTTAATTTTCACTGTCATTAAAACTTCTAAAATGATGTATCGAGTTTATATATTTTTAACAGATGAATTCAGAATGTTTTAAGTTATAACTTATAAACCTTATAAGTTAAACAAATGAGTTCTGGTTTTCATATTTTTACTTTTGGATCCTTTGTTTAAAGAATATCTGTTATTTTAAAAAATATAAAATATATATTTAAATTATGTTGAAAATAAAAAATGTTTGTATTATGTATTTTTATTATTGTATTACATAAATATATTTTCAACAAGAAGTTTGGGTTTAAAAAAATATTTATTTTTCGTTAAATATTTATATTCGTAAATAAACTTAATGTATACAAACTATAATAAATATGTTAATGATTATTGATTTGAAATGGGTGTAATTTATGAATTATAGTTTAACATAAAGATGTATCTATGTATCTATAATACTACATGTCTAATATTTATCATTCAATTCACCTTCTATTCAAACTCTTAAACGCTAAATAAATACAAGGTCAAATTGATATGATGATTTTATAAATTAAGAAAAACATATTTATGTATAAGATGTACTATTAAATCAAGTTTTATCACTCAGATTAATAATACTGAAATAATGTTATAACTGTGAGAATTTTAGGCATTCATCGATTTATTTAAATTATTGAAAAAAAATTAACAACGAAGCAAATTGAATTCAATAAATATATAGTTCATTTTTACATGTAACATTTTTTATGAGTTTTTCATAACATATTATTTCGTCATCAAAAAAGAGAAAAAGTACAACTGTACTGTGGCTGTTAACATTAATATTATTGTGTATTTTAATAATTACATACAGCTATTACGTATATCGAGTAAACGGCATTATACGACTCTCTCGATGGTAATCATCTTATGTGCCGTTTGACTCACACACAATTCGGAGGATACTTAAAACCAACGTATCTACAACTTACAAAATGTGACGTAAATCTGACGAAATGAGTCATCGCGTATATAGTGCTATATAGTGGATCCGTGTGCTTCAACGGGAAACACGACAATGGAAAGGGGTGGGCGTATACTATGTTCCATTCAGTACACGCCGTTAGTAGTATAAGTTTTTCCCTCTCCGTCCGTGGAAGTCTATTATCTGCATTTAGTATTGGTACAGAGTTGAACGTTTTTAATTCAGTTTGTTTTATACACCACACGTGGTCAATGCGATTTTATCCGCCGTCATATTCTCGCCTAATATCGTTTTTTCGACTAAAGTTTATTCAATTGTTTCGAATTGTTTTGTTTTATATACAAATATATGTAATGCTTTTACCCGCACAAATGTTGCCCTCAACTGGTATTTATAACGATTCGAATACCTCTGTCTGTCCGGATTGTCTGGATCCCGTCGCTACGTGTACTTGTAGTTGGCAAATCTTGCAACTAGACGCCAGCTATAGTATTTACACTACATTAAACGAAGATATGAATAAAACAACACCTTCCTCGGCATATTCATTTCCAAGTGACATACACAAGGTTTACTTTATTTATTTTTTTAATTTAACATATCGAATATTGTTTAAAACTGTCACTATTCAAACACTTTTAAATATAAGTCTAGTATTCGCAATTTTTTTATTAAAACGAAAACACTTAAGATTTTGAATAATTTAGATATGCTATTGTCTAAAACGTATTTAAAATTTGGTTTTTTAATTCAAGCATTTATAAAATGTTTTATTTTTCATTCACTCTTTCTAATATAATTTTTATTTTTTGACTAATTATAGTTTAAATCTAGGTGTTGAAATCTTTTTAAGCTTACCTATATTAATTATTAATTTAAATATAATCATAAGTATTTAATAATTTAATTATAAAGTATTAATGGTATCAATCTATATTAAAAACAAATAGATTGTATATATTTTTAATTATGAAGGAAAATTAATTAAAAATATATTTTTAAGAAAAGTCGGAATATAAATTTTTGGTATGTTATTGTATAAATTAATATAGGGGTCTTGTAATGCATTTTATTCTAGTTATCGAATGAAGATAATAGTTTTAAGTGTTATTGTCAAGTTGAATACTTATATTTCAATTGAATCTACTTAAGTATATTATAAGTATATTATATTTTAAGTTTATTTTTAGTGCAAAATAAATATATTTTTATTGGACTCATTGATTTAGAGAAATATTTTTAAATTATTGATAAAAAGTATATTAATATAAATCTTCTATTTATAATCGTTAGTAAATATATATTTTGAATAACTTAATAATATATTTTATTTTATTTTTGTATGTAGCTGGATGGTCTTAATTGTGATGGCATACCTACCCGAACAACACCCACTTTGACGCCAACAACATTACGTAATATTGCTGCGGATATTGCTAGCATGTCACCTGGTACATCCGAAGATTTTGCTGCTTCAGCAGCATCAGACTTGCATCATCTTGTGTCATCTTCATGTACTAATATTAATGTGCCATCATCAATAGCTGCTGATCATTTAGGTTCTGAAGGTCGACATAATCTACAGAAGTTGAGCAACCAACATTTAAATCTTCAAAATCTAAATAATCAACATATAAGCCTTAGTAATTTACAAAACTCCCAACACCTTAATCAAAATAGTTTAAATCAACAACAGCAGAATGATTATAATAATTCTTTTTCGACCGTTACATCTAGACAGGCAGGTTTTGTGCCACCTCTTGTATTGCAAATCAATGCTAATGCTCCACAACCATCGGGTAAATATAATATTTATGCTTCTTAATATTTCATTTATTTTAATACTAATAGTTATTTGAAAAAAAGGTTCCACAGTTTTATTAAACAGTAACACTAACTCTGGATCGAGTTCAATATTTAGTGTGAAAGGCTCATCTACTTCTGCTTCATCTTCACATTGGCAAGGAGTAGTTGTTACTCAAACACCACAGCGCCAATCACGTAGCGTCAATAGACGACGATTCACTGATGATGAAAATGGTGAAGATGATTATGATTCTGTATCTGATGACGGGACTGACAGCAGTGATACAACTACTGGAAAAAACATAAGCAAACAAGAAATTAAAAATATTGTAACAAGAACTATAATTAAGAATGAATTCAAAAATGTAGGGAACAGTTCTGGTAGTGGTCGTCGTAATAAAGACAACAAAATAGTGAGTTAATTATCATATTCAATATTTAATTATTTAATGAGTGGTTTTTTTAAATTCTAAGTGAAACGAGAAATGTGTTGGTTTTATCATGATGTATGTGTATATTTTTTTTGTTTTTGTATACACTATTTCGATTAGAAGGATTGCTACGATCAACACCAAATAAAAAATAGGAAATGGGTTAAGTTGATATTATAGAGGTCTTTTCTTTAATTTCTTAACAGTTTTTCTAATAATTGCAAAAAACTGACAAAAAATTATAAAAAAAAATAGCCAAAATGTACGGCATACTGGTTTTTGACATAATCGATTTTTAGTTTTTTATCTTAACTCAAAAAAATAAATAATCGTTGGGACTTCAAATGTTCACTAAATGCCTATATCACCGTTTGCTATTGGTAATATAATTTTCAAACGATTTTTCTAAAGTATTCATATTTCATTAGGTTTTTTTTCAAAAATATTGATTAAATAATTTTGGGTTGATTAAAAATCTTGAAAATTTAATTCTAAGTTCCTCATACATTTATATTAATTACTGATTAAGAGACACATATATTGTCTCTGTCTGAAAATAGTACAATATAGCAAATTTGCGTTCAGTAACTAAAATGTAGTGATATTAGGTTTAATAATAGAGTAAACTGACCTATAAACAAAGTTTAAAGGAAGATCGTTATTTTTGTTTTGTTGGTCAATTTTTACGATATTTTAATGTTTAAGCGAGTTATGATTTTTTTTTTTTTTAATTATAATATTTCACATATTCATAATTCACTTAAAAATTAAAATATATAAATAAAACTACCAAATAAACATACCATGTTCTTCCTTTAAAGTATTGTTATAGATAAGCTTACTCGTAATATTGAAGCTAAAATCGCTATATTTAAATTACTGAACGCAAATGCTCTATGTTTTATCAGACGGAAACAACACATGCGGGTGTGGCGAATAAAAATTGACCTTAGTTAAAAAAAAAAATACAAGTACCTAATTGATTATTAAATGTTGTCAAAACTATAAAAATCACGAAAATGTGCAATATTATTGTATTTAAAAATGCATACAACTTTCAATTTTATAATCAAGGCTTCAAAATTCCGCTTTATAATATAGTAGGACGTGTATTTAAAATAAATAAAAAAATTGAATATAAGATTTTTCATACGATTTTCTTTGTTGTAAAAAAAAAAAAAAATTTACTGTCCAGTTGTAAAAATGAACTATTCAAACTTTTATAAAATTAAATGTTGGCACAATCTGTTATTTAAACGAATTTCTATTAAACTACATTAGGTATTTAATTAATGATATTTTATAGCTCCAAAATGTTTTTATGAAGTTTTTCTATTGTGTAAACTATCTTTAAAAATAGAAGTATTATTCGTTGTATATTATTTATTGAAATATGATCAGTACCATAAAAAAATGTTCTCAAGTATTTAAATCTTGTGTATTTTCAGATGTCTGCTGAAGAAGAACACCGCCGGCAGATCCGAAGAGAGCGTAATAAGTTGGCAGCAGCTCGTTGTCGTAAACGCAGGATGGATCATACAAATGAACTTTTAGAGGTACTGTATAAGATATTACATTATAAATAGAGTATTAATTTTTGATTAAATTGTTATCTCAATATATTTATAATAAATTTTTACTATTTGTGAATTTGATAGTAAATTTTTAAACATTGGATTAGAAACAGTATAAGCGATTGCTGTAAATACATAATTTTTTTTACATTAAAATATCTTAGATTTTTTTTTTTAAATGAAGTAAATTATGGTAATTTGTGTAAATTAGATCATTTTAAAATCTCAAAATTATAGTTATTATATTATATGTTTCTTTGAGAATATTTGGTATGATTTCTGTTTAATGAATAGTTTGAATATCAGAACACTTATTAATTTATTAACATTAGATTTAAATTTCAAAATATTGCTTTTAAGTAGCTAGAAAAATGTACATTAATGTACAAAAGTCCCATAAATGTCTTAAATACTATATACACTTTGTATTCCAATCGTGTGTATGCTATTTGGATTAGTAAAATATCAACACTCAAATTTAGAGACATATCTAATTTCTGCCTGTTAATGTATAGCTTTATTTTTTGTGAATCAAACATTTTATTTATCCTGAAGGTGTCTTATCAAATTTTAGTTTACAAAATAGTATTTCATTTAATTTTACTATTATCTGTATAATTTATTAATAGCGTTATATTTTAAATTTATACAGGAAACTGAACAGTTGGAAGATAAAAGATTGAGGTTACAAGTTGAGATTCAAGGCCTTCGTCAACAAAAGACTAACCTTCAACAAATGTTAGCCCAGCATAAGTGCGCTGTAAGTATGAATAACGGGCATGTATCAAATTCAGTCTCTACTGTAAGCCAAGCAATTGCAACATTAGATTCAATTTCTGAATCTGATACCACTGTATTAAGTAATAATTTGTCAACGACTAAAAGAAATCCTCTACATCAGCAAAATATAAGTACAAATGTGAACAGTGATAATGATAGTAATAATGTTGGAGATATTTTAATAAAATGTGAAGAACCATCACTAGTAATTACTGATGATGACAATAAAGATAACATACCCCTTACAGTATTGCAACAACCTCAAAGAAGACGACCTACAACTTTATTGCAATTAAACAATGTTAACTTCGGTAATAATAAAAAAATGTCTGAAAATGGTTCTACTGGTGTGGTAGTATTAAATTTTGATTCGCTTATGGATGGTGGCACAGGGTTAACACCTGTGTCAACTAGTGTTGGAAGTGTACAGAATCACCATCAACATGTTCAACATAACACAGGAAGTGATGTAAATACTGCCAATAATAGTGTTTTATCCTAAAAAGATGTCATCAACCAAATAAAATAGCCAACTAGACTAAAATAAGTTGGTTAATAAAATACTATGAGAGTTGGGCAACTTTCCAATAAAGTGTTTAAATACTAAATGCTTTTACCCTATCAAAATTAAATGAAAATCCAAAAGCCAGTATTTTATATGAAAATATATATTTAGTAAAGAAAGAATGCTTTTGGTGGAGGTTTGTTTATCAAGTAACAATGGAAATATTTTTTCTAGTCATGTGTGGTTAATATAAATAATTTAAGTTCATAAATTGTAAATTTTTATTTTTAAACAAATATATGTAAATAATATAAAATACATATGAATAATTAATCATATGATTTATCAAATATTTAATTTTATAATTTATTAATTTAACTGTGAAAAAGTGTTTTTATAAATGTATTTTTGAAATAATGACCAAGTGTAATTAATATATAGATTAATATATATTTTTAAAACCCATTTTAATTTAATTTTTAGACATTAGAGTTTTATTCAATTTTTTTTTTTATATATTTTTTAAGTAAGTGATTATCAAGTGTGTCCAAAGAAGAAAAACTTTAAAAATAATTTAGTTGTACTTTTAAAATTACCATTGTAAATTATTTTTCATGATTTAATTTAATTTTGTTATTTCCAAATTTATAAATAATATGTGTACATTCAATGATTATGGATACATTTTAAATTTATTTATTTTACTTGTGTGCATGTTAGCTAAAAAATTAATATAATATAACACATTAATGATGTATACTACATATAATATTTTAAATTTATAATAATTATATTAATAATATTTATATTAATTTATAAATACAAACCATATTTTTCCATTTATCATTTTGATTTTAATACATATATAACAATAAAATGTTAGTTTATGAAAAAATAACAATCTGTGCACAATGAATTGTTGTAAATAAGAAAATTTAGAAATAAAAAGTTTAACTAGGTTAAATTTTACTCTTCATATATCTTGCCCTGATAAATTATTAAAATGCTTTTTATTTGGTTGGTACCTTATCATTATCAAAAATATTTTCTTTGTTTAAAAGAGTAATTCAATAACAAAGAGTTATTATTATATTCAGAAATGTGATAAAATCGAATAGTATTCAATACATCATTATTGTGTATTATTTTTATATGATAAGAATTTAAAACGAAAATATATGTTAAAGTTTAACTGATTCTAGTGAAAAGGAGGAACTTCCGACCATATGAAAATTCTGAGCCTTCCACTTTTTGATGGTTAAATATAGTGATGAGAAAAATCGAGTTATTTCAATAACGAAGAGGTTAGTAATTGAGAGAATTTAATAATCGAGAGATCTCGAAAAAACCTCTCGGTCAATTTAGTAGTTACTAGTTAGTAGCTTGGTACCTATTGGCTAGATACTACTTACTTTATTACGATGTCATTCGCTCAGTCGCTGGAATTATTATCTACTCTGAGTAAATAACCGTAGTCGCTGGCTATAAATTACATTATAATTTTCGGACAACATTAGCTCTTAATTTAAAATACTCTTAATTTAAGATGCGTCATCGCAGTAACATTATGGAAATGAGTAAGAACAATGAAGTGTTAAAAATAATGTTCGTTATTAAATTTTACTGTGCACATGAATATGAATAAATCGCATAACTAATGCGTTGTTTGATAACTGTTTTGTATAAAATTGTATACTTTAATTAAAAGTATATTATGATATAACGGTCGGTGTATTCACGATCATGTAAGAGAAAATGTACCAAGAGCCGTACCAAGCCATTTTTTATCCTGAGGCAAAACTGAAGCAATGTGTCCCCTAGATTGTAGGGATGTCACACAGCTTTCAGTGGCGTATTTAGAAACTTATTTTTGGGGGGGAGGTCATACCTAATAATGAAATAATTTTATAAATTAATATAAAATGTTCTTTATCGACTTATTGTTTAAATACTAAATAATAATAATAATTAATAACTAAATTAAACGTATGATCATATTAATCATATTTTATATTACTTTATGTTGTGCATAGATGCATAGTACATACTGACAATTGACAAGACATGACAGTCACGGACTAAGATATTGATATTATTATCGACCGATAATTTACCCACATCAGATTATTTATATACCATGTGTGTGTGAGTGCCGTGCGGTCGATTATTAATATTATTATCCGATTACAATTTCATCATTAGTGATATTAATATTTTTTTATATATATATATATATATTAATTATACTTAAATACTTTATTGAATAAACGAACTAAAATTATTATATTACTGATATATATAAAATTTGATGTTTTTCAAATATTTTTTTGGGTGGGGTAGAAACCCCCCCCCATAAATACGCCACTGACAGCTCTTTATATGTATAATATGATTCGGAAAAATTTGAAAAATTGTTATTAGGTTTCTAGCAAAACAAGAAATAATATTTAGTTAGTTATTTAATATTTTTGCGCTCCTCAGCTTCAGGCGTCCAAGGCAAGTGCCTCGCTCGCCTCACCCTAGTTACGGCTCTGAACGTACCCCAAGATTCAAAAATATGATATTTATGTCATTGATCGTAAAATATTTTTAAACATAACATGATATATTATGCTAGAGCAGCAATATAAACGCGGTTGGTTATTGAATGTCCCAGTCGCTTCAGTCAATGTTCTTATTCAGTTTGTATTTTTACTAATATTCAACGCAATGGAGTATTTATATATATAATGCATATTAAAATTTAGGTGCTCATTTAAATGAAATAATAAAAAATAAAAAAATGACCAAAGGTTATTAATTTATAATAAAAAATAGAAACAAAACAATACTCTTCTCATAGTGGATTTTGTTACAGAGAGGTCTTCTTTTGTTGTTTGATATACGTTTTAGTAATATAGAAAAGAAACCTATTCAATTCTAGAATTTAATTACTTAGTATAATAAGTACTTGACGTCATAATTATCAATTGATAACACATGTTTTAAAAATAAGAAAAGGTTTATTATTTTGATTTTTTCATCAATTGTTAAAAATAATACGTTTTTGAATGTATAGAGATCTCGTAATGACAAGTACGTTCAAACTTCACTGTTATATTTGAACTCTGACATCCAGTGACGCCTATTCTATAGTTAAGATCTTACTCTAGCAATATCTTAAAATAGAGAGTTACCCTTTATATATATTGCAAAAATGTACAATTCAGTTTATGTAACTTAAAAGTATTATATAGGTACATATTATCTAAAATAATATAACAGTATTCGTGTAGTAGATGATCTACCGGAGGGGGGGGGGTGATCTGCGAATTCAGGACGAGTGATCTACGTTTCAATAGTATAAAAAAACATTATATTTTTTACTACGAGTACGTCATATCATACAAATATTCGTCAAATATAAAAATAAAAAATAATTAGACAAATATTATTATAATTTCAATTACAGTAAACATTTTATAAAATTCAGACGCACGCATTATAAATAAACTCCGACCAACGAACAATTTGAATCTAATCTATCCAGCAAAATTGCTAATAACTCGTAGTAATATTGTAAATGTCATTAATCGTTATCGCAATACTGTATCACTGAGGTCTACAATAATGTGTATATAATAATAGTTAATAATAATAGTAAATTACCAACTACACCTTATATAATACGGTAGATCATCTGATACATCTAAAAAGAGGCCGTAGATCACCTGCTTACACGAATATCAATGTAACTTTTATAAGAAAACATGATGTCTCACTGGCATAAATTATGTAAAACATAATAATGTACGATAAAATACCTATAAACAAACTTATATAATATAATAAACTTTATTATTTGGTGTTAGGCTATCATTCATCTGCAATGATAATTTCTCAACTACATTGTTATCTTATCATAATTAGTTGCGAACTTAATACTGAAATTCAACATGAAGATATGATGCAAAGGTTTTCTGAACCAAGAACAATTTTTCTTTTTTTGGTTAAGTACTTACATATTTTTTTATTTGAGTAATAGCTATTTTTTTTTAGAGATAGTTGCCATTGTTGAAATCTACTATCATAGCACGAGTGTCTTTTTTTTCCTAGGATTTATCGTCGATACTTGCAAAACAACCCATTGTTAATTATGAATCATTAATCAACAATCTGTAATCATTGTTCGAGTGCCCTCGCCGTTTTACAATTCCATTAGAGCATTCAGATCCGCTATAGTGCACGTTATACCGTGTGAATAAATATTATATATATTTATAGTGTTAGAATATTATGATTTATTATATACATACAGTGGCGTATTTTGGGAGGGGGTTCCTGGTATCGATCCCTTCCTAGAAGAAAAAAAGGTCAAAAGTCATTAATGAATTGCTACGAAGGTGCATAGAAAGAGAACATTAATTTATATCATGTAGTTGAAAATACCTAGGTTTGTATTGATAAAAATAATAGTACCTATAAAATAATTATTAATTTATATCTTAAATATATATTTTTTTATAATACAATAAGATCACTATTTTTTTAAAAAAATGTTAAACCCCCTATCCCATAAAAATTTGAAAATACGCCACTTTACACACATAAATATTTAGGCATATTAATAACAATTTTAAGAATGTAAAAAATCATTCTTCCCAACATTTACGTCAAATCTGTATTTTCGTTTGATTATTTAAAACTTATTACCAATTAAAATCAACCACGCGTACAACACGAACATACATATTAATTAGTATTCGTATAATTAATTGGCTATTTGAATATTCTTAACGATATTCCGTCTGGTGTTCATAAAAAGTACTAATGTAGAATGAAGAGATATAAGTGCGTTATAATTCATTTAAAAACAAGTTAGACCCGTATATAAACACATTTTGTACATTTCGTCTTTCGATGTCTATCAACATAACCAACATAATCCAACAGTTTATTAATAATGTCACCGTTATAATTGCAATTGAAGCCTTTCTCGCTATAATTTTATATAAATTAATAAAATACTTATGGTTTAATAATTGTTTAAGGTGTTAATGTATTTTAATATCGCAAAGAAATTATTAAAATTGTAATTTACAATATCAACTGTGAAATATACGAAATCGTTTGTCATTTAAATGAATATGTAGTATATTACATAATTATATTTGATTTAGAAAGAAGGATAACAATATTATAATAGTTGGTCAAGCGTAATTATTATCATTAAATAACTACGGACAATTTAATAATAATACTGTTGGTAAATTGAGACAGTCTAGAAACGTTATTTCGGATAACAAAAATAAATAAATACCATGTGCATGTATTGATAGGCATTACTCACTTAAAATACGATTATATACTCCCTAAATATATTCTAAATTATAAATATAATAATATGTGTTAACATTGATTTTTTGGCGTTTTTTCCAACTAGAATTAATGAGGCCATAATACGTATATATGTTGATGAAATTCATACAGTATCAATTATTGTTAATAATTATCTATAATTTTTTTTTCGTCAAGTTAATGATTTCAATTATTATTTTTCCGTAGAGATAAAATTAAATATAATATGAATTTAGGTTGTTTAAAAAATATATGTTATATCTATTGTGTCTCATTGACAGTATAATATTAAGAGGGATTGTAGTTGGGATTTCATAAATATATATTTGTTATGTTATATAGATTAATAGTAGTATATCTTTGTAAATGACAATCACGATATTCACGCGATGATTTAATTTGGTGTTTGTTTATATTAATATGCGCTCTGTTGCTTTGGAGAAACGGTAGTGTCAGGTCCAGTTATAGTATGCGCCTTCTTAACGATTGCCAATTTAGAATGAGGATCTCGGACGGACAGTTGGCCGTACGGTGGTTCCCGGGTACCGTGTAACATCAAAGTCCATTCTTTCAAGAACCCGGTGTGCACGATATCTTCCTCTTCTTCTTCATCATCGTTTTCATCCGAAGCCAGCTGGTCTTCCGAAATAGTTGTAACGCTACTCAACGTGGAACCCACCTTAGCCGTTGATCCCTTGCTTGCAGATGACCCCCCGCCGCCATTGCCAACTGTATTTTGCTGCGAAAATGGTTTCGACGAAGGCGTATTGAATTTGACCTGTGCGTGTAAATTTATTAATACTAGGGTTAGAATTTTAATGCACGAAAATAAATCAGTAAAATGTATCAATAAGATAATCAAAGATTATCTTAAAGAAGTTCATTGAAAATATTTTTTTCTTTTCAGTTCAAGACATTTTCATATTATATAGTGTTAAATAAGGCACATAAACAATATGTAGAAATTAAATGTCTTTATATTTTGAGTTTTAAGAATCATATTATTATAATATTGTATTTATACATACCTCGAGTGTCCATTCGCCCCACGGATATTCACCCCACGTGTGTGTTGTCATAAATGGCCATTTTGTAAATCCATCTCTTCTATCGTCGTCATTAGGTCTCCTACTTAATATCATTGACCTGCAAGTATATATGAACATTAAGCATGTAATTATTATATTAATAATACTTCAAAATGATCATGATTACCTTGTCCCCATCGGAGATGTCAAGTAGAGTTCAACATCACCACGTCGAGTAGAGTTGAGTGTAATTACAGCTTGTACATGTTCTAAATATTTGACATGGGTATCGGTACCACGGCATGCATCAGTTTTCAATTTTAATATGATACCAGATTTACTTGTGAATTTTCTAAATTGAAATTATTTTACTACTAATTTATCCAACGTTTTATTTGTTCTAGTTACACATTTATATTAATTAACATTATAAGAATTATATATATCGAATTAAATTTATTAATAAATCTACATGGCGCATGAGACTTAAGTACATTATAATATATGCCACACGCTCAAAAATTCTTAGCTAAGAAAATTATGTAATGCATTAATACATGGTCCAGCATACCTCATTTTCGTGTGCGATCCTCCTTGACAGTGGTATCTAGCGGGTACAGTATGCCACTGTCGGGCAAGAGAAACCATTCCTCCAGCATCAAGTACTCCGAATCCAAACAAATGGTTGAATTCTAAGCCCACACCGTTCATGGTCCACTGGAATCGATGTTTAGCATCAAACAACGAATTTCTTTTAGAAGTCAATACGGTCAAATGTTGTATGTCTCTCCATGTCAATTCAGGGCTGTTGAAAAATAGCAAACGAATAATTATAGTTAAACTCACTTCAAAATCAAAATATGTTATTCCAACACTTAATGATAAAAAAAATAATTGTCAAAAAGGATCAACATACTTTGCTTCCAAAGCTAAAGCGAATACGCCGGCAGCTTCTGGTGCAGCTGCTGATGTACCACTATGTGATTTAGTACATTTTCCATATAAATCTGTAGTTGCCTGAAAAATCATAAAAAAAGTTAATAATAAATCATCGTTTACTACTTATACGGAGAATTTGTTTTAATAACAATTTGTTAAACGTGTTAAAAATACGTTATCAAGTAAATAGTGCAATTATCCATTTACGTATATACGTATCATGTTAAAACTTACAACTCCGGTGTTAGGATCCTTCGCTCCGTTACTAAAAGTCGATGCCAGCGTACTTGAACAACTCTCGTCATAATGAGCATTCTGTCCGTCATTTATAGCCGAATTTATCGAAATCGTCCACATACTAGCAGCATATCCATCACAGTTGCAGTCATCAGCTTCTCCACCATCACCACTAGCCCACACATAAATATTTCCTTTTCCACGACGACCCTTAAAAAATATAATCGTTACAACGGTTTTATCTGCAAAGTTGTAAGTTTTCAAGTTCTATGTGGTCATTTTTCTTTCGTCTGTTTTTCAATACATTTATGTAAATTTATTCATACGTTTATGTTTAACGTACTTCATTAACACCCCGTACTATAGCTCTCATAGTGGCGTTCCTAGGACCGTCAACAGTTCTTCCATCATCCGTGGGACCCCAAGAAGCACTATAAATATCAATCAGATCCGGTTCGTGGCCCATACTATTAGCTTCGATAAGATCGGTCATGTAAGGTTGGTCGAGCATTCGAATTCCTGTGACCAGGTAAAGTATTTGATCGTTAAAAAAATAATCCGTTTGAATGTAACTATTATTTTCATAGATATTAAACATATTGATTTTGAAATTTAATAAAATTACCGGCGATTTTCGAGTCGTATGCCACGCCAGTACCGCACACGTCATTATCGCGTGCGGCAGCTACTTCCCCGGCACATCTAGTGCCATGACTGTTGAACCAATCATCAGTATACCTTGGATATGGATATGGATCATTAGAGCTAAAATCGTAGCTCGCCCGTGCATTCTAAGTGAGTGTATATCGATCACATGTGATTTTCAATTGCAGGGGAATGGGTGAAAATTGGGACAGATACATATAAAATCATAATATTTTATATAAGTTACATAATTATAATATCTAATATTGCAAATAAAATATTAAACAACTCACGTAATTATATTTTAAATCTTCGTGTGTATAATCCACGCCTACGCATGAAGAAAAAAAAAAATAATATTAATACTCATACATTAAGGATTGTTAAAAATCCCATATGTCATATATAGACCTATCATATTTTAAAACTTTTTAATCTCACGATTAATATTTAAAGATTAAAATAACTATTTATTTTACTTAGTACAATTTTTAATTTTTTTTGTTTTTCGATCAATTGTCAATAATATATGTGAACATATGATAATAAATAATGCGTGAATGGTAAGATATATTTTATTTGATTCTATATTTACAACTTTCTGCTAGGAAATCACTATTTATCCAAAGCTTATCTTCAAATAAATACGATGATTTATCAACACACAAAACATCAATAAAGAATTAATAAAAATTAAATTAAACTGTATTATAATGTTAATATGTTACGGCAGTTATTTTTATAACACTATTTACCGAACGGTTTTTGTGTTTTCGATAAATTCAACGGATAAATTATGATATAATAATTATTTAAAAAAACTATTTGGGCTTAATATTTTATATCTATTTTATATTCTACCACTTGTTAATTAATTTTTTAAGGTTTCCTTAAAGGCTTAGATGATTAAAACATTTCATCAGGGACGGAACTAGGGGGTGGAAGACAGGGATTCATCCCCGGGCGTAAAATATTAGAGGGTGTAATTTTTGTAATTATTGACAACTAATTTGATATTTTTAACATTGTTAAATACTGTTATTGGGTTAAAACTTAATAAGTATGATTGTATATTAATTATTGGAAAACAATTCTCGAGAAGAGTATTTGATTATTGGTCGTTAGTCGTTTTATAGGGCGTAATTTTAACATTTTCCCCGGGCGTAAAAATTCCTAGTTCCACCTCTGCATTTCATATAGGTAAATTATCACAAAGATAACAAAAATCTTAAAGATGCTTTTGTTAAAATTTTTATTAGATTTCATAGTTTTAAAGAGAGAAAAAATAGTATTGTAGAATGACGCGATAATTTTGTTTCTCTTTAACACTGAAATCTGACAAAAATTTGAACAAAAGCATTGAAATATAAATAGGCTGTAATATTTTCCAGTTTGTAGACTAAGAAAATACTATTATATATAACATACATATTATTAAAACTATAGTTTGTAGTTAAATAGTCGTAGTTTATGTCATAAATAAATACTACAATTATCGAATGTTTACTTAAAACATTCGATAATTACCCAAATTAAAAAATATTACGAGAGACGATGCTTTGATATGGATTATTAGTAGCTACTTAACATGTAATAGCTGATTATTTTGCCTTATTTGCGTGGTTATCTGTTACTTTAATTTAAATTCAATAGTTAATTATTATTCTATCAACAATCATTTATCATTATCTCATAACATAAATCGTGATTTCAATAAATGTTATATCAATTATACCGGAAACTTTGTATTTTATGACGAATATTTCATACTACAAATACATATTTAAAAAATAGTAAAATGTTATTTTTATATTTTTCTTGTACAGAAAAAATGTATTAAATTTAAATATTAAATTTATAAATGCCTTAACTTTAGATTTTCTTTTAAAATAATATTTGATCAATATAATAATTATTTCTAGAGAAGAGCAAAAATAAAATGTTATTACTAAGCAATATAAGTCTTATTTAACGCATTTACTTTAATAATATAATATTTTGTATCATACCCAAATTAACGAGTTATAAAAAAATTATATATTTCTCTATACCAGAGGGAACCAAACTTTTTCGGCCACGATCTACTGAAAATATACTTCACCTTTGAAGATCGACTTTCTTGGAACATTTTTTATAAACCAAAATAAAAGATAAAAACTATACAGATAACATTTATCGAAAAAATTTTCATAACCACCACGATTAATTTTCGTGCATATGGCCTAAAAATAAATTCTAACATGATCGACTCTGAAATCGTCCGCGATCTACCGTTTGGCCGCCCCTACGCTATACCTTTTTATTATAATTTTTCAAGTTAATTTATCGAATTTCAAAATATTTTTATATTTATTGAATCTTTACATCGTTATATGTTTGACCAGAAATAATAACTTGTACAATTTTTCAATCGAAATTAAAGTAATATTTGAGTAGTATTATTTTGGTATATTTTTGGATTATAATTGCCTTTTATTTCTCTTTCACTAATAAAATATACATGTATACCTATGTTATATGTTAGTTGAAATATTCAAAATAAAAATTCACAAATGCTAATTCGTGAATATTAAGATATTACAAATCGAAGTTGTAGTTAGGTGTGGTGAATAAAGCTAAACAGGTAATAATAATAGTCTTATTAATTATAAAAATTTCATGATTATATTTTAAATAACTTGTTTTTAAATATGTCGAACAAAGAAAAATCTGAATTGAATAATTTTTCATCAATTTTTTTACCACAGTTTTGACTTAGAACACGACGAGTGTTAATTTTGTGAATAAATAATTTTAAAATTTTAAATGATCATATGTACTATATGTGAATTAGATTTGTGTTGAATAATAATTAATAATTGTGTTATAATACCAGTTGAGTGTTTAAATTTATCTCAGTAAGGATATCGAGCAGTATGGTTTGCATTATACAATATTAGTAATTATTAAATGAAACTAATACCTGTAGAGACAAATAAGTAATAACTAATAATAATGCTAAGTATACAGTTTTAAAATTTATTTATTAGGTATAATGTTTAACTTCATTTGTATAATTATGAACATTGTAACTATTTAACTTATACTTTTAGTAAAAACTTTTTATTTTACAAAAACAGTTCTCCTGTAATAAATATTCTACTGATATTCTAAAAGTTTTAATTTAAGAGGAAAAAAATTAAATAAATGATTTCTAATTTTTGTTATCAAAAAATGTGTGACCCATATGATAAAAATAATAATTAGATATACTTTGACAGTTTTAGAATTAAATAATATGAGCTAAAAATACCAATTTTGGACGTTATTTTAATAATTAAAATTATTCCAGATAATTAAATACGTATAGTATATGATTAATGATAAGTTCATTTGTATATATATATATATTATAATGGTATGAGTATAATGATAATTATTATTTTTTTAATCCGTTTGAATTTTATGCCTCTATTTAAATATTTTAAATTTCTGTACAGGAAGTCTTTTTTTTAATTAACTTCTTTTTTGTATTTTTATTTTTAAATTTAAGTTCTTTATTAAAAATAAAACATTACATCATGACGATTTGTAATAATTTTTCCCATGTGAATATTTTTGAATGTTTAAATTTATAAGTATAGCTGTATTAATTTAAATTTGTATAATATATACTCATTATATTTATAGATAATATAAATATATATATTTTCTAAATTAAAATAGATCTCAATTTTATAGGTTTTTATATTTTTAAAATATACAAGAGATTTAAATTATTCTTATTTTAAACAAATGGTTTATAATTTTATTATTTTTCCTGTTTTATATATCGATTAACAAAAAACTATATTTATAACGATTTTACATTTTCAATTTTAAATATAAATACGTATTTTAAATTATATATTCACTATTAGTTATTAGAAATCTATCACTTACCATCATCCATGATAGCAGTAGTGACGTTTTTGCCGGAAACTCCCTGTGCCCAGGCTGCTCGTACATTCAAATCCAATTTTGGCTTACCACCGTTTTGTCCTGTATTCCTCAAATACCATTGTTCTTTAAATAATGGATCCATTGGTAATTTACCATAACGACCCAAGTCATCATCAATTTCTACGGATTTACTGAGATATCCGTTAAGTTTATCGGTCATAAATTCATCTCTATTATTATAAAAAGATGGATTGTAAGGCTTATAACCACGTTTCACTCTTTTAAATCCTGGTTGCTGATGAACTGACTTAACCTAAGAATATGAAGATAAATTGATATATCATGCTGCATTTTTGGAATTATTTAAAAAAATATAACTACTTAAAAATTTATATTTTCACAATTATAATCAACTTTTAAAAATTATGATTAAATTAATCGTATAGTTTTAAAAACTTACGGATGGATCTTTTTTCAAAATTAGAACGGAAGGTAAAGAACGACGGCCACGTATTTTGGGTAATCCATGATGAATAAATTGGAACTCGTCCTTAGTACCACGGATCTAAAATATAAATTCATACTCTTACAATAAGTGTATTCACTAATTGCACTTTTATTATATTCATTATATTACATCAAAGTAGTCAAACAAAATAGAATCGGAATAGATAAAAATAATTTATGTTAAGAAAGGTATATTTCGTTTATGAAATTAAATAACGTATAATAAATAGCACGTTAATTAGCTATTTTCTTATACTATCTAGAAATGGCTTGTTTTTTTGTACTCAAAGATAAAAATCACACTTTGAAATTTTTGATTTTTATCAGTCTTTATATAAAGTGTATTAAAACCATTTTATATATTTAATTATAAAATTATTAAATGAACTACTACTACCTTTATCATACTACATATAATTTATGGTTAGTGCACGGATAAAAATATAAACAATTAACGGTGTTAATGAATCTAATTTGTGAAGAATGTGTTTTTATTGAATACAATCGAATATTTACTGTAATAATCAAAAAAAAAAAAAATACAATTCTTTTAATACTAAAATACTATTATAATAATAACTAAATGTACCAATTTATAATAGTTATTATGAACATATTTATTTTATGTACCTAACGTAAAGATTATGCAATCCAATGTTTTAATAATGGATACGGTATTATATTATACGAAAATGTACAATATATACTTTAAGGTTAAAACATTTTTACCACAATCTTGTAATTCGTTAAAATCACAATGAAATTGTTAGTATAATAATTGGTTGTAAATTATTCGAATAAACATTTAATTCTTGTTGAAATTATAATTTGTAGATATAAAAGTATATATTAAATACCTAATATATAAATTAATAGTTTATATATAAAAATAAATAAATAAATGTATAGCATGGAATATTATTATATTTGTAATGTGGGTACAACCAGTTTCGAATTAAAAATCCATCATCAGGTAAATAAAAAAATCAATAAATCACGACTTAGTCCATTTATTTATATATTTATTTACGAGTGTTAACTATTTCCTAATTTTTATTTTATTATTTTTTTTTTTTATAATTTAATATTAGGTGTTATGAAAATGAACGTGAAGGGAAAAAATGAAGAGAAAGACCAAAAATGAGATGGTTGGATACGATCGAGAATGATATGAGGGCCATTGGTGTACGTGTAGGGGATGTAAAAAATCGAATAGAGTGGAGATTTAGAACAAGAGTGTCCGATCCCAAATAGCTGGGAGAGAGGCGAAGGCGAAGGAGAAGAAAAAGGATTTTAAATATAATAATATAAATAAAATGACATTTTTAATTTAGTAAAATCCCTGCCAGTGTTTACAAGTAACAAACGGTACCAACAGTTATATTAGTATATGATTAAATTTGAGGTAACTATTAAAATGTGATGTATTAATGATTAACTTGAAATTAGATTTTAAAAATAATCCGGTAAGAGTAAATCGGGAAGTAATTAAATTAGATACTTGTACAGTAGTACTCGTATTATGAAAATAAAACGTTCATAAGTGCAAAAATAATGTACTTTAAAATAATGTTGAATAAAAGATTATTATTTATTTGTTATTCAATTAAGATACGACAAAACAATGTTACTAATAGCTAACCTGACCCATCTAATTAAATTATAAAGCACAGACGTTAATTATTGGGCTGCTCATCTCACATGGTTCACTTCAGTAAAAACCACTGTTGTATATGATTTTTATTTATAATATATGCATACTTTTAAAACTTTTATATACTCAACAATTTATACTAAGTCTTAAACACAATATTTTATTTGACGAGCTATGCGCTAAACACACTAATAACTGTTCTTGGAGTTCAACCAGTATTAAAGTTATTACTAATCTATTAAATCAATTTATTATTATTAAATTAAACATGATTATATGAACTATATTTTTACAAAATACATTTTCCTATTGTTTACAGTCTATACTTTTGTAGGTTTTTTAAATTTTAATACTAATATACCTTTTAAATATAAGAATAATTACTTTTAATAAACAATGTGAAAACTGTAATTATAATTATGAAAGAATTATACTCATCATTACATCAATTGGCAATCATTGAGTTAATTGTATGATTACATAACAATCAATAGTGGCATCAGTATGGAAACATTCGTACGTTTTTTAAATTATGTATTCAAATATTTCCAATTTTTTAATCTGTATTAATTACTATAATGTTATAAATCTAATAAAATAGTCTAATTTTAATTTTTTATAAACTATTATTGTAAACTAGAAAAATCATATTTTAATAGCTTTTCAACAAACATATATAATAATTGTTTTGTAACTTTTAGAATATAAAAGTAAAATAGATTGATTATGTTTTATAGACTAAAGTTTTTATAAATAAAATTGTAAATATTTAATTATTGTAACAAAAAATATGAATAGTTTATTGATTTCATATGACCAATAACTACTCACTTATTCAATAAAAATGAAAATGTAACTATTTGCATGATGAAATTTAGTAATCTTCAGTATTTTTTTTTATCTATTTTAATTTTATCTCGGTGAAACATTTGAAAAATTATAATAATAATATTCAAGCATTTATATTTGTTGTATTTTTTGTTTAAATAAAAATCTGATAACATTTTGCACACAACTTTTGTTACATCCAAAAAAGCATTGATATTAAAATAGTATTACGACTTACATTGTTTAGTTTAATTTTTTTCATAATCTTTACAGAACTTATTCAAAGTTTTATTGTACACATACTTCGATGCATTTCATTTAAAGAACGTCACACCAGTAAATGTAGTGTGTAGGTTTAGTCTCAAACATTTATTGACGGACAGTCGTCATATTATGTAGTTTAAGATTATAATGTATAATGTAATAACTAGGACTCGGGTTTTAAAGCATATGCTTTTTATTAGATAGAAATCTAATTTTTATACATAATTTCGTTTCACGTCATTCTGATTTTAAATAAACTATAAACTTTAAAAAACTTTTTTTTCTTCTTTTTTTTATATATGTTTATTAAGTTATATTAAGCATAAGATATGTAAAAATATGCTTCTTAGTTATGTATGATAGTAATTACAGTTCTCAATTTATGTCAAACACAAAATACGGACTTTGGTTATTGGGTTATTTTTGTTTTCGTTTATCGATTTGATTATTATACATAATATGTATTAGATATAACATTAATATTACATATTATGTACTCTACGATCGATTCATTATAATGTTTACGTCTATAGTTATCTAACTACGGTTAATAAGTTTATAACATTGACCATTTCAACTTTTAAAAATGTTGGGTAAAGTAAATCTTGTTCTTTCAAAAAATAAGGACTGAAAACAATTACAAGACATTAATAACACACTGTGTGGTATTTCATCAAATATTGACTATATGGGTTTTATTTAAACGAAAAAGCTTTTATAAAGTATACAACAATCACTTCAGTGAATGTAAAGTGTTTGTTTTTGATATATAAAAACATTTTGTCTGATAATAGAGTTAGTTGCACTACTAAAAATCTAACTATACTCGTATATATAGTAGTCAATTCATTTATTAATTTCAAATAATTTTTCAATCTGTATTATTTAATTTTATTCCTAATTTAAGTACATTTTTTTCAATGGTTTTTTTTGCTCTTTTAAAATTATTTTACGCTTTTTATTGTTATTTATTTTATTTTAAAATCCAAACCATAATAATAACAAATAAGTAATATCATTGATAATAGAATATACAGATGCACCATCATTATGGAAATTGGTAGCGCCTACGTGGATACAGACACTAAACGTTGATGTAATCATTTTTATTCAACTTGATAGAAACAATTTTTCAACCATAAAAAGATGTGCAAGTTTAAAAACCTATTTTTATCAATGTTAATGGAAAAAATAAATAATTTAAAATGATAAAAATAAAAAAATAATATAAAAATATAAAAAAATGTTTTCATGTCGAATGTAAAAAATAATAGCGACGTCAACGTTGGCTTCTTATTTAAATAATAGTATTGCATATCTGTATATTCTAAAGTCAATGATACTACTTACACATTTTAGTAAGTTAAACATAACATATTGTATGTAAATAAAATTTGGGACGTTTAAAAAATTAATTTCGTACATTATTTACATACGTTATCAACATTTTACATTATTAATAGATTTGTCGCAATAAGGTTTTTTTTACATTAACAGCCCTTTTAATTGAAACAATAGTTTGTAAAGTACCTTCATAAAATATTAATTATTACATATCGCGTCTATATGGAGATGTATTTATAATATTTATTTATATTTCTTTTCAGTGAATATGAAATAAATTTGACAAAATGAATGTAGTTTACACGCGCATAATAAATTAAAGAACAGAGATAATATTTAATTACTAAAATTCAATCAAGTTATGTCAATCCCTTCTCAGCCACACAACTTGAACCTTCTGTCACTTTATAATAGCTTTCACTACAGCCATTAAAATATAAACCATCATCACTTATATTTATTTTGGAAACCGACCCACACGTCAATCAATCAATATATTAGAACTCTGACCATCTCATGGCAACTAAGCCACCCTCGCTCCTCCCTCGAATCACTGTAACATATAAGCTATACATGTATATAGTGAGCTAATATGAACACAAATATTGTTAGTAGTCGAGTGAAATAAAATGATTTGCAACTACTAATTTCCTTTCAATTTACTCCAAAGATCTAGACTGCGTAATTCAATTACATTTAAAGGAAGACGGTATTATATCAAGTATAATTATATTATACGTATTCTTCTGCAAGACATGAAAGTAATGTATATAAAACTATTATAATAATAATTGTTTATATCTATTTAATAGAATTATATGAATAAAGACGACGATGCCTGGAAATTGAATGAAATATAAATTACACTCGCAATGACGTCAGCAGGACTAGCGACAGAGGTGTTTAACTCCCAACCCCTCTTTACTCCCCCTGAATTCACCACCCAGTCTACACCTACTCTTGTACTTTTCCTAAAACTCTCGACCCCCTTCGTTTCCCACTCGAACCTCGGCCACCAGCGGTCGATATATTATTATGATATACAGCCCCAAGTCATCTCTTCCTCACATCCTTCCAAACATTATCCTTACCCACAGCCGCCGTATTAAATTAAAATACACCTGATGCTTGTCATAACCGATATTATCATCCGACGCTTATGGTACGGAAATCCGAATAAAGTTTATTTAGCGACACTTACTACTAATATAAATGTATACTATTATTTTTTCGTCAATCGAGTTACCTATATTAAACATTTTTTCATGTTAAAACAGTTGTGTGCTGTAGGCATGCGATAACTGACCTTTCAAACTAAAAAATATAATAAGTCATTCAAATATACTGTACAGCTATATGTCGCATATCGAATATTACATTTTTAACTTACGCGAAATATACTAGAACTATTCGACCTTTACAAGGAACATCTGCCTAAAAGAATCTTTGTCTGACGTCATATTTCTACTATCTATTTTATATTTATAGTATTTTATCTATATTATTCTATATTATATAATATATTTTGTACATCTATATTATTATGATCGCATACCTTGCCGACGTTTTCAAAACCGTTTCCTGCCCTCTTGGCCACTTGATGGGCCACCTCCTCGTCTACGTGACCACCAGAGTTGCCGCCATCGGAATTCGGACCATGCAGCTTCACGGAAAAAGTGTTGGTGTACAACTGGATGCCGGCTGCCATTGGTGGTTGCGGTAAAAAAGCGACGGATAACAGCGTTATAGCCGTGTAGGTCAACAACACAACAGCCGAGGACTTTTTGCGGCGGCCTGCGGCCCTGACAGCCTTGCAGTTGCCGTCGGTGGTATCGGCATCGCTGTTATCCGACTCGGCCATGGCCGTGATCGAGTGTCGGATTGGCTTGTAAAACCACTATCTGTCGGAAGAAAACAACGAGAAAGCGGTCAAGAAAAGGAAGCACGCGCAATCGTGTCCGATACAAAAGCGTTGCGATTTGTTTCGGGTCGACTGCGCAAGAAAATCGACACATGTCATTGTGATGGGTGGATGGGTACGTTGATAGGTAAGTAGTGATATTAATAATAATAATGATGATAATAGACAATAATGGATAATAGAAGTTATAATAAAACTAATAGCAATAGTAGTGATATTAATGAGAAACCAAAATGGCCATAACGTTACCTGTATAATACCTCCTGGTCTACTGCGGGTGTACAACACACTGAAGCCGCGCTCAGAAACTTTGTACGTAAATTTCGAAACTTCTCGGGTACTACGAGGTGGCGCTTTCATCCGCGGTGGCACATATCGGTTTTGGCACGGGGTGTGCGGGTGGGAGCTTTTTAACCACAGGGGGCGCCGGCGCCTTACCGAGCACACTGCATAACGACCACCGCCGCCCAGCACTTAATTTTTATACCTATATATGTTTAACATATTATTATTATTATTATTATTATTGTTGCTATATTATATGCTTTCGAATCAATATGACATTATAATATTTTTGTTTACTACATGCATAGAATGTAGAGACGTCTTGCAAACTCTCGATTCGATTTTCCCGTCATCAGAATAATATTCGTTCCACGACTCAACAGTATAAACTCTTTATAGTACATTATATGAGTACGGATGGGAAAAAAATTCAATACCGTATTCTGTGATTTTATGTGGACCATGTCACATAATCCGCACGTAGTGAAGAATTCCACATAGTTATTTAGTGGGTAATATTATCGTAATACGTAATAATTTATTAAGTGAATTAGATACCGTGATTAAACGTCTATGTGTCACGCACGCAACTGATAATTTTAACGCATTAAATAATTTTACGTATCGAACAACAGTAATGTGATTAGAATTTGAGATCTATTTCTTCTCATATTCAATTATATCCTTCTAAATCTGTTCAAAATTTAATTAAATTATTAAAAAATTTAAAATTTAACTTATTTATTATAAGTATTTGATTTTTGTGAAACTTGAGGTAGAAAAATGAAAAAAAGAAAAATTTCAATCATAACTTTTAAGTAGACGTTATGATGAACTAAAATGTGTTTTACAAAACCTTATCCTTTTATTAAATCTATTAGTATCTCGGTCCAAGAAAAACTTTTAACTACAATGTTGCATTTATGATGATAATGAAAGAAAACCATCGTATCCAATTTCTTTAATGATTCGACCAAAATAAACTTTTTCTCTTATTTGTCATTCATTTTGTTTTTTTTTTTTAGACTATATATTTTAATAACTAGACATTTCCTAGGAATGTAACTAAATTTCTAATAATTCATAACAATATTTTACATACCTATCTTACATATGTATAGGACTAAATCATAGATATGTTTTCATATAAGTACATACCTACATAATTCACGAAATCTGATAAGAAGTTGAACGTTCGTTTAAATGCACAACTCGAATTCTCTGTACCAAAGTATACATCAATTTTGAACTCGCAGTGGATCATCACACGTGTATCTTTATATCGTTTATGCATACAAATCGGAGAATAATTAAATTGCCATACTTTAGTAAATTCATTATAAATTTAACAGCGCACGTGAATAATTCCATATTATTATTTATAATATTTATATTTGTACCTAATACACCGAACATATAAAATCAAAGTGAACCGTTTATGTTTTCCTCTTATTATTTTGCCCGTAAAACTATAAATAGTGTCTACATCGACCGTATTGAAACACACTTTTTGTCAACATGATTAAATTATGTATACTTAACTGCGAAACAAAAATTCATTAAATATATTTAAAGAAACACTAGTTTAATATGTACTATTTACATATCAAATGCAATTGTTAAATTAATTGTATTTTGTAAGGTACTTGGAAAAAAATGTAAATGTTTATAATAATTTCTTGCTGTGGTACATAATTAATATTTACAAAATAATTATCATCTGTATAAAATGTAAAAATTAATCATTTAAACTTTATCCCTAAAAATATAAATTTTAGCTGTTATGATTCTGTACAAAATCTATAATCTAAAACTATAATACAAAAGTTTTAAATGATTATTACCTACTCCATAATAATATTTAATTTTCACTTTTCAACAGTAGTTTATATTTTCTGTTTTTATTTTTTAATGACTATACATTCCAATAAAACACCTTAAATGCACTCGAAGAATAAATTCACTTCTCTAATATATATAAATATACTAAGTGGTCGTTCTATGAGCCATGAAGCTTCTTTCGTTTTAATATCTCTGCTCAATTAATTTTGTAATAATTCTTTTGTTTGATTTTGGATCATGTCTATAAATGCCATAATGATATTATTTATTAGGTTTTATATGTTTATTCCCAAACGTGTACATCATTAAAATACTTGGTCAATAAAAAACAGCAAGCCTGGGCATAAATGAGTTAAAAAGTTAAAGTTAAGTTAATTTTAACTTTTTAATTTAACTTGTTTTAATTAATATGTATTTATAATTTGAATAAATTACGAGTTACTTTTAATCAAGTGAAGTTATTTTATAAATAATTTAAAAAAAATATATTATAAAATTGTTATTCATGATGTATACTATATTACATAATTATTTACTAGAATAGGAAATTAGAAATATAGCTAAATTAAACCAGAATTCTTTAAGAAAAATAACTTAATTAAACTTAATAGCCAATAGATATATATTATATTATAATATATAGGTGTATCGTATAATATACATATACTATATTCAATGGCGTATACAAGGGGAGATTTGGGGGGGTCAGATACCCTTTAAATCTTTTTTTAAATGTTATAAAATAATGTCCTGAGTGTGAGGGCATTATAAACGTAAAAAAATATTGATAATAAAAAAAAATAATGATTTGTTTGCAAATGATCCCCCCCCCCCCCCCATATAAAAATTATGTATAAGGCACTGACCATACTATAGGTACTGCAGCATTCAGGCATATTGTAATAATAACAATAATAATAATTAATAAATACTTAAAAAATAATAATAACTAATAAGTATTATGCTATTATATTATTATATTGATATAGATACAAATCACAAATTAACAATTTTCAAGAACATATAATAAAATATTTTCACCATAACTAAGTTATTTTTAAATTAAAACCAATTGAGTTATGATTTAGACTTTTAGTTCCCTGAAAAATTATTCAGAGTTTAAAATTAAATACATTCTTAAATACCATGTTATTTTTATTCAATCATTTAAAAAAAAATTATGATACCTACCTTTCTGTATTAATAAATCAAAATATTGTATTTATTTTAGCATTTTGTATACTTTTGCTACCCACTACATAATTATATTCATCAGTATCTAATAGTTTAATTCTATATATAGAAAAGCTATTAGCTACTTCTTGTATTCAATAATATAATACATAATTTAATATAATATTTATGATTTTTATTATTTTAAACCATATTACTGGGTATTTTTATAGATATTAAAAAAATAAATAAATTACTTAACTGAGTTAAAAAAAAAATTAAGTTAACTGTTAACATAAAACTTTTTAAAATATTTTCCATCAAATTAACTCAACTCAATTAAAAATTATCATTAACTTGCCCAGGCTTGAAAAAGAGATTACTTTATAATTTTGGATTTATTTTTCGCCAGTTTAAATAGCAAAAATAATCTTTATAAAACTTCATGTAGATAACACATCTTAACAGATTCGAAATGGAAAAATAGTACCAATAGATGCAGAATACATACAAGCCAATAAAGAATTACATAAATAAAATTGTAATTATAATTATTTTTAAAAACCACTGTTTGATTGATACCTAAACTTTTTCCTATAAAAAATATATTTTTTCTGTTGTATAATAATCTTCCAGACTTAATTTATAATACACCATGGTGATAGACACTAATAAGCAGGTGTGTACTATACCTTATAATGATAGGTATAAGCAGCTTATACAATACGGGTGAATTGTAAAAATGCAATGTAGGTACTAGATATTTTAGTATGTATACAATTAGATTAACAAAATAATAAATGTTTTATGAGTTGATATGTAAAAAACACGCATAATTTAAAATGCCAGGTATATTTTATTTTTAATTTTCGCTTTTATAGTTCATGAATATTTTAATTTAAAAAAAGAATTCCTAATATTCAATTATTATAATATTTTCAATACCTACATTTCAATGTTAAAACCCATTTTGTAATTTAAATTCTACTTCAAATTATATTTTGCTTAACATTTGTAAGATTTTCGAAATCAACAAAAAATATATATCTTTACTCAAGAATAGGCAACCTTTTTGAAGAAAAAATAACCAAATATTTTTTTAAAAAAAAAACAAAACCATGATGTTCAAAGATCCATACTGGTTTACATAATTTTATTTTTATATTTCTCCATACATACGAATTCTGTATAGGCACGAAATATAAAGAACCGCATGTGGCTCCGGAGTCGCAAGTTAGTGACCCTTCACCTATACGCTTATTCTACAGATACCTACTTGTAAAAAGTGTGAAACAATTTGTAATAAAAGTATAAACAATTAATTGTAACGCGTTGTTTTTAAGTTTAATTATTACCTATATTGAACAATAATACATCAGTAATATCACTATTTTTTATATTTTCATTATATATACCAATAACTATATCTTACTGAGAGCCAGTGACGGATCTAGTATTTTTTTTATGGTGGGTGTTTTTTGATAATATTGATTTATTATTAATTAATTAATTATTAATATTTTTATCCTTATAAAATGTTGACAAAAATAGATACATTTCCATATAAATCTATGATCAAAAAATTATTGCAAAAAAATAATGGTATAAAAGCATGTCGTTTATCCTACAATCCGTTGAACAAGAAATGTTAATATAAAATATAAATAAACTTAAATATGTCAAGTTATACGCTGTCTGTATATGCTTACTAAAATCCATACTAATATTTCTCTAATTGATTTTGTATTTATACTATAACGTAGAAATAAAATATAAATAATGTTCAACGTCAAAATTGGGGGAGAATTCCAATTTATTTTGAGATTAAATCGATAAAATTGATTACAATAAATAATGCGCGCGCGCGCGCACACACACATACACACACACACACGTATACATACGAGTAACGTATACATGGTATACCTATGTACACTGAAATATTTCAGAAATATTAATTGTAGATTGTTCAACTATGTTTTCAATCTAAATAAATAGAGCAAATCAAATGTATAGTAGCGATACATAGCATTAGAAACATTTTAAATAAAAC